CCGGGTAGAAAAGTATTCATACTCCACATAGCACCAGGCCAGCCTCCAGGATGAAGTACTAGAGCGGCTGAACCCAGTTTCCCTTGGCTGTGCGGAAGCCGATTGAAGCTCCCTGCCAAGGAGTAATAACTCAAAATATTTGCTCTCTTCCCAACCAACCGGTACCAGAATCTCCAGGCAGCCTCCCCTTTCCCGATGCTTCACATTTTAGTTTTGAGTTAGCGAATCAAGGGTTATAATCCTCATCAAGGGGGATCTCCGATCTCCAATTACCCTTGTAATTCGAGATGATAGTGTTTCCTTGTCTGTGTTTCTTTTTTCTACATTTGGGAGAGGTTGCGAGAGTCTGTCTATAGTTTCAACGCCGCCCGCGTCACACCGTCCTGAGAAGGTCGGCATGCGGATGTAGCCCCTCAAACCCCGAAGTCGACATGGAGTAATCCCTTTCCGTCTCATGCCACGTCTATCATCTATCGAGCAACAACACGAACTTTCCCGCATTCTTGAGACCATGAATTACTAGAGCGATCTCCACTAGTAGCCAGTACATTGTGCGCGCAGCTCGTAGAAAGCTAGCACCTAGCTAGCTATCATATTGCAAGACCGCGGGGAGGGGGTGAGGGAAGTTGGATCAAACCGACGATGCCGTCGGCTTACTTTATAGGGCAATCATTAGTATCCTTCAGGCTTATTTGGTCTTAGATGTGCCGTCATCCGACCCCAAAACACCATCGCTACTGGCTACATCAACCATGGCTCGAAGTAAATCTGCTCACACCTTCAGTTTCCTCGACATCAAATTACAACAGTACGCGGGCGGCGATAGAGACTTCTCGCACCGGCGTTACTCGTTATTTCCGTAACAATGCTCTCCGTGAGTCTATCCCCTTGACGAGTCATTGGATATTTTTGTCCTTGACCTTCCACGGGCGGTGTAAGTACTCTTTGGCTGCTCACCTGGAAAAGACGTTGTTCTGTCTCAACGGGCCCAGCTGAAGACGCTTGTCTTCTCTATCAGATGTGTAATTGTAATTCCCCCGCAAACGGCCTCTGGGAACCAGTTTAGACTATCCCAAAATCTCATGGGAGACCCTCATCATGTATCATAGAACCCAATGACTGCGGTGCCAATCATACTGCAAGATGCGATGCGCTGCTCCCGTCTTATGGATCACAACTCACAGCGCCCAGGATACTATAAGCTAGCACCTACACTACCTTTCTAGCGATGTCCATCCAACCGACAACTAAAACTAAACGGGTGTAAGCAGAGCATACACAACATGGTTCGAGCTCTGCTTAGGGCCGTTGAACTGGTCAAGGAGCCAAGTCAGTAATGGGGCAAGGTCGGCAACAGACATCGTTTGTGTGATGTCGGAGCTGTGCCAGGCCTATACCTTGATGTGTTACACATGTGGGTGGCTTTGATAGATAGACAAGACTGATCGCATTTGGTCTCCCGAAGTGGATGTCTCTATAAAAGCACAGTCCGTGAAGACACTTGCCGCGCCGGTCGGCATATGTGAGACTGTCCCCGGGCTCATGCTAAGGTGACTTGCTGGAGGAGCTAGGCGAGTTTCAGCTGACATGGTAGGGAGTAATAACATTGAGGCCCTAGCATCCTACATATGCTAGAGCCTATTCCAGCATGAATCCAAGCACATCGATAGAACTGATGGATGCGGCGGGACAATGTTCCTATTTCCCGCCGGGCATATCAGGGAATGTTGGCACGTATCGTGTCACAAAGGAATTACTTCTAGGTTACCTGACCTAGCAAGGGGTCCGACCTGTCGGGTCTGAGGTGGCCACACTCGAGCCCTCTTCCGACATCAGACTTAAATGTAAGGCGAGAAGAAGTCCAATCCAAGGTCGTCATCCGGCAAGCACTCGGTTTGTTGCGCAATTGGCTGGCCATTTAAGGTTGATACCGACTTACTCCGGCTGGTCTCACCGGTCTCAAGTTGAATTTTGTTATTTTCTTCTACCCGCCCCAATATTTTGAAATGCGATCAATCATGTCAAATATTGTTGAGATACACTCTTATATGAGGTGGACCCATCTGCTCTATGCCGGTTCGTCCCACTTCCCCTAAGGATGGGAATCTTCAAGTCGGTAGGGGTTTCCGAGACTAGTGGATTGATCCTTCAATGTTCTCAGTCATTTGAGGTTGGCCTGACTAATAATACTAAGGTACACTCATGTACATCCTCGACCAAGGTTCTGCATTGTGAATGATCTATCGCCTGCAGGCTTTCTCGTTCCTGTCGATCTGAATGGTGCATTAGCAAGATCCGGTCATAAAGATCCAGGGTGGGGTCTTTCCCAGATAGGAAGAAGCTTTCAGAAGCTGATCGTCGGTGGACAAGCTTCTGCAGACGACCTTCTGCCGTGTTCCTCTCATACAGCGTCATATTCCTGCCTTCTCAAATATGATTCTCTGCCTGTGTAACCCCTCCTCATCGGCTCGTGTGTATTGATCCGTCCACCCAGAGGGTGTTGTAAGTCTGATGTACTCACATGGAACCGGTAGAGCCCATGTCATTCTCAGCCAACGGGGGTTGGGGATTCTTGGCATCACTGATTTATCATTATGGGGGTGACGGGAGTGTTTCTGTAGCTCGAGCAGTGGCTTCCTCAGGGGTGGCTTGGATTCGACTTCTAGTTAATGAATGTGCTTGGCGTTCTCACAAGTTTGGCCTTTTGGTAAAACAGCACAAGACGCTCACTAAACATGCGTCAATGGTTGGGAAATGTGGGGCATTCAGCTACGATGGACCTTCTTTCTTCTGAATACGACCGGAGTGCAGGGCAGGCCTGGAAGGCAGCTGCCATTCCTTGTTCGGTGTATTTGGTGCCTCTGGGGATGAAGCGACCCCGATATGCTGGGGTGAGAAGTGTAGTTTATTTGAGATCCCAACAAGGAACGACATCAAGGTTGGGTGTGTCGTCGTCCAATAGCCATTGTAAATGGAACCCCGTCTGGCAAGCCATTTTTCTAAGGGCGTACCCCTGGTCGTTAGCTGAGACTATGATGGAAGGCCGACTCTTGAACAGTGGGATGACGAGTCGTGGTGGCTGATGAGCAAAAACCCAAGCGTCCAATGGGAACCCTCAGGCAAAGCAACAAGAAGCATGGGAATGAGATCATGAGCGAAGTCATACTTCCTGTCATTTCTGAGTGGCCGCCTAGGATGTGTGACAAGTTTTATACTAGGCAAGTACAGACAGGGTCCGCAGGGCCTGGTCTTGATCTTTCTTCATCGGGCAATTGGGGCTCAAGGCTAGACCCTGGTCTCCTTGCAACGCTAATTTGGGTGGGCACGAATTGTCTACTCGCAGTCTCTTGTCTTCGGGACTTCGATGGTGAGAAAAGGAAGGTCCATTCTTGCCGGCTGAAGGGCGTGAGGTAAAGAGAGCTGGGGGGGTCGACTAAGTCGATGGCAATGGGGTTCTCAACGGCAAGGAGGAGGAACAACCTCGTACTGTAGAACCTTCCCTGGCATACAGTCGAAAGAGAGTTTGGGGGCTTGGGAAGGGCCGATACGGGGCGTCTCTGCTTTGCCTCATTGACAATTACCTTGTTCGATTTGGAAGACTTGGGACCCGTTACTTCACTTCCCATACTCCGCCTCAGACATGTGCTTGTCCCGCCCGCACATTAATGACATTTAACTCCACTATATCACATGCGATTTTTTTTCCTCCTCTTTTGAAAATTCCGTGTCAGTTCAGCTTTCGGTGTGAAGCTGTATCGATTCCCTGTCTCGGCAGGCACCATCCCCCCTCTCTGGAGGCCGTTGACATTTGATATCATGACTGTAAGAGAAGAGTAGGAAGAGACTGTATAAGGTGAGGCAAATGAATGGCAATTGATTTGTGACACTAAAAATGGAAAGTCCAAATGTTTGAGACTAAGGTATATGAATAGTATCGATGGTATCTATGCAATTTACACGACCTCAGAAGGCCTAAACGCCATGCTTAACACCCATAGACAACACCCACCCGTGATCCAATCTCTCTAGTCCCTGAAGAACGCCCATAGATTCCGCATTCGAGTTAAAAAAAAGAAAAAAGTAGAAACAGAAAAACATGAAAAGTGTAAATCGTCCCGTCCCAACTGTTTGAAGTTGTTTCACCGTATCATCTTCTCGACTTTGATAAAGAGTTTTCCGTTGGGGATGGGAAGTCCTTTGGGATCCATTAGAGAAACAAACCGGTATCCGCAGCGCAGTCGGTCAAGCCTGACACATGCCCAAGAGAGGAGCTCCCGAGATGTGACCATGCTCTGTTCGTCTTCTACCTTGAACCTGTATGGTTATCTCTTGTTAGTGGCGAAGACCTTTTGCTCGGAGAGATTTGGAAGCCACGCTGAAAGACAGGAGTGAAAAGATAAGGAGAACAATGAGAACATTGGAGGGAGATAATAGTTTTGGATGAAAGCCGCGCGGTATGGACTGTCTCGCTGACTCTCCGACTTTGGTTGAGTCAGGCGATATGTCACATCAAAGAGTCGCGCCGGACGACAAGGGAACACCATGATCTGCATTGATCAGGCTGTTTCTTTTATATGTTGTCAGTTCTCTCGGAGTCACTCGACCGATGGCCCCTACTCTACATCTAGAGTATGACACGTTAAAGAAGCCTAACGGCGTGTGGCGACATGTTTTGTGTCGTGGCGCGCAGAACGCGCAAAGACACTGCTGTAATCCGAGACAACGAAAGTAACGGGCCGACGCGTGGCCAATTGACACCGGATCCTGGAGCGAGTATAGGGGGCACAGCGCCGGTTGGCGGTAGACCGGCGGGATGGCATCCATCCTACCCTTTTCCTCGTGGAACGCATAGCGTCGTGGGACGGACGCTATCTCACGATGCCCAACTCTCTAGGGCGGCTCGAGAGCTCCGATTGGGAACGGAGATTGGTGAGGGTCGAATAGAAGCCAAAGACGTAGGAAATAGACGAGAGACCGAGAGAGAATAGAAAATGGGATCCTTACCTGATGAAAGTGAATTCTTCAATAACCCCACGGATACCTCTAAAGGAGAGAGTGCAACCACCGTTACCGAAGTCCGGATGATTCGTGTCACCGGCTCTTGTTTTCTGCTTGCATTCTAGTGTTGGGCCGTTCGTCTTCTCCCGCTTCTTGCCCTTTCGAGCATCATTCTTTTCATAATGCAGCTCACATTTCACACTGGGTCTGAGGTTCACGCTGCGGTCCTTCTTTTCGCCGTCCTCTCGGATATCTGGCAAGTAGACGTTCTGACCGGCGAGGATGGAAATATTCAAATCTAGGGCGGTTTGAGGGATGGCGTCCTCGTAAGTTTCTGTGTCCTTATCCGAGACCCTGAAACCTGTCGGCTTCAAGACCCAGCCGTCCTCGTCCGCAAACATGCCCTCGTTAAGCATCATGCCCTCATCTAGGTTTTGCCAATTCATCGCGACCATCTGCACGCCTTGGCGCCAGAAGGGGGAAGGGTCCGGATTAGAGCTATTTACTCGGGTGCCGTCCGGGAACGCACGCATGAAGAAATTTTTGTTATGCTGGAATAGCCCCAAGGGATTGCTCGCCGCCAACTCGTGGATGCGGCTTTCGCTTAGGGAAAATATGTGGCCAGGCTTTTTCGTCGTTCGATCGTCCAGGCCCTTGAATCGCTGACTAAATGTGTAAATCGACAGGTTGCTCAAATTACGGCAGATCGGGACACTTTTCGGATTCGGATCCATAGGATTGGGCGATTGCAAGACTGGCGATGGTTGGGGTGTTAAGGGCCTCTCATCGTCGGTCGAAGTGGAATCGCCATGCGAGCCCGAGCCCCCCGGTGTTAGCCCACCCGCGTTCGACGAGCTCAGTGGTGTCGGAGCAGCCTTTTTGACCTTGACTAAGATCTTATATCTCAAATCCTCGAGTTTTGGCGCTTGAAACTTGGCGTCGCACCCATCTAAAGGCTCCGAGAGAAGGAGCCCCGCCCATTCCTCCTTCATGATCTGGACCATAACTTCCTGTTGGTCTTCGTCGGCTAATACCTCGAGACTTACAATGACGGGCAAGTCCGTGGTCTCGAACGCCGACTCCCTGATGGTCCGGCACACCTCCCGGAAGCCGCAGGGGCGAGTTGCCGCCCATTTGTGGGCCACAATGGGCTCGGTCTTGGGATACGAGACCTTGGATCGCAGAGACCTCTCCCGTGTAGGTCTTTCTGGCGTCGCATTAGGCGTGAGGGTCATTGAGCTCCTTTCCTCTGAGATCTGCCTCTGGCTGCTTCTGGCTCCTGGGTCTGGGTTCGGACTCAATTTTCGGCTGGACGGGCGTGGCGAGTGGTCCCGGATGAACTGCTTGGTGCTCTGGAGCGTTTCTTCGACCTTGTCCCGAAGGCTGCCTGCGAAAACCGGGATCGACTCGTGCGAGACAGCTCTCTTATGATCAGGGGGCCTTGACGGAGCGAGGGAAGAGGAATCGCCATTCAAAACGTCAATCTCTATACATCGGCATCCACGTAGTAACGCCTAGACGCGGGTGGGGGGATGAATCAGCAATGGATTTTGAGAGGTACTCTAGAGAGAGCCATGGAATGGCGAGGATGGTAGAATACTTACAGCTCTATACGGTTCTGGCGAAGACACGGATGTGAACTGGTTTCCGCACAGGTACGTATTGTGACTGCTGTTTATAAAGTAATGTGTAATGGGTTTGGTGAGGTCCTTCGTGTAGGATGCCGGGCGCTGAATAGCATCGAAGCCATAGTCCATCATGATAATATCTTGAAACTCATGGAACCGGTATCTCGCCTTATTCAATTGAATCTTTTCTTCGCCCTGTACCTCTGACAAGAACTCAGCGAACTTTTCTCGCTTCAAGTGGCGGTTCGGGTAGCTTAGATCGAGGAAGAGGTTTTCGAGGTGTTCAGACGTAGCTGGGCCGAGATCGAAGGTCGGGAGCCTCCGCCGGAGAGGAACCTCGATCTCCTCCTCCACAATTTCGGACGATTCCTTGTTGTCATTGTAGAGGCGGAAAGAGGCGATGGTAGAGAGGCGACGTAGAAAGGCTCGGCGGCGAACGGACAGGGAGCTCTGATTGCTTTGGAGGAACGGTCGGCGGCGTTTGATCTCGATCGGTTGAGGTGTGTCAACCTTCTTCTTGCGTCGCAGCTTAAAAAAAAAAAAGAATTTCGCCAAAAATGGGTCAGCGGGTACAGCTCGGGGGAAGGACAAGGTGGTGAGGGCGCAGGACTGAGGAGGGATAGGTTCTTACCCGGAGGCGCATCGTCAACTGCCCCGAGGGCAAGCCCATCGTCAGTGGGACGAACTGAAGTGCTAATCGCTTTCCTTCGCCGGGTTCATGGCGAGCGATCATTCTCAAGAGCGCGGCGACTCACGGAAATGGATAGATCGTCGTCTCCGCTAATTGCCCCGACAGCGACGAGGGTTTAAGACGGGGGGAGGAAGGGTAATCGTCTACGAATTGCCGGGATCAATTCAGACGGGGCAGAACCCTCGATAAATTGGTGACATATTCTTACGCCGGCGTTCTCCGCTACATTACGGGGATTCCTCAAACCGCTTCGGGAACCCTTGTCTGACACCTTTTCAGGACAGCAGTCGCTCTCATTTGCTTGTTTTGGAGACCAGAGAGACCAGGGTCGCAGGCATTGCCGGATCGGTGGGGCAGCACAGCCTTACAGCACCGTGTTAATCAGACATGATGCGGATGCAGCATTCTGAATGGCTAAAGTGAAAGATGTCGAGGATGTTTGCTAGGGAAGTGCTAGAACCCAGAGCGGCGGTTGGCTTGTATTTCTTGGTAAAGGTTCCCTCAATCTGAGAGGCGATCTACAAGGAGCGAAGACGATCGATCACTGGACGAAGCACGAGCAGAGCCTCTGGAAGTTGGCTCTAAACAACGACGGAGACGACCCAAGATCGACATTAATTATATTTTCTCGATTTCATGAAATCTAACCCAATTGACTTCTCTTCACAGTGCGCCATCATCGAGAATACCTTCAGCTGCCATGCAACTCCGGTAGGCTTCGCCTCTTCTGCCCATCTTTGTCGGGGCGAGTGGCGGTCTGCCATCCATTGGGGTCATTGGGTGGGACATGCTCTTCATGAGGCGGCGTGGCGCAGCGCGGACTTACCCCGCGGGCGGCTGACCCCGAATGAGACCGTCTCCTTCCCTCCCAACGTCATGGTATTCTCACGAACTACACTGGTTTTGCGCGACTCGTGGCTTTGAGATGGCCTTTTCTGAGGTGAAGGTGAAAAGGGCAAGGTGATGTGGCAGCATCGGTTTGGCTGTTGGGTATTAACTTCGCTGTTGTTTTGCTCTTTCAGCCAGGGCCCTCGAAACACGCATCTTGAGTGGTATCAATTATCGATCGGGTTGAGCTCGTCTCACAGCCCCCACAAACTATCGATATATCACCGCCAAACTAGGCTAATTTCACCTACTTAGAAGCCATACCACAAGGGGGCTGAGCAAAGAGCTTCACATTATCTCATCAGCCAAGCTACCTCGCCCTCTTGTCTCACGTAATTTTTTTTAATTTTATTTTATTTTATTTTATTTTTTTTTTGGTTACACCTACGCGTAAACTTGGTTGACGAGCCGCAAGCACACATCAGTAAGGCCGAGTTCCTTAGCTTCGGCCTGAGATCCGTCAGCCGTCCAGACATGTTTGAGGACCTTCGTATCCTCCTTGCCTACAATGGTCGTGACCTCGAGATGAGGATTCGAGGTGGGACCCGCTACAGTAAAGGCGATCTCTCTCGGCGGACTAGCAGCCGTAGATAGCGACGCTCCGGACATGGTCTTGATCCAATACGCATTCCCTTCGACATCGAATCCTTCCTTGGCTTCCTTTGAGTCGAGGGACCCGTATTTCCGGCTAAGGCCTTCCTTTTCGCCTCCCTCGAGACGGGGCTGGAAGTAGTTGGCGAGCGCGCAGGATACGGCCTGGTCGATGTAGCAGCGCACTTCGGAGAGGTTGGGGTAATCGCGGTGGGGTGGACAAGATTCGATGAGGGTATTGGGGAATTCGGGATTAGTCGCGGGGAGGTTAATCTGGTATATGGTGGCCGTGGCGGGGAGGAGCCACGTGCGACCCATGATGGAGATGCGATTGCCAGGTGTTACAATGAGGTCGATGGCGAAAGTGAGGGGGGCAGTTATGGTGCTAAGCACTGCTTGGGCCGGGTTGGAGCGGGCGCGGTCGCTGGACACGTTGGATAAGTCGGCCAGGACATTTTGCGCCGTGATGAGATCGAATTTGGCGTCTGGCATCTTCGCGTTGCGGAGGCTCTTCACTAGGCCCCCGATATACTTGGTGGTGTCCTCGATAGCCTCCATGTGCACGAGGCGGGCAATGATGGGCCGTAGCAAATGGTACTGGTTATGCAGTCGGCTGCGGGGTTGGTTGGGTGGTAGGGGCCTCGATCGGAACGTCTCGTTCTGGCGATGAGCATTTCCTAAGAAGATATGCAGAGAAATGTGTATAGACTCGGCGAGCCAGTTATCGGATAAACCGTCTTCCCCCCGCGGACAATCATCAACTGATAAGAGTTCGATTCGAATTTTCATGCCGTTAGGCCTCGTGTAAACGATACTCGATTCGTATTGCCTAACGTCGTAGGACTGTAGGTTCCGCGCTTCCATCTGTAGTTCGTGCCACAACTCCCGTGCATAGATCGTGTTGCGCGCCTCAAGAACGTGGGCCGAAAGAGGCGCACTGTCATTTGCCGGTACGGGGGCAGTCTGTGACGATATTCCTGTAACTTTGCCATCCTTCTCGATAGTAATGACGAGTCGCTGTGCTTGCCCCCCCAGGTTGCCGAGATCCAGCTCGACCTTGCCATTTGTCGCCCGACGCATCGGCGCAAGGCTGTACTTTCGGAATTCCGCCGATGCTATAAGCAGAGTTAGTCAAGGTTGAGGACTGGTTAAGGGTATTTCCACGTCACAGAATGTCCAAACACCTACCTTCGTTGAAGCCGAACCGGACACCCAAAGTTTGCCTCTCCTGCGGTAGTCTGCAAACGGACCACCCTCCTTCGCTTACAGATAGAACGTCCTGCCAGTATCTCGCCTCCTTTTCCACTTCCTTTTCTAATAAAGTAGAGGCCTTTTGAGCAGAGTCCTTGGTCTCTTCGATGGAGAGAATATTCCACCCGGCGGTAATGTTCGCAAAGTCTTTCATTTTGTCGGGAGTAATGTTGGATTCCGCGTGCTTTTGCGAACCTAACGTTCCGATCCCGACGAGCTCGCGAAGGTCGTGCCGTAGTGTAACGCCGGCTTGGACCGGATTCTCTTTTGTGAGGAGAAGGGAGATGAGGTCGAGGGCGAAGAGAGCGCTATGGTGTGCTACACTAGAGAAGACGGAGGTGGTCAGCAGCGTGCTTCGGACAAAATTGACTACGGCGATCTGAGAGAGGAAGCATACATTATATTCTGCAATGTCTCGTTTCGAGCTTCTAGAGGATCCTTCCCACCAGCTGACTCGTCGCCCTCATCCTCCTCCCCGCCCGCGTCGTCGGCATCACCCATTTTCACGTCTCCGCTCTCGTCAATTGTGCCATCCCGAATATTTTCAATATTTAGGGCGCGAAAACCACCTGGATATGTCTGATTCACGAGAGAGATGTAGTCTGATATCGTCTTGGGGCTTCGGTCGGCATCGGGAATGGGCCATGGTCGGATTGGGCAGACCGGGGAGCCAGCGTTCTGGGCGCCTGAGTTCTCCATTTTGTGCGGCGCACGGGGCAATGATGCCTCAAAAGAGATCGCCTATGTTGTATCTCTAGGAATAGTTCCTGAGATGTCGCAAAATCATAACGTGGGAACTACCATCCCAAAGGCGGACTGCAAGCTTAAGAGAGCTTGGTGGATTTTGTTATCATTGATCAGCCTTGCGAGGTCTTTCTGAATTCAATTGGTTGTAGAGGTGTATTGTTGTAAACAGAATGTTTAGCTAACGGGTATATTAATTCGTGAACTGGAAGCTTGAGACGACAGCAGGAGCAGACCCATGCTTCATCACGACGGCCCATTTGGAGTAGGAGGAGCAAACTCGACCAGAACCTTGAGCTCGAGATAGATTCTGTCTCTGGTTCCTTTGCTCCGCCCCTTTGTTTTCTACTTGTTCATCTTTTTTTTTTTTTTTCCTACCGAGCCAATTTGGCAATTCGATGGGTCAGAAAACCAGTTTTCGGAGGTGGGAAGTAATCTAACATCGAGAAGCGAGGTCTTCGTAAATACTAAATGCTACGTACAGAGCTGCATTTCGATTTGCAAGCTTCCGAATGATGATGGCAATGACGATTCAATCCAAATGGCCTAATACGATGGCCAGGTATTAAGATCAAATGGAGTTTGCCACACCCATCTCGTTATTTTTGGCTCCACTTCACAGTCGATAGATCGTGGGAACTACGGAGTATTTAGCCTTGGCCGCAATGGCACCCGGGGAGTGTACGAAGTAGGCAGCACGATCGAACGAGGAGAGGCTTCTGGAATAAGCATTCCTGGTGGTGGGACAGACCTCAAGCCGGCTGGGCTGGCTGGGCTGGCCAAACTCCCGGCCAATATAGTCCATGTCAATTGATATTAACTATGCTTCCGAATTCTGATCGGTTGTACGAAGGTATGCATCGACATCTAATCTCGAAGCGATGTGTGCGGACGAAGTACCTGTGCGCCTTTCTAAATGTTGTAGATAACGAGGCAGGGTCTAACAGTTTACGATGTTCAGACGCGAACGAGAGACATGTACTCCGTACTTTTCTGCTTGACGTGGTAAAGGAGTTGCGACATTCCAACCTCATGATGGGCACTGGTTGGGTGGTGGAGAGGGCGTCGTTGGGTCAGGCGACTGGGGAAGAAGAGAATGGCAACGGACGGAAGTGGAACAAAAGGGCTGCAAGGTTGCGTCACCGGGTCCATCGGCGATGTCCAGGGCTGCGTTGATGGTGGATGGGTGATGTCCAAGATGGGCGATAGTTACGGCTTGACGCATCTGCCGAGGGATGGGCGGGAGCTTGGCGAACAAGGTGTATGGATGGGATTCTAAATCCAGTTTTCCGGAGAAAGGGAAACCAATTTGTCTTTGAATTTCATATTTCAAATTGGTACACGGGAATAGGGGAATACACAGTTTGCCAGGCGGTTAGTTGGCTGGCGATGGCGGATTTTTCGTCAATGTTGGGTTAGGTTCAAAGCTGGGTTGGGCGGGATTGATCTGCAGGCTGGACTATTTTGAGATGACGCCTTTCTCGACTTGGCTTCCAGGCGGCAAGCGAAACGAAGGGGATAAAACAAGGTTAAACCCGAGCAGGTCGATATCGAATCTCTGCCCGACACGGCCTCGACTGCATTGTGAGGCGTTAAAAGATGCAGGACAGGACGGCGACATCCTCTCTCTTCTCGAATCACCGACGACTTGAGGCGGGAAGGGCAGCACCGGGGAGAAAAAAAATCGGAGCAGTATGCAGGAGACGGTGCGTTAGGCTCAGGAGAAGATTCGCAGGGAGCCAATGAATAGATCTTCGCAAGCTGTCGGCGCCAGGCTGTGGGAACTGGTCGCCTAGAAGGTCTCTGGTGAAAAAGACGCCTCTCTGCTACGGCGGTGGCGCGGATGTAACTTGGCGAGGGAGCACGACAGGAAGCAGGAAGAGCTCGAGGTCTCGGGCTGGCTTGTAGAATTAGCAACGGGGGCCTGGCCCGAAGGTTGGGCTTCGGTCACCATTGACTTTGGTGGTTGTTAGACACGGGTGCAAGCTTGAGCTCTAATACCTAAGCCAGCCCAGCAATGGGAGAGCTCTGGACGACATGGGCGACATTCAAATGTCACCATGTCGGCCAAGTCGACACCGTGGATTTTCTCTAGCCTCAATCATAATAGAATGCCTTGAACAGAGTACCGAGAGAGAGAGTAGTAAAAGAAGAAGGACCTATAAATAATCTCGGCGCGTATCAACGTCGTTACATGGGGACTGGAGACCAGGGTTAGAAATCAATTACAGGAGATGGAGAAATGAAGGAAGCGAGATAGCCGCCAGAGGGCTGCCGCTGCTGCCAGTCCTAGCTCATTTGGATTAATTGATGTTGAGCTGGCCAAATTGTCTGGCTGCGAACACAATGAACCATTGAACCCAGCATCGTGGGTCACTTCATTAAGATTGGACTGGACTTGACTGGACTCGACCGACCAGCCCCCTAGAGCCGCTCCCTCATCTGCAGCCTGCAGTCTGCAGTTTGGGTTGTGCGCCTTGAGCCCCTCAGCGATGTCAATCTAGCCGCCTTGCCCCTCCCCTCTCATGCCTCTCATGCCTCTCATCGATGCCCCGCTCCATCATCATCCTCCATCCTCCAACCTCTAACGGCCAATGTCGTCCCGAATGACGCTGACAATCAAGCGAATTGGTCCAACAGTCCAACAGCCAGCAACAGCCCACCCCCGGTGTTTCCCTCAGCCCTCTGAGAGCTGCTGCGCCTTGGCAGCGGCTATGTGGTCCTCATGCATCAAGCCGACCTATTGATGGTGGACGATGGGGATTATGGATCCCTGTGTTCCGTGCCCTGGTGCTCGTTGACGTCTGCCTGCCTGGCAATCCGTCGACCATCGGCCATGACCAGACATCTTGTCATGCAGGCTCGCCCACCCTGCACGCCACCACCTTGATTCATCATATGGCTTGGCTCGGTTCTTCCATGTTTCCCTTTGTCACTTTTCAGATCATTTCCACCCTCCCATTACTTCGTCAGTTTGCGTCAGTTTACATTCAAAGTCGGCCATTTGAGGCTTGATTCGGCCCTCGATTCTGGATTCTGATTCCTTGTCTTCCTTGTCGCCCATGTGTCTGGTCTGTCCACACTCGCCTCTCCACTCTCCAACCGCCTCTTCCCTTACCCTTACCCTTACCCTTCCCTTCCTTTTCCCCTCTTCCGATAGCCCTGTCTATCTACTCAGTACATGACCTCGTAACATTGAAGTCACATTTATAATAGAGGCTCTCCCTCAATTTCCCCTCTTTTCCCTTCCAGCTCATCCTTCGACCGCGAAAGAACCGAGAAGAACTCATCTTGGAGTTCAGGCTTCCCAGAATTAATTTGATATTCGCGAGGGAACCGGAACAGCATTATTCCTTGTCAAAAAGAACCCAGCGCTGTGCTGTGCTCTGGTCTGGTCTGCTCCGCTCCACTCCGCCCATCGCTCCGTCCTCTCCCGCATCCAACCTCTTTTGCCCTCCTCTTCCCTACACTGCATTGGCTCGCCGCTCGCCTGCCCATCCTGGTCGGCTGCCGTCTCAGAGAGGCTTAGGTCAGGTGGTCCATTGCCAGATCTTGGGGCCCTCTTTAACCTCTTTAACCATCCTGCGACTCGCTCACACTCACCACTCGCCATTCCATCATTCCTCTCTATTTCATCCTTCATATTATTTCATCCGCTTCTTCGAATATCGGATTACCATTTATTGGACCTTTGTTACTCTACTACTTTCGAAAGTTTAGAGTAAGCACCAATTCACAACCCTCATCAATTCCTATTACTACTACTTGCTACCCCTCCAACCCCTCCAAGTACACTACCACTACTTCTCGAGGTAACCGCAAAAAGAATCGAGCCGTCAGCCCTGGTCAAATTGTCCTACCTCACAAAATCAATTAATACCTTGTGCTTACCCACCCCCACCAACATCAACCGTTGCTGTTGATCCCCTCCTCTTCTACCCCGCTCGCCAGTCCAAACCCCCTTCCCGCCATGTCGTCGTACTACCGGGAAGAATATAGCCGTCCTGCCGAGACGAGAGAGAGGACTTATGTCCGCGAACGCTCTCGTGAGCGATCAGTCGACCGCACTCCGGCTTTCCTTCGTGAACCCCGCCGCGAAGCGGGGCACCTGGTCCTTCGCCAGCGTGATGTCGAAACCGTTACCCGACGCCGCAGCCCCAGTCCCGTCTACGTCGAGAGGAAACATGTTGTGCGACGCTCCCACAGCGTCTCCCCCCCCGAGAGGATAGTCGATCGCCAGCGCGTCGAGGTCTACGAGCGCCCTCCCAGCCCCGAACCCCACCGCGGGAGGAGCAGGAGCATCTCGCGTGTGCGCACCACCGTTGTTGACAGGGATAGAAGCAGCAGCCGGAGTAGCTCTTCGTATAGCGAGAGCAGCTGGAGCAGCTCGCCGAGCCCTCCTCCGAGATTTAGGAGGCGACCGAGGAGTGCGAGTCCCGTTTGGAAAGAGCGGGAGACGGAGAGGGTAAGGGTAACTCGGAAGGAGTCCGTAAGCCCTGCTCCTCCTCCGCCGCCGCCGCAGCCTGAGGTTCGAACTCACCCTGTCGAGAGGATCGAGAGGGAGGTTATTACTCATTATACGGATGTTGACCATGGTATGTTCTTGCTGCTCTGAGATTTTATTTTTATTTTCATTTTTCTTCGTTGCTTTCTCTCTTTCCCCAGTTGTCCTCTTCTTTTTGTCTCTCCTCCTTTCCCCTTCAACTTCTCTTTAATCCTAGAATTTGAATCTCGGGAAGAGACAGCATCCGACTAATACTAATCTCACACTGTTAGGTGTTCTTGTTGTCCGACCTCCTACCCCTCAGCCTCAACCCCCGCCCCGCTCCAAGTCTCGAACCCGACACAAGGATACCGAGATCGATATTTACACCTCTAAGAATGAGACCGAGGTCGACATTCGCAAGACCCACTCTCATTCCCGTTCTCGCTCGCGTTCGCGTCATCGACCCCGTGTCTACTACGATGACCGCGGCCGTGAGATCGTTGTCTCTGACAATGATCGCCTGGTCGTCGATTACAAATCTCGTCGACGCGCCCATTCTGCCGCCCCCTTCCCCGTGCGCGGCTACGACCCCGTCCGGGACGAGGCCGAAGAAATCGTCACCAAGATCGATTCTCGCGGCCGTGTTGGTGAAGCTTACCACGGCGCCACCCGCGATTGGACTATTGTTGACGTTCCTCCTGGCACGGAGCGCGTCCGAATGGATGGCGCCGGTGGCGCCTCGGCCGAGGTATCTTGGAAGAAGTACAGTGGAGTGAGGAGGACGAGGTTCATCCCTGATAGGGAGGATGACGTCATCGACGACTCTCCCCGCAAGAGCCGGGATAGCCTGAGCGTCCGTATTGTGGACACGAAAAAGCCGGATCGCCGCGTCTCGGTTCGGCCGCCGCCGGTACCCACGTTGGAGACGTGGACGGAGATTACGATGGATCTAGTCAACCGGGAGGCCCTCAAGAGGATGGGGTATCCATTCGAACAGCGACCCCCATTCTTCTATGTGATGCAGTACCTGACGAGCGTAAGAGTCACCTCTTCTTTCTAAAGCTACAGTTGGATGATGGAAATTGTTTTTTGGCTAACATATTGCCCTTTGTTATATAGCACGAGATTGATGAGCTTGTCTCGCTCACTGCAAAGATCCGCCGTGAGCGACGACTAAAGAACCGCCAGCGCCTCCGGGATAAGGACGTCGAACATGTCGTGATCCACAAGCATAAGCATCGCCACCACCACCACCCACGAGATGACTTCCGATATGACAAACAGGTGGTATTCGACCGAAGAGAGTACCACGTCTAATATCTGACATGATGTTTCTTAGCCTTGGGGGCCCCTTAGGGACGCTCTTGTCCTTTCATCTTCAATTTCACTCACTCTTTAATTTTCCTTTTCTCTTCGACTTGCTTCCGGAATTAGTCACATTTTACGCAATGTGGAGGGGGAGGAGATGTGTGGGAAGAAGAAGGAGGTCTCGATGATGAAAATATCGATGTGGATTTTGAAGTGTGTCCTGTGGGGTTGATGGAAGTTGCCCCGTCTTTTCTTGCTTCCTCATTGCAACGCATTTTCACATCTACCGTCACTGTTCTGTTGTTTTCTCTCCTATTTTTTCTTTCTTTCTGTTTGGGCGGAACTTAGCTCGCGGGATTGTTTTCTGTTGCTGAAGAAGCTTCAAGTTCCCATACGGCTGCCACGACTTACGACTTATTGACGATGACGAGCTCGGAAATCATCAAACTGGCGCCTTTGCTAGCGCATTTACTAGAGAGATCTTGATGTGTTTTATATAGGGTCGCGTTTATCAAGTACAAGAAATAGAGTGTTACGTCTTACTTGAACTCGCCTGCAAGATGGGGAGGCCGGTGTCCAACGCGGTACTGTTCACTTTGTTTATGTTCAGATACCATGTAGGCGGGGATGGAGACGTCAAGCCATGTTGCTAAGAAGAAGCATTGATACAAGCGTGATGAGGAACATGTACAGTGAAATTAACAAGGAATTCTTTTCGGATATATACATTTCAGAATGCTAATCGTCTCTTTCAACCTCCAGTGTGGTCATCATTTCGTGCTCAATAGGACAGTCAATCCCCAAGAAATTATTATTCATATGTGAAACCCAGCTCTCCCATCTCTCGAGATATATTTCCATGAGGAATCATGAGATGAAAGGCTGCCAAAAGGTTCATTTAAGCGTAGGGGTTAACCCAGGGGCGGCACTTGTTAGCGGCACAGTAGCCGGCGCAGCAGGTACCCTGAGGTTGGCCATTGATGTAGCAATCAGCTATTTAGAGGAGGAAGAAAACATTAGCTTCTATTCTTCAAGAGAGACGAAGATGAAGAACTTGGTGAGGGTAGCGGAAAAAAAAACCTACAGTAGGTGGGGAGACAGACTCCCGAGCAGCTCACGGAACGAATCGGCTGAGGAGGGCCGACGAGGAGCTGCTGGACGCCTTGAGGCGAGATGGAGGATACGAAGGCGACGGGGCCGTCTGTAACGAAGTGGCAGTTGCTTTGGGCGAAGTAGTCTGGGGCGTCGATGATGCTAACGGCGATGTCGTTGTCTAATGTTTGGGTTAGTTAACTACCACAGCCAGTGGTTGGGATGGGCGGAAGGGGGACAAAGGGCGAACTAACTGGTTTGATGGACTACACCATCTGCGGCGAATTCCATCGAGTACGAGGCCGGGCCGCCGTGGAAGGTGAGGTGGACGGTTTGGGCATCGCGGGGGGTGAGAGATGGGTGGGCGAAGGCCGTGGAGGCGAGGGTGAGGAGGGTGAGGGCGGAGGAGAGGAACATTTTGGGTTTATTGTGTGATGCTTTATTGGGGGGAGGAATTTGGATAAGAAATTAAGAATTGAGGAAGATTTGGGTGAGTGAAACTTCGTGAGAAGGGTGCTGTGGTGGAACCGAGGATGGATGCTGAGGTTTGATGGGGGGAGCGTGTCGAGCTGTTTATGTATACATACTTCCTTCTCTTCCTTCTTCCCTGTACGAACTTGAAGAAGCCTCATGACCGCCGAGCCAGCCCGGAAGGAGCAGAGTAGCATGCAGTCCGAGGCGTCGTGAGATCGGTCCCCACGACTACATGGGCATGCAGGGAGTCAGCTAAGCTGCGAAGTACCTTTTCTTCCAATTGCCTCAGTGGCGTGGTGGGACGGGATGCACGTCTACATTGAACTTCGAATGTTCCTCCTCATCATCAATTGATCCATCTCAGCTGAGGCGCCATGCATCTCCATCTGCTTCCCGCCCCTCCTTGCTCTCCACGTCTCTCGGTTGCATAGATGACCCGAGGTAGAGAATGCGAGGGTTCAATAATATCACGATCGTCCTCGTGTCTGCGCCCGTGTCAAGGGGAGACCGGCGAATAGCCACCACTTTCCTTGTTCTGATTCGCACCGATTTTCCGTTCTTGGGAGTGAATCAAGGGCCAAGGATACTTTTGTAGTGCATGCTGGGCATGTACGAAGTAGGCCGTGGCCGACATTCCGTCTGTGGCTAGAAGCTCCAACCTGTCCCATGCAGCGAGGTCAAAAGATCTGGGATGGTAGTGGCAGGTCATAAACTAATCTAGTTTAGATTACATGACTGTGTTCAAATACGAGAAGAAGCAGTGCAAGGGAGTGGAGGCAAAGAAACCGAAGAACGAAGGCAAGGTGATTTTTTTGCTCGTCAATTGGCTGCATGCAGAAGAAGCATGGAAGGGCAGGAATAATCCCCCTCGTCGTCTCTCCCTGTGCTCCCTTGGTGACATCACACGTTTCTATTTTCGGCTGGCCCCGGTCTGGTCCGGCCTCTTGTCATTCGCCCACTTTGCTTTTCCTGGGCTGCTTCGTGCATTTCCTCAAGCTCACCCGCCTCCCTTCTGCCGTGTTGGCAAGGGTCTTGGCGAAGCATGATCACCAAAACAAAAAAAAAGAAAGCTCGTGAAAATGCGCCGGAGGACCAAAAAGCCACTGACGACGTAAACTTAGTTTAGATTAATCCATCTAACCTGGTTTGGACCTATCGGAATACTCCAGACCTCACCACCCTGATTTTCTTTAAGGCTGCTGTTGGAGCAGGCTAGCCTGGCGAGGAGGAAATAAAGGCGCCAGACGGGAGCTAATCGAATTCTCCGTACTCAGTGTACTCCGTAGTGCTGAGGACTCTGTTAACCTCCGATTATAGCGCGCGGGAAGCAAAACCCACGATGTCACTATTTCGTTGGGCAGATGATGACGAACGCCAAGAAATTGGGGTCCATGGGCGAGAGGGTGCTGGAAGCAACATGATGTGGATTATTCTTCTTTTCTCGTATTAGAAGTTAGCGTATCCTCTCGATGTCGATCTGCGTTCATATGTTTAGTAAGTGCTCCGGTTCTGGGATAGTTTACGAGATCTGGACCGGCCCCATGCTGGGACTTGCAGACATCTCCGCACTTTACCTGTGTGGCCAACCACACATCATCACTAGCGTGTCAGTCTTGAAGAATGCGAACGGTGAGAAAAGGATCGGGGAAGACCAAGGCCCACTATCTCACGTAAGAGAGGACCTGTGGGCAATATCAGAATGTGGCGGCCGTCTCTGAGTGTACAAGATTAGGCCGGAAATAGCGGGTGTCATGCAGCACTCTACAAGTGCGATCTTGGTTTGCTCCGCTGAGAATCAGCTTGTCGCCGATAGGGCTTCGAACCCGGAGAGCCGCGCGTACGCAAGTAGTGTAAATGGCGGAGGAGAAAACTCCATCCCTGTTCACCGAAGCTGCTGCTCCCTGGCGGCGTTTGCTTCCCTTTCTTGTCTGTTCTGCTCTTGGTCCCATTGTCGCCAGTTACCTCAGGGCTTTGCAAGTCAGCTTGTCGATTCTCCAGCAGACAGCAGACGGAAACAACACTGCCTTAGACCAACCAGGTCATCCGTGTCTGACGGGGCCCACAAGGGTCCTCGCGCCCTATATTGTGTATCCCCAATCCAGACTTCCTGCTGCGCTTAGTGTAAGGTCACATAATTCCGAAAAATACTTTTGACTTCTGACAAAATAGCCGGGGTGCGAGTGAGCGAATACTGGAACTCAGATGACACGAGGATAAGTCCAGTAATCCGTGAAGAGACTCAAACTATACTGGACGGGGTGAAGCTGAACTGAACAAACTAAGGGTAACCATCCATCATAGACCCTGTCAATAACTCAGACGTGGGCAATTTTAGCGATGCTAACAAGACGATACAGAAGTGGACAGGAATTTAAGCAGTAATGACAGGGACATGCAAGGACATGAATAATTAAAGAAAAGAAAAAAGCATCGCGCAGTATCATCCTCTCCAAACATTACCGAAACGGGAATAACAACGTGTATAATGTACATGAGGTTGCTCAGGTTGCTTCGGTTTCCACCCCCCTAGACCTGCGATGATCTGCGACGGGTGCTCCTGCGTCTGGAGCCAGTGTCGCCGTTGGCGGGGGCCTCGACATCACCATCATCATTGCCGCGGCTCTTCTTGCTCGACGCCTGCCTGACGGGCTTGGCTGCCTTCTTGGCCGGCTTGGGCTTGACCTCCTCGGACTCGGACTCCTCCTCTTCCTTGGCCTTTCGGGCGGTTTTGGCGGTAGTCTTTGCCTTGGCCTTAGACTTCTTGGCGGGCTTCACGTCTTCTTCCTTATCGTCATCCGCTGCCTCCTCATCCTCGGACTCGGCAGGTTCATTCTTGGGCTTGGATCGCACGACGGCCTTGACGGCCTTCTTCCCAGCAGCGCCCTGAGCCTTGATCTTTTTGGCGGTAGACTTGGCCGTCGGATGTTCCTCATCATCACTTGCATCGGATTCGGCCTTAGTAACCCTGCTCTTCTTCGCGGGCTTAGCCTCCTCTTCTTCAACATCGCTTTCGACCTTGGTGCGCTTGGCCCTTCCTTTCTTAATGGGCTTCACAACTTCCTCGTCCTCATCCTCGACTTCTGCCTTGGCCTTGACTGCCTTCTTTGCCTTCTTCACTGGCTTGACAGGCTCGGCATCCTCTGACTCCTCAACTTCCGCTGCCTTGGCCTTTGTCTTGGCCGCCTTCTTTACCTTCTTCGCCGGCTTGGCGGGCTCAGGTTCGTCTTCCTCATCTTCGTCCTCGGCGCGGGCCCTCTTGCCCTTCTTCTTGACCGGCTTGCCCTTGGGCTTGCCTGCATCACTTTCGTCACCCTCGTCGGCTTTGGCCTTGGCGCGACGAGCGGGAGCCCTAATGCCTCGCTTGCCGGGAACATTGTACTCCGGATCCTGCAATTCTGTATTTAGCTACCACTCTATACATGGGTAGCGCGCGGTAGTACATACCCCATTGAAATCCTCTGCGTCGATGTGGCCTTGTTTGACACATCGGCGAATCTTTTCCTGAATATCGGGGTGATCACTGAGAAGGCGAGTTAGCTATGAGAAACCGTGAGTTTCAACCCGAGGGAGGTCTATCTAGTCCATACCCGAGCTCGTCGTATCCGTCAAAGAAGTCGAACGATAGATTCCCATCTTGGTTTCTGTCACAGAGCTCTTGGACCTGTTGCATTTGCAAGCCGGAAACACAGCCCCTAAAAGAATCGGAATTAACATGGGTTCGAACCTCATCACCTCAGGATCTCTGATAACTCACCAATGCTTCCATTTCCAAGAGCCGCGGTCCTCAAAGGTGATGTAAGTACCGAAACGAAGAACGCCCTTTTCAATTTTGGCTCCTTCCTTCTTGCAGTGGGTGTCTTGGCATAGAGCCCGTGCGGACGGTGATATTTCTGAGCCTTGAGTTAGGAGGGAAATGAGAGATTAAAATGAATAGAGTGTGAGCTTTGGGGTGATCTTACCAACGCGATACTCGGGCATATCTTCTTTTGGTGAATTCCAAAGTTAAAATGCAGTAGAGAAGATGAATGATGGGATGAAGCAATGGGAGAAGTGCTATCTCAGGTTGGGGGATAGAAATTGGAGCTTGAGGTGATCAATAAATGAGAAGTCGATGAAGGGATGCTTGAAGAGCTTGTGTGGAGAGCTCCAAAATTTATAGCACAGCTGAAGAGGGTATCAAAATAGATTTTGATGAGAATACTTTCGAGCCAAAACGAAAAGCTCAGTACGGATCGCAATTGATGTTTCGACCGAAAATATCTGTTTTTACCCGGCTTGAATATCCAATATTCAAGGTGGAAGCCTGAGAATGCAAGTCTCACGTCTCTCGTGCTTTCTCCTGATCTGGCGCGACCCAACGAAGCTCAAGCTTCCACTGCGCCTTTGTACCTGTGTACCGCAATCCTAGTGAGCCTCAGGTCTCACTCGATAACACGTGACCTCGCGTATTTTGAGCTGACACGCCCTTCACGACTTTCATTTTCTCGAGTTCAAAGGGGACCCCACCAAATGTATCTGGAGGTCTCAGTCGTGCCTGTCCACAGCCGGCTGCCTGCTCACGATACTTGGACCCAGAGAACGCCATTACATTCATAGCCTCTCTCTGTATGAGCCGCCGTGAATGCATCAGTAATTTCGCACCTAAATTCCTCCAACAGACCACACATATAGCGTATGCCGAGATGATCCTCTGCCATCATGACCTCGACACCCCACGGGAACCTGCCCACGGCTGGAGGCCATGTCCTTCGGCGAGACGAGATGCAGCCTCCACCCTCAACTTTGGCTGCACAGCTCGTTGAGAACATTTCGACCTCGACGTCAACGAAATCGACGAAATCTAGCGAAAATGGGGAGCTCAAGAAGCTCTTTACTACCATCGAGCACATCAAGAACAACCCCGATCTCCTACAGACTCCCGAAGACCGAATCGCCCACAACCACATGCTGATTTATGTCTACTTCCGCGCCGTCCTCGATGCCCTGCGGCCTGATGATCCGTTTCTCGACAAGGAGCGTATGCGCAGCGAGGCTTCCAAAGCTGTCCATTTCTTCAGGCTTGCCGTGATCGAGACCCCTCAGGTTCTGATATGCTCGGCCGATGAAGGACAATTCTTATTCAGGGGAAGTGAGCCGCTGTGGACATGGGCTTTTCCAAAGATCTTTCGTCTGCTAGGCCACCCGCAATATCTAGAGCTTTCGGAACCAGTAGAGACTCTTTTCCATTCCATATTCAAGGTGGTCTCCACCACGGGGCAGCTGGTATCGGTGATCCCCCCTCTCATGCTCTATTTAAGGGAATTAGTTAAAGGTATGCTTGAGTCCCTCAATCGGAACAGTGGCCGCCCTCGTTACTTCGAAGATACTAAACGTAAGTGTGTCTTTAGATATTCTTGACGCCCTTGAGAACAGTCCCACCGACCGCAGCGGGTCTCGAAGCCCCGCCGTAAAGCTCGATCTCCCGTCTAATCGAGTCTTCAAATGTATCGACCCCGATGCTGCTGATCCCACCTCCGAATCTACATCCCTAAGGCGTCGTGTTACGTACAAACTCACCAACCCCTCTCAATGTCTACGGCAAGCATTGATCCTGCTTTCTATACTCTCTGGGCCCCTTACCCGTGAGAATCCTGTGGCTGGGCTCTCCGAACACGGACCTTGGCTGCTTGACTCTCTTCATGCTCTCTGCAATGCCCAAATCCAGCGGGATCCTGCAATAGAAGTGACTATTGTTCCGTTGATAAAGATCGCCTTGCCATTCGCCTGTCGTAATGTCGCTCGTGGCAACACCAGGTCTATAATTCAAGGGAAGGCATGTATCGTGCTTTCGTTCCTCATCGCCGAACTAGCTACTAGGCCGACTGAACTCCTAGGTGATAGCGAGGCCTCAAAAGCAGCGAGATGCTCGTTGTGCCAGTCAATCCTGTGCCTTACGAAGACGTCTATTTCCGACAGGGCAATTAGTCGCCTCGTATCTGCTCATGTAGTTGGCAATTGTGAATACCTATCCTCCCAGGTCCCCGAACTAAGGCCTGGATCCGATTTTGCAGTAAGGCCCTTGTCTCTCCGAAAAATTGATAAGAACTTTGATGTTAATGAGTTTCGTTTATAGAGGGCTAGTGCTTTACTTCGGGAGGCGTCCGCCATGCAAATACCCCGGGCGTTTGACAAAAATGCGCGTCCTCAGTTCTTCGAGGATGAAGATCTGCGCCGCCGAGTAGAATCACTTCATCTTAACTACAAGACGACTGATGAGGAAGTCAACCAACCGGATCGGAAGCGACGCAAGATTGCAAGTGTAGACACAAGTTTGGCGATACTCTCCGAGCAGATTTTTCAGATAATAAACCCAGATGCCGTGGATGGAGGATTCGAGCAAATTATAGTGTACGTTAACTCTTTTCTCCTCTTGGCTTCTTTGCTTGCACTTGCAATGATACTTATGTTCACCTCTCCAGGGACGGGTTCTCCAATATGGACGACGACAGAAAGTGCCTTGTTATGGAGCTTCTCGGCCGTGCCCCATGTGCAGCAGATGGCACACTCTCCTTCGCAGAGCCCGGTTCCAATGCGCAACCCAGGATGTCGTGTTCGTTTTGTTCGGGCCAAAAGGCGAGTGCAAGCCTTCCGCCAGACTGCGTCAACCCAAGGGCAAAGAGTGAGGCTTATTCTGCCTTTGCGAAGCTTGTTGATCTCCCAGCTTTTCAGCAATGTAGGAGACCTCGAGTGGTGGCCATGATGGCACTCCGTCGGTTTGTCCTACACTCGGTTGAGCCCGAGTTTCTTAATATACAGGGCTCTCCATTAGCATCTTGGTGTGTCCGCTCGCTAAAGAGCTCTATTCGAGAACTTCGCATCGCAGCCGGGTATGTACTTTTTTGGTGTATATCGGTCTGGTGGGCTCATTTCTAACGCGGCTGTAGGCGGATTCTCCCTCTTTTTGTCAGAGACCTTGAGTCGGCCCTCGTCGAGAGCAAGGTAACTCGAGAAGCGTCGAACCACATCACGAGCACGACATTGCAGAATCTGTCAAGTTTGATGCCCTTTTTGAGGTCTATCTCGGATAGCTCCCCACCTCATTACCAAGAAACGTGCATCATGGCTTGGGGTCAGCTTGGCCGGTAAGAGATCCTCCCACACTCACACCGCCGAGGTGTTGCCTTTATTCTTATTAACTCTTCTCGTAGGGTAGCGCCTGATCAAGAGCTCAATCTGATTCTGTTGAAGTTGGTTGAATATCTGGGATATGAAAACGATGTGATCACCTCCTTGGCCTTCCAAGAGGTAAGCCTCAGTTACCGCATATATCCCATTCTTTTTTAACCTTGGCTAAACATGAGATATTAGTTATCAAACATTGCGGCGGCGCGAAACCTGTCTCCCCTCAAGCTTTTCGAGCCATTCTGGAGAGGCTTGGCGCATTTCGTCATCAAAGACGTGATAACAAAACCCCAAACCAGCATTTTGACGGCCGACCTTCTTGGCGTCAGCGTTAGCGAGCTTCTCCTACTTGTTCACCGTCATGCGCTTCCCTGGCTTGTTCTACAAGGCAAGCGGGATGTCATTGAGCGGATAGCTAAGGCTAAAAGGAACGATGAAATTCACTTACCCATTGTCGAGAGCGGGAATCTGGGCCCAGTATTAGCCCTCCTTTTCATTCAGCCTGTGGAGAACGTCGCTGCCTTTGCCATGGCCAAGTTGACTGAAATTACGCCTTATTTCGAGACAACATTTGAGATTCCGCAGCTTGTCCGCAGCGAATTAGTGCCAATTGCGTTGGAACTTTTCAAGTTGGCCGCGGAAGGAAATGATGCGAGGAAGCTGGCCGTACGTACATTTCCCATATCCCCATGCATGTAACAGCCATCTCGGGCTATGGAGAAAGCTAACATAGTTTCCTTGATAGGCACGAAACGCTCTTACACAGATTGCTGCCATAGTTGGTATTTCTGGAGAATCCAGGACCAGGAAGGGAAATGTTGTCGGTCGATTCCTCCAACCGCAGGTTCTGGGCTTGATGACGAGGTTAACAGACGTCATCAATATCGCGGCCTTTGGGCGCCCGCCCACCTTAGAGCAACGCCTCTGTCTTCAAGCGATGGAAGAAATGATACGTACCTGTAAAGCCCATGTCCGCGTAGCTCGCCCGCAGGTTAGTTTCGGTCCTTGCATTACTCCCCTGTGATATTTTAATAGTCGAATTACTGATGAAAACCACTCTTGGCAGATCTCGGCCTGTCTCCTTGCAGCAATCGCCATTCACGGTCTAAGGCAAAGTGCGTTTTCTTGCTGGGCTACGATGCTTCACAACCTCGAAGAAGAGGACGTGGATGTATTACTAGAAACAACATTTTTCATCATCATTCACTACTGGCCTGTGTCAAACGAGTCGACGCGGCAGCGTATGCAGGAACTTGTTCGAACTCTCTTAGACAAGCATCTTCCAGTTCTCGAAGCGGAGATCAATCGCATTCCATCGCTGGAAAGAGTTCTAGATCTCAAGCCACTTGAGGCTAGTCTACGGGCTCTCCGGGTTCCCCTTGATCAGCGGGCTGCTTTCAACATCTTTGCTGAGCGTATCGCGCACGAGTATTCTGGTGTTGTTATGTTGGCTCTTGAGGAGTTGGTGGCATACCTAAAACTGAACCAGGACTACATTCAAACTACAGCGATCAGCGAGAACCCTGATCCGGTAGTGGCAGTATTGTTACGGTCCCTCCTCGACTGCGCCTCACGGTATAATGGAGTCAACCTTGATATCGCCAGGTTATGTACCGAATGCATGGGCCTGATCGGCTGTATCGACTCGAATCGTGTCGAAGCTCCACGTGAACAAAAGTCCATTGTTGTGCTTGACAATTTTGAGAACGATGATGATCGTCGTCACTTCGGATTCTACGTCCTCACTGAGGTTCTTGTCAAATCATTCTTATCAGCTACTGATCCAAGGCGGCAGGGCTTCTTGTCCTTTGCGATCCAGGAACTACTGGAAAGATGTGATATCAAACAAGCGGTGCTAAATCAGGATCTAGGGTCTAGAGGTGGCAGTGCTGACATTTACAGGAAGTGGAAAGAATTGCCCATATCTGTCCAGGAAGTCCTCTCGCCCTTCTTAAACTCCAGATACTTACTAGGACCGATGGCCCCGGTCGTCGCCAAGTATCCCATCTTCTGTCCAGGAAAGCCATATACGACGTGGCTAGTATCATTTGTTATGGATCTTCTTCGCAATCCCCAAAACGCTAATGCATCTCTTGTCTTCGAACCGCTGTCGCGAGTAACGAGACTACGAGACCCTTCGGAACCAGAGTTCCTACTCCCATATGTCGTGTCTCATATCATCATCAGCAACGATACACCCAAGGAACTACGTGAAAATGTCATCAATGAGCTTACGGCAATTCTTAATTATGAATTGCCGGCCACAGCAACCCCAGATGAGCGGCAGGAGATGAAGTTATTCTATGAGGTAGGTGTCATTAAAGCAACCCATTGAATCTGCGCTGCTCAATGTTAACTTCTAGTAATTAGGCTCTCTTCCGCATCCTTGATTATCTTAGAAGATGGGTTCATGCACGGCAAGCGAGGACCAAGAATGCACCGAACGATGACCCTGCAATCAGTCGGGTCCGCGAGTTCCTAGATCGAACCCCATCTCAGACCATTGCTCAACGAGCCTTGGACTGTGAGCAGTACTCTCGAGCCCTGTTCTATCTCGAGTACCACATGCAGGAGGGCAAGCTCCAGGGTGATGATCACTCGAAGATGATGAAGCGACTGCAAGACATTTACGCACATATTGATGAGCCTGATGGTCTTGAGGGCCTCTCGGCACGATTGCAAATCTTGGACATTGACCAGCAGGTCCTCGGCCATCGCAAGGCTGGCAGATGGACTGCTGCGCAAACTTGGTACGAGATACGCTTGGCGGCCGAACCAGATAACTCCGATGTCCAACATGATCTTCTCACCTGTTTAAAGCAGACGGGACAACATGGTGAGCATAATTCTAAAGTTCTTGGCCAGCATGATGGCGTTTAACTTGCGCTAACACACCTTTTTTTTCCCCCTCCTCTCTAGATGTCCTGTTGAACTACGTAGAAGGCATGCACTTACAGCCAGGTACTCAGACCAACATTATACCGTTTGCTGTCGAGGCTGCCTGGGCGACCAACCGATGGGAGTCGTTGTCAAAATATCTAGATCTAGCCAAATCGTCGGACGCGTCGTATGCAGACTTCGACGTAGCGATTGGCGAAGTATTCCGCGATTTCCAACTTGGTCGAAAGACCAATTTGATCCCAGCTATCAACAGCATCAGAGAGCGCATTGCCGCTTCGATGGGCATCACGGAGACGGCTTCTTTACAGGCTTGCCACGATATCATGCTGAGGTGCCACATCTTGACGGACCTTGAGCTGCTTTTGTCGGCACAAGCTAGTGAAGAAGACGTCGACAACCGGCCTACGCTCAATGCTCTTAAACGTCGGTTGGATGTTTTGGGTGCCTATGTTGAAGATAAACAGTATCTTCTAAGTATCCAGAGGACAGCGATGGAGCTGCAGAGGTGAGGCTTTCCCACTTGGAAAACGAAAAGAGAAAAAGCAAAAATTGCTAGCTTGACACATGATTAACATTTCGTTGCATTTAGACCAATCTATTCGGACCTCGACATATCAAGCCTCTGGATGTCGAGCGCACGTCTTGCCAGAAAGAGCAACTCCACGCATCAATCCTATAACGCTGTTCTCCATGCTTCAAGACTTGGCGATCGCTCTTCGGCAATCGAAAATGCGAAACTGCTCTGGAAAGACGGACATCATCGCAAAGCCATCCAAACTCTCGATGGTGTAATGGCGAATAATGAGCTAGTGACACAAGAGGAACTGGCGAGCATTCCATCTTCTAAGTTTGCTGATTGCCCACATAGACTACTCAAGGCGAGGGGAGAGTTGCTTCTGGCGAAGTGGCTAGACAGCACCGGAGCCCATCACTCGGCCACGATTAGAGAAAAGTATCAGGAACCGCCTAAGACCCATACGGCCTGGGAAAAGGGTCACTATTACCTTGGGAAACACTACAAGAAGCTGCTCGAGTGGCAGAAGACTCTGGATCCGGACGATCAAAGCGATGTATATCTCACGGGCGAGCTTGCTCGGGCGTTGATCGAAAATTATTTCCGTGCGCTCAATTTTGGAACAAAGTATTTGTACCAGACCTTGCCTAGGATCCTGACTCTATGGCTAGAACTCGCAGCACAGCTTGATAAAGCTCCCGAGGGCAAGCATTCTGTCTCCCGGGAACTCTATCGAAGACGCACGGAACAACTTAACAAGCTCCATTCCAGCCTAGATAAGTGGATCTCTAGACTGCCTGCCTACCTGTTTTACACAGCCCTACCCCAAATCGTTGCTCGGATAGCGCATCCGAACAAGGACGCGTTTTCGAAGCTAGCGGACATAATCGTCAAGGTCGTCGACGCGCATCCCCGACAGGCCCTTTGGAGCCTATTTGGTGTGATGACCACGAAGCAAAAGTCTGAGCGACAGGCTCGAGGGCAAGAAATCATACGCCGGCTGAAGACAAATGCGACCAAGGTCGGTGGCACTAAATTCGCGGTGAGAGATATCATCCGGAAGGGCGAGAGGCTAGCCGAACAGCTGCTCTTGGCGTGTCATAATGGCGACTTCCAGAGCAACCGAACAGTAAAGGCTAGCATTGTGAGAGACTTGTGCTTCAACCACGGATGTACGCCCTGCCCGTTGGTGGTGCCTATCGAGGCTTGCTTGACAGCGACGTTACCTACTGTCACAGACCACCAGAGGAAGCATGAGGCGTTCTCGCGTGATGTCGTAACGATCGACTCGTTCCTAGACGAGGTGCTCGTCCTTGGCTCTCTCGCCAAGCCAAGACGTCTCACAGCACGCGGATCGGATGGCAACCTCTATCCACTGCTCATAAAGCCCAAGGACGATCTACGAACGGATCAGCGCCTGATGGAATTCAACTCGATGATCAACAGAGCGCTCAAGCGCGACGCAGAGTCGAGTAAGCGGCAACTATACGTGCGAACATACGCAGTGACGCCACTCAATGAAGAATGTGGTATTATCGAGTGGGTTGACGGACTCAAGACACTCAGGGACGCGCTCCTCGCGCTGTATGCGGCGCGCAACATTTCTCCCGATTACAGCGTCATCCGAAACATGATGCGCGAGGCGGCGTCTTCTGCTAAGAACATTCACATCTTCACTGAGGGGGTGCTCGGCATGTTCCCACCCGTGCTGCACCTGTGGTTTGTCAATCAATTCCCGGACCCGTCGGCTTGGTTCTCGGCGCGCATCAGGTACACGCGGTCTTGCGCCGTCATGTCGATGCTCGGGACGATTCTGGGCCTGGGTGACCGTCACGGAGAGAACGTCCTGCTCGAAGAAGGGAACGGAGGAGTTTTCCACGTCGATTTCAACTGCCTCTTTGACAAGGGGACGACTTTTGCGCAGCCCGAACGCGTGCCGTTCCGCCTGACGCACAACATGGTGGCTGCGATGGGGATCTATGGCTACGAAGGGCCGTTTAGACAGTGTTCGGAGCTGACGCTCTCGATCCTGCGGCAACATGAGGAGACGCTCATGACCATTCTCGAGGCTTTCATCTACGATCCGACCCTTGATCTCCAGAAAGAGAAGAAGCCGGCCAGGAGAGCGGATGGCGGCGTCAAGTTTTACCCGCAAGGCGTGGTGGACAGCATCAAGAGGAAAGTGAGGGGTCTGATGCGGGATCAGAGCATCCCGCTTGGAGTTGAGGGACAAGTGGAGGAGTTGATTAAACAGGCGACTGATCCGAAGAATTTGGCGGCGATGTATATTGGATGGTGCCCTTTCTTGTAACTTGAAAACTGGAATATATTGGGGACGAACTGACACACGATAGAGTACTGCTTTTGGAGCTTGGACTTTTAAGACAGGGTGGTGGTAAATAGGGCGGCGGAAAACGTGAAAAAGATGCATTGTATTGTATTGTTGAAATTAAAGTCAAATAAACATAGAAGGATGACAACTACGTGCTCGCATTTCTATGTACAGCGCCTTCAAGCTACTGCTGAAGGCATATCTATCCTTCCCCCATTTTTATCAATATCCAAGGTAGAGCCCCGCAACTCTAATCTCATCCCACTGGGGCGCCGATACAGCTTACAGCGACCTCTTCTTATTCTTCTTGCTCTTACAGTCAACCTTGAAAGGCGGATCGGCATTCTTGATCAACATCTCAAAGTACTCCTGGAACCACTCCCCCGCCTCCGGAGCAGGAACGTAACTCGAATTCGACGAGCAATTGACATCATACCTCACAGCCTCCTCATCCGAAGTTCCATCCGACTCCCCACCGGGCTTAACCCAGACGAAAGCATCGAGCAACTCGCTCCCGGTATCCGCCGAGGGGCGGATGCCGAAACCGGTGTCCTTTACGTTGCACCAGGCCGACCAGCTCTCGCGGCCGGCGGGCTGGGCGCCGGAGCGGCCCGTGTCGACGATGAAGTGGGTGGGAAAGTCGTTTTCTTCGAGGTAGGGGACGAGGGATTCGTGGAATTTGCTCTCGTCGGAGTTGGGGTTTTCGGTTGCGTATGCGGGGGGTTCAGTGGCGTTGTACTGGGGGCGATTTCCATGTTAGAAACTTGAAATTGCTTGTTTTCTTTTTGAGGGGAAGGTACACGTACAGCATTGAAGTTGGAGACGTTAGTAACGAGACCACGAACAGCTCCAGGCTTCCCGGCCTCCTTGTACACGGCGCCGAAGACTTGGGCCGTGGTGTTGAGGTTACCCGGCCAGCCGAGCCAACCGGCGTGGCCAGCGTCGAGATAAAGAGCGACGTTGTCATGGTTCAAGGTTTCGAGGGCGTAGACGGTGCTCTGGTGGTAGGCATCGGCCGCGTTTGCGCATTTCTCTACTCCGTCTAGGTTCGTGACCAAATTGGCAAGGCCATCGGGTTCTGCTTGAAGTGTTAGACGTGACTCTTTTTTAGTGAGGCCGGAAAAGCAAAGGGGGAAGCTAACCATAGACGAAAATGATGCGGACATCATCATACTCCTTGACAAGCTCCGCAACGGGATCGATGTATTCGGTGCGATACCTCTCAAGGCCGTCCTCGTCGAGGTGGAGCTCTCCGTCAGAAGCCTTGGCGGAACAATCTCTATCGGGGAAGTTGTATAGGACGAAGAGGCCGGCGTAGGGCGGGTCAGCTCCGGCGTTGTTAGCTTCGCGGATCTCGGCGAGGGTGGCGCTCATGAGATCAATCTTGGCGATTTTGTCGCTGATGTCGGATTGACGTTAGTGGAAGCCTTTCAGTGCAGAGGATTCCGCCGCGAGTGGAGGAGCTTATAGATTGTAACTTACAGCCATTGGAACGAGGGTGTCTCGGCGACTAGCTTGGCCTTTTCAGCGAGGGAGCCGGACATCTGGGGAATGGCAAGCTCGTAGATCTCGTCCCTGTAGAACGGGTTCACGTACATGGCCACGCCGTCGAAGGGGTTGTCGTCGTAGGCGGCGGCCCTTTTGGCCCTGGTGGGGCTTGAGAGGGCGGAGGTGCCCAGGGCCGCGAGGGCGACCAGGACCTTCTTGAGAGACATCATAAAGTAGGCTCAACTAGACGAGGACGTGAGATCTTGGCTTGTGTGAACTTCACGAGATGGAAAGAGTATTCGATTTATACAAGTAACCACCGGGCAGGATGGCTTTTCTATTTATCTACTCGTTTTGTTCTTTTCGTTGTTTTCTTTCCCGCTTCAAGGGATTCGACTCAGACCTCTTTCGTGACGGAAAGAATACTCATCTCTTCCGCCGAGGAAGAGGAATTTGGTACGGAACCAACTAACTTGGAGAATGATTTAAATGAAGCCAAGCAATAACAGAAGGCTTGGCTGTGCTCTCCAAATTCTTCTTGATTTTAAGCCATATTATGGAAGGAACGATGAAGATCTACGCTTTTCCCTTGCAGACGGCCGTCAGGAAGGAGGAAATTATTCAAAGAATATATAATTGAGAATTAGCTGGTGTCGGGGTCTATATCTCAGAGCTCATATAAAGGAATTCAGGAGCCATCGTTATCTACTTGACGATCTTGTCCTCCTAGATTATCGCGTCAAGAGCGCGTGCCACGCTCTCTATTCAGGAATGTGGTCTGGAGGAATGATGCATATTCTTGGCTGATTAGACACCGGCGGGAAGAGCACGGAAGAATGAGCTCCGGAATACCGGGAGAAGGCGTGCACTCCGGGTCCAAATTGGGGGCAATTTTTTGTGGAGAAATGTGGAGAAATTCAGTTCCGGCCGGCTTACAGTGGGTGTATGGGTCTTGGTGCGTAGGACTGGCCAAGACCCGTGATATCACGACATCGAGGAACAGCATGAAGAGAGTAATAAAAAATGAGCGGAGAGCTGCCCATTTGTTGCCACGGGAAGATAAAAAGGGCGCCTACATCCCACCCGGTTGAAAGGTTTGCACCGGATCGATGCCTTTCCTGTCAAGTCTACAAGGGAGTTGAGCGGATCCGCTCTGCCATAATTGCTTGTATGGAGGTTATTATGAGCTGGAGAGTGTTCATCAAAGTTCTTGGTCCAAGAGCTCACGTGATCGAAGATACCCCAAAGTTCCTCCCCTGTCTTCAAAAGTTCTAGAAATGGTTACATAATGTCGTGCTCCATCACTGGAAGAATCGGGCGCCACTTCCGCCGACCTTCCTATTCGGTAACCCTGTGGAGAGGCCCCAATCTCCGTCCTCACTTTGACTAAGATGATATCAATGCTCACATGGCATTCACATATATGCAACGTGTGATGTTGAGGAGAGAGAAAGAAAAAAAAAAAATCTTCTTTTTGTTTGTGACTTTGTGACGCCAAGCGTCATTAGGTCTCGGAGCTTCTCTGGCTAGCTGCCTCGGCATTCTCTTAGGAGGCACTTTGTCTTCCAACCTGATGTTTTAGCTTGCGCATTCGGTCAATCTTGGTGGCGACGTTCTCACTCTCACCCGGCTCAGAGACGATTATGCAAAGTTAGGGAGAAATAAAACTCTGCGCCAAAAAAAAAAAAAAAAAAGAGAGAAAATAGGGAGATGGGCCGAAGTGGGCTTCGGGACGATTGAGGCACACTATCCACACTATTTTGGTTCCTTGGGATTGGGTGCGAGGTGTTGTCAGATGTAGCGCGACGGCCTGGACCGTGGCACGATCAGGCTCTCTTTGCCAACTGGCTAGCTAGGCAACTCTTGATACTTGAAACATTTCAGGACATATCCGCACCATGCTGGTGGCACACCTGCTAGGCAGGTTCACGACACGAGGACTTGCGAAAGCAGTGGCGTCTGCACCCACGCTGAAGGAGGAAGCCGCATTTCCCTATCGGTTGTCCATTGCGAGATGCCTTCGATACAGATCAGTCGCGTGCTGCAATTGTAGCTTGCTGGGTTGCTTGGCTTACTTACTGAGGGACGGCTAAAATAGCGGCGCTGGGCCTGGAATATATGGTCTGATTAAACGTGCCAACCATTGCTGGAACTTTTGACGGGATCTTTTTCAAGCTGTCAGGTGTTTTACGCTAGTGTAGACTACTTCGCGCACTCGGAGCTTGTGCATACGTCAAAATTGATCGGGGCAATTGATCGATTCTGCTTAGTTTCTCTGCTAATATTAGCAAAATCTAAACTCTTCTCATCATCTGGCAAGTTAGAACCCGACCTTAAAAGTAAAGTTGGGCTAGGAGACTTCTGGTTTGTCTGGTTTGTCAGGGGTACGATTGAGTGCCCGTTTCAGTCGTCATTGTGGCATTGTTCCCACCCAGAGCCCCTCAATCCTGAGGCCCCATAGGCCCTCAAATACCCAAAAGTCCCCCGAAACGGACGAACTTTTGGGTTTTATCTTGCAGAGCGGGGGTTCAAAATCGAGATTCCCCCCTCCCCCAAAGCTCCAACACGCCAATTGAACCAGGACAGCTGGGCGGACCTAATCCCGTGCGGAACCGATGCCAGCCATCGCCGACCAGATCAAAGAAGTTGTTTCGGTGTCGAGCTCTCGCTCGCTCGACACCACATGCACTGCCCTAGCTTCGCCTAACCTCGTCCACTCTACACCTGCAAACCCGCATATATTGTATTAACAAAGGTTCTTTTGTTTCCAATATTGCTCTTGCCAAGACCTTGGTCGTGCAAAAGGCTTGACCCTTAAAGCTAGCTCCCTCGATACTGCGGCACATGCTATGCTCGCATCAGGGTCCTTCTTCAAAGCTATGACGTCGCGGTTGTCCATGTTACCCTGACGGAATGACTCGAGTATCACAAGGCTGCAAATAATATGGGAACAGCCGTCCGTAGGCCGCGATGCAAGCTCGTTACCGAAACCATGATACCGGCTTCCGAAGAAGAACGATCCTCTCTATGTTTGAAGGCTGGGATGTGCATTCGAGTTGGATCAATGGCACGAAGAACCTCTTTCGAAACGGCTTCGTAACACACCGACACCGATCCGGTCAATACGACTGCAACCTGCCCTTGAAACCTCATCTTGCTAGCAGTGGGTCACGTTAAAAAAAGAACCATTGATATCATATCGTGTTCAAATCTCCATCCCATCTCCTGCGTCGAAGGCTGCGCATAGTGTACACCCACCCACTCCCCACATAGCACGTGTATATGGCACACATTTTTTATCCCCTTTCGAGTCTTCTCCCACTCGATGTGGGCACCCAATTCTTCTAGTAGATCCTTTGTTTGGCTTCCTGGAGCCGAAATTTCCGGCACAGACAGATAATTCCGCGCCAGGAAAGGTACATATTAGGATGCTTCCAGAAGATCTAAAACCACCACGTTGTGTAGAATGGCGGGGGCCTTTCATGATGGCTTCAGCCGATTCCACCCTTAGCTCTAAGATTGGAAAAAAATTTTACGAGACCACTCCCGGGGAGCATATATCGGCAATGTTTCTCGGCAGGAAGGATCTTTCTTGATTAGACCTTGGGAGAATTCCTCAGATTCTAGAAAGCCCGTCACATCTTGCTGCCGCGGTTGCCGAGGGGCGACATTTTCACTTACAGCCGTGGTTACGATTAGCCTCGAGACCTCGAACTAGGGCAATTGAGTTTTGACGTCGAGGGAGGGATCGCGGAAACGGGAAGGTCGAGAGAATCCCGACAGAATTAAGCTTGCATTTTGGGCCAGGCCTATCCTCCCTCTTTCCGTTTTTACTCGACGCTATTACCTATTTACACCACACTATACTCTGGTCGCCGAGCCTTCCCAAAAGGGGTAACGAAAAACATCCGCAAGAGAAACGGTTTGATCCAAAACAGCCCGATGCCGACGGTGCAACTACGGAGTATGTCTGCGTTTTGTGAACAGTCAGGATTACGAGAGCAGTGCCTGTTGTCATGGCGAAAAAAGGTAGGTGGGATCCGTCTGTGTGAGGATTGGAGCGTTGCATCCAACCTCCCTCAGTCCCTTTTGTTTTCCTCTTGCTATCAGATTCGGCAGGGAGGAAGGAGGAATGGATAATAGCTTGACATTGCGATGAGGAAACCGCAAAGCACCCAGCGTTTGTTGGCCATTGGTCTTCGTTTCCCAGTCCAAGACAGGAAAATGTAACCAAAGGCGGCGACAGTACCGGGACTAGCGTGGCAAGTTCGAGTGTGTGTGGTGGTATCAGCGAGGTGACACTTGGTGGGGGGCTAACAAAAATCCCCAGCTTTCGGGATCGGCAGGTTGGACGTCCGCTGCTGCCTTCTGCCCGAAGTAGTGGGCCAATCACAAGAGTCAAGGATCCCAATTAAAGGAAGGTGGCGGCATGTGGGTTTTCGCCGCCAAGGGTCAGCCGTCACTTCCTCGTACACAATGAAGCAGTCTGGAGCTCGTGCGGGAGGAAGTTGGTCCCGGCAGTACGCAGTAACTACATGCAATTACATGGATATGGCCCTCTTTGAAAGAAACCGTGCCCCGTCGCTATCTGCGGAGTACAAAGTATTAACGTCTCGATGGATGGGAAGCGGCACCCGGCACCCAGGGTTGGAGCACGACGTCGGCTCTGATAATGAGACAATGCGTACTTTCCCAATAGTAAGAAACAGGAGCAACAATATGATGCGACTACCTCGCAAATGAGGTGCCCCCGATGCAATTTACATTGTATTACAGGTACTCAGTGCCGATATGAGTGCGTGGGTACTCGGTACACTGCACACAATTAACATCCTCGCATGCCATTGTTTTTTGTATGGATGATGTAAGTGTTCCATGTACATCAGCTCAATGCTGCAGAATTGAGGTACAGGGTACAATCGATAGGTGCAAAAGGTGGTTTGATCTGGAGAATTCCTCGGCACTACTCTTGCTCTTACTCTTACTCTCTCACCCACGCTTTGCTTGAGGCACGCGAGAACGGAAATGTTTCTGCCCTCACGTCTTGTGATCGACAGTTCTGCTCCGGCAAGGTTCCGCTATCCATCACTTCAGAGAAGCGTATGTGATGGGGCAAAGCGTTCCCAACAGGTCTGCCAAGCTTATTTGAAGGATCCTTACCTCGTACTATCCCCAGATTTCTTGACATCACGATATCAAGAAACCCCCGCCTTCCCCCAATCGAAACACCCACCAACCATCTGGTGTTTTGCCTTTTCCGGGCAGACGATGGGGCGCTATAGCTGACCCATGCTCGCGGGGACGATCAAGCTGCCTTCCAATTTAGGCATGTTGACTCCGGGGGGCAGACGGCTAACACCATTCGTTATCGATCGTATCAAGCAAAGTGCGCATGTGCACTGCGCAGGACTCTAGCCGCTGGGTGCTTGGAGCTGTCAGAGCAATGAGGAATGAGCCCGCATTTGTTCTTCACTTCCTACCTGGTTCTGTTTTGTGACTTGTCGCCAGTGCATCCTCACGGCCTTGGACGCGGTCGTATTACCAGCTTCCGCATATGCTGCCAATTGCATGCCCACGTCGATACGACGATTACATCCAACATTGCTACTTGTACGACTTGTACAAAATGCATTGCAAATATCTAAAAATGGATTGCTTGAGGGCACACACCCACCACCGAATCTGGGAGTTTGGTCCACATCCTTGGGACCTTTTGGAAATAGCATAGACATTCTAGCGTCCCCTTGTCACTCTGAGGAAATCAACCCTTGGTCGCTGTGGGAAAGTTTCTCGCCATCGAATGGGCCTCTCCACACAGACGAGACCCTTTTCCCCCAGCTTTGCTCCATCCGCTCCATCGGGCCATGTTCGCCCTCACGGTTGCTCTTCTGGGCATTGGTGTCCGATACCCCCCTCTTCCTTCGTGCTTTAGTCGACGCCATTACACATTAATTGATGTTTTATTATGGTCATGGGATATGGCATGAGCAGTTTCGTGGCCGTGGGATAAGCCTTTAGGCCTCAACAAGCTACTAATTAGAATCGCGGTCGTGGCGATTTAGCGCCAAACCCTCCTTCCTGCCCCGGCTCCGCCGTGCCATCACCACTCACTAGCGGTGGTCGCCGGCTCCGTCTGCACTAGTGGTGTCGTTAGGTACTTGGTGTGCTAGTCCGAACCCCCCCGAGGAGGGCCTCCTCGGTTCCTCAACACGACACGAATCAGGATAATGTACCGATCCCGAAAGTGCAGGAGCCCGCATGGTACTTCACGCAATTGTCTTGTTTTCTATTGTGCCTGGCCCTCTTATCAAAATTATCGGCAAGGTCGCACGCGATATCGTATTACCAGAACCCCATATCGTCATTGCATGTCATGTCGTACTTCCCGCTTTAGCTCCATTGGCCGGTTATATAGTTTGACTTGATTCCCATTCTTCTCCTTCACAGACACACCCCAACACCCCAGGGATCAGTACGACTTTGCGTCCTCCACATACTCCATATACCCCACAGGACCAGGAGACTGGGAAGAATCTTTGTTCCCCTCCTCGTGCTTCATATATTAATTCCCCCTCCCCCCTCCTCCACTTCCCCCAAACTCTCTTATCTTGCCCAGGTGTCTCTGCTGCCCGAGCAAGTGGAAGAAGGAAAGTGCACTGCCAACCACACACTTCATCTCTTTGGTGTTCCGAGAGCCCAACAGACAGAAGAGTGAGCACAAAAGGGAGTTGACCATCAAACACCCAAACCGCCAGCCGCCATGAGTACTGGACTCAGCCAGGAGACGGCAGAAATTGCCAAGGCCCACGTGCCTTCGGCCACTATCCAAGGAACAGAGAAGGAGTTGCTCGCCGGACGCGGCTCCATCGATGTCTCCAAGAGCCATCACCCACCAGGGTACGTCTCCTCGTCGTCGGAGGAGTACGATGACAAGCCTACCGAGGAGGAGCTCCGCACCCTCCGCCGTGTGTCGGGTGACATGAACTGGTCTGTCTTTACCATTGCCTTTGCTGAGCTTTGCGAGCGTTTCTCCTACTACGGATCGTCCGTACTCTACACCAACTTCGTGCAGAGGCCGCTCCCCGAGGGCTCTACAACTGGCGCCAGCCATGGCACGACGGCTAGGATTCCCGGTGCGCTGGGAATGGGCCAGAAGGCTTCCCAGGGTATCGTGCTCTTCAACCAGTTCTTTGCCTACCTCATGCCTCTTGTTGGGTAAGTGTCGAAAGACAAACCTTCTGTGTAATATAGACCTAGACTAACACGGACTCCAAAAACAGTGCCTGGATCGCCGATGCCAAACTTGGTCGATACGTCACCGTCCACATCGCCATTGCCATTTCCACGATTGCCCACGTCATCTTGACTGCGGCGTCCGCTCCCAGTGTTATCACGAAGCCTCATTCGGCTTTCGGCGCCTTCATCATCGGTCTTCTTACCCTTTGCGTTGGTACTGGCTTCTTCAAGGCCAACATCTCGCCCATGCTTGCTGAGCAAAACACCGATACCCGGCTTCGCGTCGAGGTCCGCAAGGGAGAGCGTGTCATTGTTGATCCTGCCGTTACCAACTCCCGTATCTTCCTCTACTTCTACTTCGCCATCAATGTCGGTTCTACCATCGGCCAGATTGCCATGGTGTGGGTTGAAAAGTACGTCGGCTTCTGGCTGGCTTTCCTGCTCCCCACAATCCTCTTCCTCGCCGCCCCCCTTGTGCTTTGGTCGCAGAAGAAGAAGTACAGGCTCACTCCCCCCACCGGATCCGTCCTGTCCAAGTTCCTGCGCATGTTCATTTACGTCATCGGGAAGTCTGGTTGGTTCAAGAAGTTGAACTGGAACGCTGCTCGCCCCTCCCAGGTCCCTCCCGCGGAGCGCCCTTCGTGGATGACTTACGATGACGCTTGGGTCGACGAAGTCCGACGTGGCCTCCTTGCCTGCAAGGTCTTCATCTTCCTCCCCATTTTCCATCTTGCCTACAACCAGATGACCGGTAACCTCACCTCTCAGGCCGCTACCATGGAGCTCCACGGTGTGCCCAACGATATTATCCAGAACCTTAACCCCATCTCCATTGTCATCATGGTCCCCATTCTCGATCGCTTGGTCTACCCCGGTCTCCGCAAGATTGGCATCCACCTTACCCCCATCAAGCGCATGACCATCGGTTTCTTCTTCGGAGCCTTCTCTATGGTTGCTGCCTGCGTCATGCAGTACTACATTTACCAGAAGTCTCCCTGCGGCGATCACGCCAACGGTGAGGGATGCGACCCCGCGCCCATCAATGTGTGGGCCCAGTGTCTCCCTTACATCCTCATCGGTATCTCCGAGCTCTTCACCAACGTCACCAGCTACGAGTACGCCTTCTCCAAGGCCCCCGAGAACATGAAGTCCCTCGTCATGTCCGTCAACCTCTTCACCAGCGCCTTCGCCGCCGCCGTCGGTCAGGCCTTCACTCCCCTTTCCGATGATCCCCTTCTCATATGGAACTACGGTGTCATTGCCGTCATTGCCTTTGTCGGCGGTATCGCGTTCTGGTTCTGCTTCCACCACTACGATGAGCGTGAGGATCATCTCAACTCGCTCAAGAAGTCCAAATACTTGGGCAAGAACGCCCCCAACGCTATTGGTGCCGAGGCCGACGATGCGGCGAACGACAAGGTGGCCGCTAAGGCTTAAGCGAAGCTGTGGTGGGTTTCTATGCATGCAGGAAAAAAAAAAAAAAAAAAACTGCATCGCTGTTGATTACTGTTGAGCATATATATCAATGTTAGTTTAACGTGCGGGAGGCGTGGGCTATGACTGTGCTTTGGGTTTCGCTGGCAACTTAGGACATGCCCATTTTGTGATGTGATTTTACGTCTTGTTTATACGATACCTCTCAATTCATTGGATTAAGAAGATTTTTGAAACAACCTGAATGATGGGCATTTGTGTTTGTGAACGATAACAACCGTGGGCGATGGATATCAGGGACAGCATGTTACATCAATTGTTTGACGATCGGGTCGGAGTGCGATTCCTCCGCTTACCTCGATAACCCTCCCACCATCCTCGACAAAGGGACCATTACCATCAGGCTTTGATTGTACACACCTTCCCCATTTTGCGCAAAGTTGCTTTCCACCTTTTTCGATGAGCTCATTGGGGGGAAACTAATCGGCAGCGTGCGATTGGACAAAGAAACCACGGGAGTTTACCCTGTTTCGCCAAGGGAGATTAAAAGAAAATCTCCATACCGTTTCGGTTATGGCGTTCGGATCCGGCCCGGAGCTTGGCAGATCGGTGGAGTTTGTGTTTGATCTCTTGGCGGCAGGATTTTGGGTTTTGGGTCTTGACATGTCGGTGGAGGTTGGAGCGTAGAGACACGGGGGATACATCATTATCATTTTAAGGCTCCATCACCAACTAGAAATTATGAATTATGGACAGAAGGTCAATAGAATTTCATCATCAGTACAAAGTAAAAAGTAAGAGTTCTCTATTTCTAAAAGATCGCGACCTGAATCGTCCCTATATTTTCAGCCCGCAGCGTTCCTAAAGCGTTCCACAAGCCCTAAAATACGCCTTGCTCTCGGGTCTACCAACATGACCTGCCCCACAAGGCTGCCCCTCAGCACTTCTTCCAGTTCACCCTACCATGCCAGCTGATGTGCCCTCGGCTACCCCGGCTCTTCGGAGGCGCGGGACGATGTGCACCGCCCCCGAGGGTGTTTGCAAACGGCACATTTCAAGGCGTAGATGTTGTATACCAGTTGTCGCCTCACTCGACAAATGGCTTTCGGATACCGTGCAGTTCTTCGCTGCTTTCTCGAGGATACGAGGCTCGCCTGCTGTATGACCCTCAGCCTCCCGCCCCCAACGCCCGTGCCAGCTATGTTGGTGAGGGCGGAATTCACAGCGGGGCTGTGTGCTGATTCTGCTCATAACAAAGAAGGTGTTTAATGCAGATTACTAGGGGCCTTTTCCCAGCTGCCTAGTCGTAGCAAGCAAGCCACAGCACCTTGTTTCTAGACCAGGCTCTGGCTGTGATATTCATTTTCATGGCTCGGCCGGAGAAATCGACTGTCCTTGACCCCCGCGACCGATGGGAAACCAATCTCTATTGTCGGCATGATATCCGCAACACCAGCGTCGCATCCCCATCCGGCGGGATCCAGTGGCCACCCAGGCGATGAACTTGATGTCTCCAAAATGTCCCAGTCTTCGGCGAGCCAGCATACTACCGACTACGAGGAACAGCTAGTAAGAGGGCTAGCACTCCATCCACCCCGCAGATACTGGGCGCGGACTCTAGCTTTGATCCTTGTTCCCCTCTCAATGACAGCATATTACATTACTATCTGGGAACTTTTCATGCACCCAGTTGGAAGTGACCCTGTCGTCAATTATAGCCACTTCTCGGGGTCCTTGATCTTCTATTCCTGGTTCATAATCGGTGTTTTCGGCATTTCCTGGTCGGAGTACGGACTCGCCGGTGTCGAGGTGGCGATGCTTGAATCGCCTTTCTGGGGAGTCCCTAGCCTGAAAGCGCACCTAACACACGCCAATGCTTCCTGGAGTGGTGCAGGAGGATGGCTGAAAGCCGTACTTTACTATAGAGTCCACAATCTATGGCTCTTGCTTGCTTTCCTGAGCATGCTTCCATTCGCGGCGTTACCAATCTCCGGACTTAATTTCGAGATAACCGACGGATACATTTACTCGCCAACTGCTCCAACTGTGATAGGTCGAAACCAGGATACGTTCGATGAGAGAGGCAGGGAGTATTTCAATACTACTGCGAAGTTCGCATGGGAGACTGGTTTCCCTCCGATGGTGCCTGGCTTCGGGATAGCGTATACTCCCGAGGCCGTTGACCGCACGCTCCACTTGGGCCTTGCGCAGACCCCCAATACTCTACCAGTAACCGAGTCCATCCCAGAGCTATTCCTCGCTCCTCAAGCTAGAACACCTGTTTCTGGTAAAGCCTGGGGACTCCGTGTCAGGTACAATTGCTCAATGGTTCGAGAGGCGTCCGAGTTCACTGTACTGACTGAAAAGAGATCGTCAGTATGGGATTGGAGGACTGATGGCTGCGAAGGAAGCGACTATAAGTCATGTGTCAACCTTGCTACTCCGTCGCAATCGGGAATTCCCATATGGAAGAACAGTCTGAACAGTCTTGAGTGGAGAGGACGCGGCAGGCTCTCGGCATATTTTGAGATATTTTGAGATTGGGGTGACCGACCCCACAAATGGTAAATATGACGCCGCATACGATGGGACCGAGCCAGATTTTGTTTCTAGCGGCACCACTAACGCAACCATCTTCGAATACGCACTATGGCAAATCCGTTTACTTGATAGATGGGATCCCACGTCCGGCACCTATACGGATAGCACTACCTTCAACACTAGCCTCGAACCTGTTGTTAAGGGAATTGGCTCTCCTATAGAGACAAAGAACGGAAGATCTGTACTTAATCGTATATTCTTCGAAATTCGAAGAGACAATTTGACAAGCCTTTTGGGCCTCTTCCAGTGGGACTACGAAAACCGCCCTTATGTGTTGGAATCTTCTGGTCCCATTGGTGTTTGATGTGTCTCTTCTTCAAGTCTCAGCACGGTGAGACTTGATGGAATAAAGTCGGTATTCAGCAACTTCGAGAGAGCCAATGCGTTATCGAAATACGGAGCGACTCCTCGCTACGGTTTAACTGCTCGAAGGGATCCTCATGCATAGCCAAATTTCGTCACTCTTCCAACCCAGCGGTTCCTACACTCGGGAATCATACTCGGGTTATTTCCAGCCACAAGATTTGAAGAATTCAATAATGCTTGCCTATGCTTTAGATGCACTGCAGCTCATGTATGACGGCACATACAGCTTCCAGTGCGAGTGGTCAAATCCAAATATGACGTCTTCAAGGCCGGGTTCTGTATTAGCCATGGGCCCTGTTCCGGGAGCTTTACCCTTGGCACTGTTCGCGGTTTGGGCTTTATGTTGTACAATCGTCGGCATTGCCTATGGGTTCCGCAAAAGGTCATCAAGTCGATTGGATGGTTGGCTCATGGTGAGACAAAAGTCTAAAAGTACAGCGCGCGGATCGCTTTATGATCAAGATCTACCTGAGATTCCTACTACGGCCTTCACGACCAGGTCAAACTCTTGAAGCCCTACGCTGCTTCCGTCTTCCATGAGTTGGCTGCTGTTCACGATACACCGATCAATACTATCAGTTTCGGCGTCGAGATTATTCTCGCCTCCATGCTCTAGCCCAGAGTAGAGCGCCGGGAAGATGCATAGCCTGATTTCCGACTGGTTTTCAGCTGTTCCCCGCTTGAGCAACCCGAGACTTCCCCTACTATACTTGGACATAACCTCCTCGGTCACACCATCCCCATCTCGAGTCATTGACTCGGGATCAAACAAATCGCCTGGCTTGTAAAACACTAACTTGTACCTAGTCTTGGATAGGAGCAACTTAGACTTTAGCTTTAACGCGAGTTCGAAGGCTGGGACGAATATTTCGCCACTCAAGATGTCCTGAACCGGAGCAGGGTCGCGCTCGACTGGTGGCACGCTGCCGGTGCCGAGCTTTCGCGCTATCGGATTGTCCTGCCGCATGCAGTTACTTAATTCTTTACAAAATCGATCCGTGAAATCCTTGACGGCCTTTACGAGAAAGTCAGACTCGAAGTACGGCTCCGATATGAGCGACTGGTGAGCGAGTAGGTCTGTCTGGGAAAGAACTTCGGGTCCATCTAAAACAGAAGCGCTGTTAGCACGCCTGCTGCGTAAACCGGCCCATGCGACGATGACGACGACGACGAGTACCTTTTGTAAGAATAACTCTTCTGTATTGATCTAACAGAGCAGATTCTCTGGATATGAAATGAGGAAAGGAAGATTCAAAGACATATTCGCATATTGCAGCGGCTGTAAGCGCTCGCAGGATCTCGGTTTCCGAACCGCCTTTGGCCAAGTTCGAGGCGATGAGCTTGCTCATGGAGCAGCCGGCTATCCGCCGAGCCCAAGCGTCGATGGTTGTCCCGTCACGTCTCGAAGTATCTCCGGCGTCAGCAAACATCGGAACTCCAAGGTCAATCGAGAAGCAAGCATCCCGTATCTCGCTCTTGATTAAATCAACCTCCTCTCGAATTGTGTTTAGCGATGGCTTAAGAGAGTCTGTCTCTAACTTTGCGATCGCCTGTCGCTGGCGTTGAATTTTCGACATTTGACGTCTGAGCGACTCGAGTTCATAACGGAGAACGTGCTGCATGGCCGGGTCATCTCTGTGGTCAGATGCTGCCGTGATGCTGTGGCGGACTACATCGCATTCGTCTTGGGCTGCGGAAAGCCGGTTTGAGAGCGTAAAAACGTAGTCCTTGTGTTCTAAGCATTCTCTTTGGATGTCTTCGAGTTCCTTTATTTTCCTGGCCAGCTCTGTCTCTAGTCCTGTTATTCGAGTCTCTAATTCGAGCATCGAATCGGCCGTTTGAGAAGCTGCATCCGTATAAGAAGAAGACCTGGCAGGTTGTTGGGCACGGTCTACCTGGCCCGGAAGCCTGGGGTGCCGCCTAGGCTCTCGTTCGATGACGGATGATACTTCCCTAGCTAGACTATTGCTTCGCTTCGTTTTCCTCGATGGATTGGCAGGGCGGATTTTTCGGACCTTCCGCCTTTGCAGCTGTCGAGTTTGTAAGTTTCTGCCCGGCCTACGGTGGGAGGTGTGCTGAGATATACTGGGCGAGGGACACACCCTTTCACACACAGTTTCTTCGTCCCCGGAATCACTCGGAATGCTAAATACATCCCTTGATCTCGACCTCGCGCGACTTCGTAATGTCGCCGTTTCCGAAAGTTGCCTTCGGTCTGGTCCACTCGGCGACCGCGAGGATAACAAAGAGGTAGAGGATAACGAAGGCGGCGAGGATATCGAAGGGATGGTGGAAGCACTCCTAAGCCGGAACCGCCTTGAAGGGGATCCTATCTGTTCCTTGGCCTGGCGAATAGCCGCGCGGTCCTCATCGGTGTAGCCATGGAGGGTCTTGGAACCGCCGTCGTAAAGATCTCTCAACGTATTCAACTCAATACTCCCCCAGAGATTCCATTCCCTCGTCAGCTTCCTCTTGATCCGTGCGAGGTTGTGATATCTCCCTGTCGTCTTGGAGAGATGGTCCACGACCGATTTTTCAAAGTCTAATTTGTGTTCGAGGCAATAGTCGAGCCAAGCGAGGAGCTCAAAGACCTCAGACGGCTCCCAATTGTGTTGTTGGTGGTCGTTCTGCCCTTTGGACCTAGAAGGCATGTTGCTTTAATTTTTTTTTTTTTTTTTTTTTTTTTTCAGCCTCTTTCCAAATGATGGGAGCAAAGAGATTCGAGCCCTCCTTCGTATAAGTTTCCGTCACGCCCTAGTACGTTAGGCCAACGGGGGTTTGAGCGAAATCCTGGTGCCAAAATGAAGGGATGAACGAAACGAACGAAAGTAGGAAACCCAACTCTTTCGCGCATCATTGTTGTCCAACTTTTATCAGAGGTCAAGTCTGATTTCGCCAACACGAAGTGCACCGCCCTCAACCCCCTTGTTGGTTCGCCCAGATGTGCCTGCAGTTTCGCGTGACAGCCTGCTCGACATCGGAAACGTGCTTCATTGGTCGGGAAGTTGCCTGCTGTCCTCCGGATAACACGCGGAATCGCCGTCGAGTACGGAAGCCTGCTGCAAAATTTCCATTTTGGAACCAACATGCATAAAACCAGTCTTCGTTGGCTGTTGGTAGCAACGCCACAGCCGTTTCATAATGGAGGGAGACCAGACTCGTGACCCTTGTTCGGTGACGAACGGTAGAATCGGGGACGGAGGATAAGATATAAAAGTCTCGAGATAAATCGGCATTGTATTGTTGTAAGATGCAACTAGCTCCACCGAAGACTTCCATTCTTCACGTCGATTAGACCTACCAGAAAACCGGATATGAGTTTTTCGAGGGCGTCAACGGTTACTTTGGGGGGCGAGCAGCGTTTCGTCACTCGCCAATCGATCGGCCGAGAGAATGGCGCTCACACACGCACACCCGAGCAGGTCCCAATGGATCTTCTACCGGACAGAGAGCCCGACACTCCATTCAGACGGCTTATTATTGCCGTCGACTTTGGGACGACCTACTCTGCGATATCTTACGTGGCACTAGAGAGCGGAGAGTCTATAGAAGATATAAATCTCGACCGGGTACGCTCGATACAGAATTTCCCCGATGACTGGAACATGGGTGTCGCGGGTGACCACATGAAGAGCGAGGTTCCTACTGAGGTTATGTACCCTCTGGATCGGCACTTTCGCGATAAGGAAGACTTGGAGCCTGACGAGGACCCGGGCGAGGACGACGGGGAGCGTAATGTCGACGATGGAGTACAGGCCGATATAGACATGGAGGGGGTTAGCTTTGACGGAGACAATGATGATGATGATGATATATTCGGTCGTAACGCGCACGAAGACTCGGTTAACGAAATGACCATTGACACGCCAAATTCATTCCGCTGGGGTTACGCCGTGCACGAAGCCCGGAGACTGCCTGCTGCGCATACCGACCCGAAGAACGAAGCATTGTCCCGCTTCAAACTGCTGCTCGACAACAGTCCGCTGACAGACCGTGTCCGACAGGAACTTAGGGATCCTCTGGAGCAGTTGCGTAAAAGACACATCATAAAGAATGACCTAGATGTCATCGTCGACTTTCTTACGTGTCTCCTAAGACACACCAGAACTGAGCTCGAGGCGGCCGGATTCGACGATAGTTACCAGATGGAGATAGTTCTCTGTGTACCCACTATCTGGACTCAAAAGGCCTGTCGGGACATGCAAACGGCCATGGCCAAGGCAATGCAGAGAGCAAGATTTGTCGGCGTTGACGTGCAAAATAATAGCATCGAGAATTTGTTTATAGTATCTGAGCCGGAGGCAGCGGCAGCATACGTCCTGAAAAATGACGAGCATATATCGGTAAGGAAATGTGCCTTGCTGTTTAGAGTGAGAGACTTGGGCGACTGATGGAACAAAATAACAATAGCCGGGGGATACTTTTGTTCTTCTAGATGCTGGTGAGTGCTATTGAACCGCTGGGGGGAGGGGGCGCGAGAAAGGTTACTGACTTGTAGTTATCTAGGTGGCGGAACGGTCGACGCGAACACTTACACCGTCAACTCGACAATCCCGCTCCGTCTCGAGCGAGAAGTGGCTACGCCCGGTGGTGCGCATACCCAAACCAAGCTGCCCTGCCCAATCAATCAATCTACTTGGGACTCGGATAGACAAGCGCGCTGACCAGGCCACAGGGGGTCTTTACGGATCAAGCTATGTGAATGAGAAGTTTCGCACCTGGCTCACGGATAAGCTCAAAACCGAGACGTACCTTGAAGACGGGACGAATACGATCAAAGGACACGTTGAGAGAGCGATAATCAACGAGTTTGAGTACCGGACGAAGCGTTCATTCGATCTATTTCGGGTGAACAGGGTCTATAGCTTTCACGTTTCGAATCTCCGTGACGATCCAGCTAAAGGCTTTAGGGGAAGCTGCGTTCAAGTATCCCCGTACGTTTCTAAACACGTCAATATAATGCTAGAAGACTCCCTGACTCGAAGGCTGATTTTTTCGCCCCTCTTTTTTAGGGAGAAAATGACGAGTTTCTTCGAATCCTGCCTCAAGGGCATCGCCAGTATCATGGAGGACCAAATAAGCGCGGCTAGGGCGCAAGGGACTAGGGTCCAGGTTTGTCAACTTGACTCCCGCAGTTTCGTGTCGAAATTCCTCAGTCAGCCACGTTGCTAACTGTACTTTTTCATATAGAAAGTCCTTCTCATCGGAGGCTTTGCCGCGTCCGTCTCTCTGCAAAAATACCTCCGCCATAAACTGTCGCAATACTGCAAGCGACATGGGTGCAATATCTCACTGGTTGTACCAGGGAACACGTTTGTTTTGCCCAATATACCCGATGTAAGCTCAGAAGCACTACTGACGAAGCGACTGGCTTGCAGGGCTACGGCCGTTGCATCTGGTGCCGTTTTGCGCGCCATCAACAAAGAAGGCGGACCGCGAAGAATTGCGAAATCCAGCTACGGTATCCTCAGAACTGAGCCTTTCCGGGAGTTCCCCGAACATGCCGGCCTCAAACCGTCTTATGACCCGGATGACGGCCTACCATACGTGGTGAATACTATCGACTGGGTGCTGAAACTGGTGAGTTACGAAGGCTCACACACCCGATCTACGACAGCAACTCCTGCGTGATGAAACTAACGATAGCGATACGGTCGCATCCAAAAAGGGCCAAGAAGTTGATCCCGTATGGACGTGTCCCCCAATCCCGTGTAGTCACACGTTTGCATGCTCCGCCCGCTCTTTTCGATGCAGGGAAGTGCTTTATGTTTCGGACACTTCGACAGCGTCCCACTATCAGCTGAAGCACATAAACAATCGCGGTATGTATCTTTTTCAGGGCTTTGCGCATCAAAAGGCACAGCTCTACTAATTCTCGTCCGCTGTCTCGCAATTAGGTGCCGAGAAAGTTGGCGAGATCGTCGTGGACTTCACCTTCCTTCGCGAACATGGTTTGATTCACCCGATAAACGGGTCAGTAAACGACCGGGGCAAACGTGTGGGGAGACGGCATTACCGGGTGAACTACCTCTTGACCATCGAGGTGGTGGACCGTGATTTGCGGTGTGAGTTTATTTCCCGAGGTCGTCTAGAAGAACCGTGATGGGCGATGGGCGGAGCGGAGACTAACTTTCCAAAACCAGGTTATGCTGTTTACGATGGCAGGATAATGGAGAGATGTAGAATCAATATCGCCTCTGCGTTTATCCAGGGATAAAAATAGGAGAGCGCAACTTATCGTGGATAACTCCAGCCGTATCCGCGTATCCAGCGGACCAAACATGTCCAGCAATTAAGTCCATAAATGGTTAGTTATCATAGAAGAGCTAGGTAACCCTCTCCTAGTAAAACTGATGTCCAAGCGCCAGTCCTTTGCTAAGCTGAGTCGAGTCTTGATAACGTCAACCAAGCTACATTGAGAGCTTGCGACTTTGGCAGGCGCGACTGGGTGAGTGCCTGGGTGCCTGAGTGCCCCTCCTCGAAGTCGAGGAACTTTGAATGTTCATGCGATTTTTTTGGCGGGGTAGAAAAATTGATTGAATGCGACGCGGGGCAATGCGCGAGATACAAGGTACCAAGATACAAAGTACTCTCATCTGCATCGCCACCTTTTTCGCCGGCTGAGTCAACACCAACGTCCGTCTCAGTATCACAGCCGAGCCACGCGAGCCGAGCTGGCCAAGGCAGCATTTCACATTATCGGGCAGAGCAGAGACGATCAGATATTTATAATATGTGAACGGAGCTCAAGAGCTAGCCCACGACTTGGTCCATTTCCACCAATTTTCATCGACTTTCATTAAACGACAACATCACCTACCCCCCTCTATATTCACTCGTCCCACCATGGCTGCCATAGACCAAAAGACAGAAGAGTTGCTTCGGCGGCCAATCTACGGTATTCGTGTCTTCCTTGATAAACAGGTCTAAGAGATATTCTAACAATTGCGTTTCAGTCTACGATATTGCGCCGGAGGTCCTTAATTCTATTACCTTGAAGAATACCTCGGACACATCACTAACCCACGAGGATGAGGACGAATCCCAAAGCCGGAGAAGTGTATCGCCCTCATCGTCTAGCGATTCTCTCGTGGGGTCGCAGTCGTGCTCTCTTTGCGCTCTCTCATTCTCATCACTAGAAGAGCAGAGGAGCCACCTAAAATCCGATTTCCACAACTATAATCTCAAACAGAAGCTTCGCGGGAGGAAACCCGTCTCGGAGGATGAGTTCGAGAGGTTAATAGCGGGTAAGTCGGAGAAAGCGCAAAGATAATATGTCCAAGGAGTCTACGGCTAACAGATGTGCGTGGATTAGACCTTGATGAGAGCTTGTCTGGGTCGGATTCGTCTGAGAGTGACGAGGAAGATGAGAGTGATAGTAAAGACTCGATGCTTTCCGCGCTCCTGAGAAAGCAAGCTACACTCGCCGAGAAAAATCGGCCAAAGAATGGTGACGGATCCAACGATGAAGAAGAGTTTGGGAAAAAGACCCGGGGAGTTGCTCCCTTGTTGTGGTTTAGCTCCCCTCTATTACCGAAGAACAACTACTTCGGTCTCTACAGAGCTCTCTTCACCAACGAGGAGCTGAAAGACGAATCGGCCGTCGTCGAGATCATCAAGAAGAAACAGTTAGAGCCGCTATCGATCCCAAAGGCGGCAAAGGATGGAACCCTACCTCAGGTTGCCTACAAGGGCCCGCACATCTTCCTCTGCATGATAGGAGGCGGCCATTTCGCCGCCATGGTGGTCTCTCTTGCTCCGAGGAAAGGAGCCAGCGGCGGTCCTCTGAACCGCGAGGCGACAGTCCTTGCCCACAAGACATTCCATAGGTATACTACGAGACGGAAACAGGGAGGCTCGCAGTCTGCCAACGACAACGCCAAGGGCACGGCGCACTCGGCTGGTTCCTCGCTTCGGCGTGCGAACGAGAAGAAGTTGACCGAGGAGGTGCGCGCCTTACTCCAGGACTGGAAGGGGTTGTTGGACACGTCAGATTTCTTGTTCATCCGAGCCACTGGTGTCACGAATAGGAGGACCCTCTTCGGCCCTTACGAGGGACAGGTGCTCAAGGCGAACGATCCGAGGATTCGAGGATTCCCCTTCACTACGAGGCGGGCGACGCAAAAGGAGCTGATGCGGTCGTTCGTGGAACTTACGAGATTCAAGGTGAAGGAGATCATTCCCGTAGAGGAGACGGCGAAATCACAGCAGGCGACGCAGGAGAAGGCCGCTGCTCCCAAACCATCCAAGCCAGCTCTTTCCGAAGAGGAAGAAACGGCCCTCTTACACACGTCTCAACTGCAGGCGATGATTAGGAGATCAAAGCTGCCTGCGCTCCTCGGGTATCTCAAGACCAACAAGCTCAGCCCCGATTTCGTCTTCCAGCCTCCGGAGCAGAATCATCATGCCCCTACCCCGCTTCACCTCTCGGCCTCGCAAAATGCCGCCGTTCTCGTGACGGGACTCCTGTGCAAGGCCGGTGCGGACCCGACATCGAAGAACAAAGAGGGCAAGACGGCGTTCGAACTCGCGGGGGATCGAGCCACGCGCGACGCGTTCCGGGTGGCGAGATCGGAGCTCGGAGAGAAGAAGTGGGATTGGGAGGCGGCGAAGGTCCCCGCGGCGCTGACGAAGGCGGAGGCGGAGAAGAGGGGTGAGAGGGAAAGGGAAGAGAGCGAGAGGCGGGAGAGCGAAAGGAGGAAGGCAGAGGAGGAGAGGTTACGGACGCAAGATGGAGCCGACGATAGGAGTAAGAAAAAGAAGGGTGTGTTGGCTTCTGCGGGGGCGATGAAGACGCCTCAGGAGAGGAGGGAGGAGGAGGCGAGGGGGTTGTCGCCTGAGATGAGGATGAGGTTGGAGAGGGAGAGGAGGGCGAGGGCGGCGGAGGAGAGGCTTAGGAGATTGCAGGGGAAGTAACGGGTCAGCGGGATAGTTTACCTCGTGGGACGAGATGGATCACATCTCGAGCAAGTAGGTCAGTGGAATGAGAGTTTGGATGCAGTTCTCACAAGTTTTGAGGTGTGTCTCTATGCTTTTACGAACTCGAACTCTCCCATCAGCGGGTGGTGGATTCGCCCTGAGATCTCCACCAGGAATAATTGCTTCATTCTTGCAGTGTTCTCTTCACCTTCGACCCATCAGCCCCGGCCCGTGGCGTTATGACGACCTCGTATTTACTCTCCGGGACGGTCTTGGTCCATTCTCTCATTCCCCAGTTTTCAATGCCAATTCCCATCGCAATTCTCCAGGTTGCACGCACGGAGTTACACACGGGAGAGCAAAGCAAACTGCCCTCCCTCCCCCCCCCGCCCCCTTTTTTTCTTCAGGCACTCAGGCACTCAGGCACTCAGGCACTCATGTGCGGAGGGTAGGAAAAGAGACAAATGAGCCAAACCAAAGCCCATTCCGTCTCTCGATCGAACGAGGGAGGGTTTCCCGCAAGGCCCCGGATAAAGGGGTAAGACTGGTCAACTACGAGGTCGTGCTGCTTGGTGCAACTCTCACCAGCGAAGTGGGCCTGCGGTGGACCGGGGGCCACGGACGAAAACCTGCGTAGGCAGGCTTGGAATATTGACGCCAAGGGGAGAGGTTCCCTGCACGAAGTAAACAGCAGGAAGTCCGGTGTAGCTTCTTCTGTTTATTAATACCCATGAAAGGGTTGTAGCGAGAAGAGATGAATGGGAGGCTGTTGGTTGATCTTAAAATGGGCGGTATACCTCGGCATATATTGATATATCATATTGATTCGGATATGTCGTGCCGTTAATATTGGCACACCGGGTTCCGACCTACTGAGTACTACCAGGCTATGATGATGGAAATCAACATCTTTTCGGGATCATGTATCTTTCTATCGATGTGCTGGGGTTCGAAGGGACCAGGATGAGAAAGGAAAATACTGGTTAACACGCCGACGTTTGATAGAAAGAAGCCTGTTTACAAGGAGTGCACGCATCGCTTGGGTTCTGTAGGAAGCGAGTGAAGCGAGAGGGTGTGTTGGGAAGGAAATGAAATGACTACGGAACCGGCGCAGACATTTTTGTTTTCAAGAACAAAGAATGCTTTCGCGTTCGACAGATTTGCCGTGGACGGAATAAGGGCGAGCCATTGTTCAAGGCCATTCATTACCTGGGCTTCCTCCGTAGAACCTCCCCACACACGCTTGTCAAGGAGTTTACACTATAACGCCATCAAGTTTGTTCCTGCAGGACCGTCAAGGTTCGAATTTGAAGTCGTACTCGTACCTGGCAGACTTGCAGGGTGGTCCGAGGACCGTAGTACTAGTATTGTACGAAGTAGGGCGATGGACAGGACGGGCTAGGCTAGCACCTTTGTCGAATAACCCGAGGAGAATAGTGTAGAGGTGATGGACCCATTGATAGATCAACCGATGTTGGTGTTCACTAATAGTCTAATACCACCTCGCCTACTGGATGAGATGACCGGAGAGAAAAAAGAGAAAAAAAAAGTTTAGTGTGAAATGCGGGTTAGCGTTGGAGATGGAGATGCGGTGTAGGTGTGGGTGATGGGTTGTTTGACGAAGTGACCTCGTGTTCTCAGATTCAGGTGAGGTGAGGTGCGCACTGATCTTGGGTCAAGAATCTCGACTCATCCTCAGGGTCTCTCTGCAAGATTATTCTGTAAGCTAAATTACTGAACTGCCTTTTGCGCGCCAGAGTGTTACCGAAGCGGCTGTGGCTGACACAGGCGTGGACTCGGTGGAGCGAGCAGGATGGCGGCTCGACTCCTGCGAATAAGATCTGGTGATTCTATAACTTCTATTCTTGAAGGAGAGAGTGATGTGATGGCGAGTACGCATCGGGGGGTCTTGGCCGGATATGTGGCCTGGCGGCTGCGTTCCCGTGAGGGGTTCGCACATTGCCGCCTGCTGGTCCTTTCGTTCGGTCGCAGACTGCAGATGGGATGCGGCCGGGGCTGTCCATCATTGCTGATCTTTGACTCCGAAGCGCGAAGCAATTCCCATGGGTCACGATCACACATCGCAGCGGACTTGGAAGCGCTCTCTAAAAGTGGAGACGCTGCTGCTGGCTTTCTCGATTGATCATCGATGTGGAAGGCTGGAAGCTAAGAAGACTCTCTCCCCTTGTCCTTTTCGTGGAGTCTGGAGACCAGCCCCCTGGCGCTTCGCTTGAGCTAGCGGCACCATCCTGGTGGTGCTACACTGAGAGAGTGGGAAAAAAAAAAAAAAAACGGCCGACAAGGAAAGACTCCCGCTCTACGTCACAAGACCAAACTACGCACAGCGTTACCCTCCGAGCTTTAGTCCCGGCGCAGGGTCGCAACGACATGGAGGAGGGGTTACATTCTGCTGCGCTGTTCCTGAGTCGGACGAGCTGAAAGGGGAAGAGGCCGTTTCGCCTGAAACTCTTTAGCCCCGCATCCGCCCTCTAAGGAGCTCGAGAGCTTTTCTGTTCTGGTGTGCTTCTCGACGAGTGGTCCTGTCTAACCTCGCCATGCGGAGTGGCTGTGTTGTTCTTCTTTTCGCCCGATGGTAGGCGTGCAAAAGAGACCAACCAGGTGTATTCTGTCTTTATGCCGCTTCTTCTTAGTTGGTGGGTTTATGATCGCCTGATGTTCTGGGGCGGATGGGCACTTGGACCAAGCTTGCCCTGCATGCCTGGTCCTTGGTAGGAGTTGAAGATTCCGGGTCGGCCGGTTGTCTTCTGCATCGTCTTCCGGGTATGTATCTGCGGAGCATGGAGCAGTAAAGTATACACTATACACTAGTGTCCTCCGTAGCGAGAGTCTACACTAGTGTTGCCAGCAAAGCAATTGGTTAACGAGGACTCTAACATCCGGGAAGGGCTATATTGATCCATGTGCAATTGCAGTGCTTGGTATGACCTCATCTCTCCATTGGCGGCGGCTCGCTCTTGCTGCATCTGTCCGATAGAAGATTGATCCCTCCGGTGCCAGATCTTGGCGTCAAAAAATATCAAAAGAACAAAAAAAAAAAAAAAAAAAAAAAAAAAGGCAGAAAAATAAATTCGCGGCGTCTCGAGTTTGGGGCGCAAGAGGACCACAGCCTAACAATGCAACAACCAGGAGAGGAGAAAGAGGAGAGGGGATGTAAAGTGAGCGGCTCGGAGAATCCATTGGTCGAGGGCGCAAGATAGAGTAGAGTGGTACCTGCATTAGCATGAAGGTAGGCGCTGTGGCTGGCGTGTTTCACCTTTCTTTCCTGTTTTTCTCCTCGCCTTTTTTTTTTTTTTTTTTTTTTTTTTTTTCCTTTCTTAGCCTCTCTTGTCCGATTCGACCGAATGTTCTGGTCGTTTTTTTTTTCCCTTGGAAGGCAACGGGGAACGAGAACCAACGATTCGGGTCCTTTTGGGTTTCTCCCGATGGTGTTTCGATTGGCCCACTCGATGGGAATTCTTCAAGATATTATTCGTTAATTATTGGGCGAGCTTTTCACCATTCATGCGAGGGAGAGGAGAGAGGAAGGGGCTTGCTTGCACGAAGTACGAAGTAAAGTGATATCGATCTTGTATAGGTCACTAGCATCCTCATCCTCATCCTCATCCCCACAAATGGACTGACACTTCATCTTCGGTGACTTGTTCGCCGCCGACTTGGTGATATTCTAGTACAACATTGTAATTCTATTTACATTGTTCGAGATGCGACTGAAAATTGGAAAATGAGATTAGATGATCTCGTCCGCGCTCTCAATCGCTGCTCTGGGGCCAATTCTACAAATCTATCAATTTATCTAGAGCATCTCATTTCCTTTGTGTGCTTTACCTCCGTATTGAGTCGTAGGTTGGCTCTTGCTTGTTGGTGACCTTGCTCATCCACTCATCCACCTCCCGGGTTAGCCGATCGACTTGGCATCACCGCCAAATGCCAAATGCTCACTTCATCCCATCCACTTTGCAACTAATACGAAGTAATCAATAATTACAAAGTAAGCTACGAAGTTGTCGACTCGCCCTCCCCAGTAATGCTGTTGGTGGGTCGACTTGATACCCGGCCTACAAGTAGCAGAACTCAGCGCACACACACCCACACCCACGTACCCCAAGCCTCGAACGTTGTCGGTCTCCACCCGATTTCAGGTGGCTCGCCAGCTTTGGTCCAGTAACGTGCGATGCCGCCTCGCTGTGGATATCGGAGGGATGGACTCACATGCCTTTGGGGGCTGTTTTCGTCGTACGAAGTAAAAGGTTGGCGGCGGATATAATCTATTGGGATCCCTTTTCGCGTGGTCTATTATTAGTTGAAGGGTGCGTCTACTGAGGTACGCTGTGGACTTTCCCATCTCGGCTCTCTTCAGCAGCATGCGAGGCAAGGCGAGGCTCATGAGCAGCAGCACAATCATCAGCTCAGCTGAGATGGAGCGCCAAGTGTGCAAGCCAAGTCGCAAATGCAGGGCGTTCTACCTGTGCTTTCCTGGCCCCCCCCTGAAACTACGAAGTAACTGCACTTACTTACCTCAATGTACGGGCAGGACTAGTCCGCGAGCGGCTCAGAGTTGAGCAAACTATTAACACGCAAAACTGCACAGTTAATAATATCATTATACATTGGGATCAACCATTGATCTAGTTTTCTGATTCCTCATCTTGAAGCAGAGGCGGTCCAGCTCAAGGTCGTTGGCTCGAGCAGCCAGTTAAGATTTCTGGTGTTTGCCTGGCTCTGTAGTACACAGCAGTTCATTTGCAGTGCTTTCAGGGGCATCCCCCACTGAAGAAACGATCGGTCCAGTGCAGTTGGGTTCGACTAATCAGAGCCACTCGCACGAGAGGCGTTACGAAGTACTTCGTACAGAGGGGCAACCGGCCAATCCCAGCGTCGTCCTCGCTCGCGCCGCCTGGACTAGACTGCTGCGACGGCGAAGTACACCTTGCGCTGCAGACAGTGAACGAAGTACTTCGTAAACCACCTGCATGGGGGCTTTTGGCACTGACCCCAAGGATACAAAGTACTTCGCCAGGAGTGTACCTGTGTACACTACTTCGTACTTCGTAAACTTATGTCGTTACTCGCAGACCCGAACCTGCCAAGAGCCCAGAAACCTCCGAGAGCCTCACCCATCACCACCAGAACCAGTCCGACCTGGCAAGGGTCCCCCGTTCCAGGGGAAAAACCTGGTCCAACCGATTGCTCTCTTGCAACCCCTGACCATCTCCTATTTTGTCCTATTTTGGAATGCATGGTTATTAATTGAAAATCACCCTCTGGATTGGCTCGGTGCGCTTGTGGACGCCACCACGCGGACGACATGATCGTTTCCAAATCCGACTCTTTAACACTGCCGTCCGACTGGAGACTTGTCGGTCGGGGAATTGGGGAAAATGGAAAGAAAAAAAAGGATGAAAAATAAACTCACGAAACTCGACCTAGCTATTGGCGGAGAACGCCCAGTTAGAAGCGCCCGCCGTGAAACCTTCGTCGAGTTCGGCCTTTTTTTGACAACATCAGACCGCCTCTGGCCTGCTGCAACTCGCAGTGAACATGAAACTTGAGGCGCACCTCTAGTTCAGTACCGAAGTACTTTGTATGGTCCGCTGTCGCTACGATGGGGCCTAACATGCACATAACACTCCATTCTTCGTCTAATCCGAACAAGAACGTACGAAGTACGAGAAGACCTGGGAGAATCTGGGCCTCCTATGCACATTTTCTTTGCTACCAAACCATCATATAGTGTACTTGGTAGTCGTCCATGGATTAACCATGGGTTAATGACAGGGGCCGGGTCGGAGGAGAATGCAGTCGAGCGAACCAGACCCAGACCCCCTAGCCCAGTCTGTGCTCCCCCCTACCACCACCATGCCAAGGGCACCACCGCTAGGAAGCCATGACGATGCCTGGCGATGCGATGCCCCAAGCCCCATCCGACTACAACCTCGATGATCCAAGGGCGGCCAAAGGGGATCAGTCTCCACTCTGAACTGCACCCCCCTTTCCATCTCTTGCGCCCACGCCCCCGTTCTCCTCTCAGGCACGCAGGCGTCCACGGCCTCCCGAGGTCGCCGGCGACGGACGGACTCCCATCATGGCTCTCTGATGGAAAATGCTATATAGGGACTCCATGTTCCTGCCTTCTTTTTCTGCTCCTACTCTTCGTGTTTCCTAACCAACTTTTCTCTGTTGTGTCCAGTCTTTGCCTTGTTCATTCCTCTCCTAAACATTCGTTATATATCGGGAGTCGAGACACATTCGCTATATTTGTCTTTCTCGTCTCTACCAAAACGACCTTCGCTTCTTTATTCGTGATATAGACTATCACACTGTCATATTCTTGATTTACATCACCATCTTTTGGTCATTCACCAGAACATTTTCCCAGTTACATCTTTCCACTTACATCGTTTGAACACATTCGCAACATGAAGACTACCGCTCTCCTGGTGCTCGCCGCCGGCGTTGGCGAGTCCGTTGCCACTGTACGTCCCATTCAGCAATACCCACATCGTCCCTCATCTACTCTAGTGTGGTCCACTAACACTTTTACTCTAGTTCGGCTTCGGTGGCTTTGGCGGCTTCAGGGGTGCCAACCCCTTCACCTGCCCCGATAACACCGACAACAGCAGGTGCGAGGATAAGCAGAGGGGAGGCTTCGACTTCTCTGACCTCCTTCCCGGAAAGAAGGACTTCTTCGACTATGGCGGCTTCAACTTCAAGGGCTTCGAGTGCAAGGATGACCAGCGCAGCCGCCGAGAGCTGACCGGTGACTGCGGTCCCGACAAGGACTCCAACCCTTTCTTCGGCCGTGACAACGACAACTTCTCCATCGACGAGATTGAGATCTACGCCGAGTTCGACACCGACCTCGAGTTCCACTACGACATGCCCGACGGCAAGCTGTGCAAGCACCGATCCCCCTGCTCGTCCAAGGGTTCCGTCGTCAAGAACACCCAGTGTGGTGGCGCCAAGAAGGTCACCGTGATCCACCCCAAGCAGCCCAACAAGCCCAAGGCCAAGTGCGGTATCCGCATCCCTAAGATCAGGTTCGACTGCAAGCCCCCCAAGACGACCACCCCTCCCAAGACCACCAAGAAGACCACCACCTCTCCTCCCGCTGCCACCGAGACTCCCGACGTTCCCGGAACCACCGAGGTTCCCGACGTTCCTGAGACTACTGATGTTCCCGAGACTCCCGAGACCACTGAAGTCCCCGACGTTCCTGAGACCAGTGAGGTTCCTGACGTTCCTGGAACCACCGTCACCTCTTCTTCGCCCGAGGAGCCCAGCTCTCCCGCCGAGCAGGAGTCTTCCACCGTCCCCGAGGTCCCTGGCACTACCGTCACTTCCTCTTCTCCCGAGCAGCCTAGCTCTCCCGCTGGCGGCGAGGAGTCTTCCACTGCTGTTGGCGAGACCTCCGAGACCCCCGCGCAGCCTGAGACTACTGCTCCTCCCGAGATCGAGACCTCTGTGACCACCCACCTCACCACCTCCACCATCTTCACCACCGTCGTCTCCACCGTCACCAACTGCGGCCCCGAGGTTCCCGACTGCCCCAACGGCCAGGAGAGCACCGTCATCGTCACCGCCACCGTGCCCCTGACCACCACCGTCTGCCCCGTCACCGAGATCGTCACCCGCACCAAGGACACCCCCGTCCCCGCCACCTCGGACAAGAGCCCCAACGTCCCCTCGGTCTCCAGCGTGCCCGGAGTCCCCAGCGTCATCTCCAGCGCCCCCGCCCCCGTCGAGACCCTCCCCTGCCCCGACGTTGTCCCCTCGTGCCTCAACACCTGGCTCTTCAGCGTCGGCTGCTCCGACAACACCGACACCGCCTGCTTCTGCCCCGACACCGCCTTCGTGCAGAACATCTTCACCTGCATCTACGCCTACGGTGAGACCGAGACCGTCATCTCCGAGGCTATCGTTTTCTTCCAGGGTATCTGCGGTGGTCACATCCCCGAGAACCCTGCCATCGTCACCGGCATCGACTCCATCACCTCCATCATCACCGAGGCCCCCAAGCCCACCGTCCCCGCCGGGTACACCACCGTCACCGTCACCGTCACCACCGAGGTCCCCTGCGTCACTGACGGCGTCACCATCTCTGGCTCCAGCACCACCACCGTCATCGAGCAGACTGCCGAGATTCCCAACGTCGGCTTCCAGACGAACTCGGAGGGCAACGTCAACGTCGTCCCTACCACCCCTGCCCCCGTCGTTCAGAACCCTGCTCCTTCGGCCACTGCCACTCCCATCGGCACTTTCATCTCTGTGCCCGTTGCCACTGGCACCCAGGCTGTTTCTCCCACCGGCCCCGTCATCGTCTCCGGTGCGGGCAGGGTCGCTTCCGGCCTTGGTCTCGGCGTCGCCGCCGTTGTTGGCCTTGTTGTCCTCTTCTAAGCATTTTCCTCTCCTGAGAGAAAGGCTTAAGGTCAATTAAAACGATAATTGGTGGTTGTATGTGAGAGATAGAGAGAGAAAAGAGTCCATTTTCCTTTTTTTATGTTTTTCATCTTAATAGCAAATGGCATTTTCAAGGTCCGGTCCGGGAAGGTTAATACCATGATGAGGGATGTTTTTTTTTCCTGCCTTCCTGTTTTCTGTTTTTAATAGAGGAGGGCTTATTTATCTCTCTTTTTCTTGTTCAGCACTGGTAGCATTGGACTCAAACGTGTAATATGGTCGAATGGATAAGGGGAGGGAATATCTTGGATATTCTTACATGGACTACGCTTGGACGCGTAATAGTTCTTTTTTCTCCTTTCATTAAAATATGCTTTGTTAAACATCTCTTCCGTTCCCTACTTCGTGACCATCATCCGATTGCTTGGAAGCAGTTGCCAATATTTCGTAGCAGTCCTAAACTCGACCTTGTCAGGCTCTATCTACTGCATGAACTATCCCCGTCCTTCTCGTCAGGTCGGTGCCCATGTCGAGATGAAAATGTTGTCTTGGGGAGGCCAACGAGAGAGGCGATAACTCCAAACAACATGCCATGATCAAGTCCCGCAAGAATAACTCGAGAACAAAGTGAACAAAATGTAAAAAGTCGATCGAAGTGCCTCCATTCTACTCTCTACCATAACAGCTAAGTACACGGCGGCGCCAATTATTGGGTTTATTCACACAGAAACCGGAAGCAGAAAAAAGGAAGGCGGAAACAAAAACGAATAAAAAAAAAAAGAAAAAGCCCCTTCTTTTCTCCTCTCATAACATCATAAAAAAAAGATAAAAAAAGAAGAAGAAAAGGAGGGTAAACAAAACGAGCCTCAAAGGGTCCTCGGCTTGCGAACCCATAAAACTGAAGAAGAAGAAAAAAAATGAAAAAAGAAAATGCCCTGATGCCATGTTGGTAATGCTCCAACCCGCTGGCAGAAACTCCCTTCCCCAAGAATTCCCCATGGATACGATACTTCCGAGGGCCGTTTGTTTTTCGTCAATATAGAGATTTGATGCACACCAATGGTTTCTTTCGAAGTCCAAACCGAACACACGCTGATGAAACATGGAAGAACATGGAAGAGGAATACAAAAAGGCAAGAAGGCCAAGGGGGAAGAGGTTTGAAAGAAGGAGAAAAAAAGACAAGGCGTTAAAAAAAAAAACCCAAAAATGTACACATACAGCATCTCGTCTGCGCGAGTTCCGTCTTTTCCCCATCACTATACCAACAGGAAAAATAACAAAACGACACACGTGCCGAGGTTGAAACAAGAATAAGTGATAAAAGGAATCAAAACGTGAACACAACGGAAAAGGGGTATATAATGCTCGCCAAATTCCCTTAGACCGCAAGAGGAAGAAGAAAATCCCCTCAGAAGACGAAGTTTCATCCATCAGAATCGGTCATTGCCGTGTAGCTGGAATGGTGACTCAATGCTCGGTGCGGGTTCGGATGAGCAGCGCCACTGTCGTCGATGTAATAAGTATTTGGATCCCGCTGTTTTCTTCTTCGTCGAGCTTGCCCGTCCGAGGACAGTTCCTGCCTGCTCGGGATAGATGAGCGGAGTACACTATGGGCGGCTGGCATTCTTAGTTCGGCTGTCGACCTCGCCCTCACGCTCATCCACGTCAAGCCGCTTACGCCAATCGGCCAAGCTCTCACTGAGGCCGAGTCCATTATCGTCGTCCCTCCGTGCGCCGGCGGGTGCAATGCTAGCCTCAAAGTCAAAGGCGTTGCTTAGGCGGTAGTTCTTGTTAGTCGTCTCCCAGTGCGATCGCAGCGTCTCCAGTTCGTTGGCGAGATTGTCCAGTGCCATGCTATTTCGGGCATCGAAGCCTCCCGCGCCGTACACGCTGTCGGTCCCCGAACTCTCGTTTTGTTCGTGCGGGACGTTACTAAGGCCAAGGCCATTTGTGGTGCCGCCGCCAATGCCGCCGATCACCTGTCGGCTCTGCCGGCGGTAGCTATCAACCGAAGATTCGACTTGGTCGAGCAGGAGCGCTACCTTACGTTCAGCATCCTGAGCTCGCTGTTCGAGGAGGGCATTCTCTTGCTGTAGTTGCTCTAGGTCCTTCTTAATGGCCGTGACTTTGGACGCTGCCTCCTCCGCAGACTTGGATGCTACGTCTCGGTCCTTCTTCGCGGACTCCAAATCAGCGCCGATAGTAGCGACGCGCGCTTCAAGCACGCTTGACGAAGAGCGGACCTCCTCTTGAAGGGTTTCGATTTGGTGCCGTAAGCTGTTCTTTTCGGCTTCCCAGTCGGCAGGAGCTTCGGTCGCGCCTTGAGCAGCGGCGGCTGCGGCGCGATCCTCAAATTCATCGAGCTCGGTTCTTAGGCGCTTGTTCTCGGCCTTGTAGGCCGAGTGCTCTTCCTTCAACTTCTTCAGCATCTTCTCCGTAGTCTTTAGGTACGCGATTGCTGAGTTGTAGTCTTGTTCGAGCTGCGCCAACTTATCGCGGTACTGCGCTTCCGATGCCTGCAGCGCTGTGATCATGGATTGCCTTGCCTCTTCGTGAGATGATGTAGCGGCCGCTAGCTGCTTCTCAAGTTCACGGATGCGTACCTGCTCAGGGGAGCTAGCGCGTGGGCTGCCCAAGCTCCGGTTCCTGGACGCACTGGTTGGGCTAATTCCCCTCTCGGCAAGAATATCCTTGAGGGTGTTGTGCTGCACCGTCATCGCGTTAGTCTCGAGCTGTTGCGCGGCTAGCTCACGTTTCAGGTCAGAGTTGGCAGCCTGGAGACTCTGTGTATCCCGGAGCGCCGTTTGCAGTTGTCTCCTAATGGAGACACCGTCCCTGCTGGATTGCTCTTGGTATGCCTCTAATCCCGCAATACGTTCCTCGGCCGCACGCAGCTTCTCTGCGGCAGTATCAAGCTCCTGTTGGTACTTCTTGGCGAGCGCGTTGGCCTTGCTAACCTGCTCCTGGAGTGCGGCTAGACCTTCGGAGGTGGTCTTGCTTGATTTGGCGACGTTAGTCGTCACAACCTTGTCAAGACCAGCCATCACAGCTTGCCGGTGAGTCCGTGCCTCCTGTGCATTCTTCTCTGCGAGTTCCTCAGCATCCCGCAGGCGTTGGGTAGCAGCGACAAGCTCTGCCGTCCGCGCTTCATGCTCGGTCTTCAGCTTATTGTACTTGAGCTCGGCCTTCTCCCGAAGCTCACGCTCCTCCTCTAGCTTCTGTTCTAGGTGAGAAGTTGTCTCGGCAGACGCCGCTACGGCAAGCCGGAGGGATTCTAGAGTCTGGTTTCGCTCCTTCGTGCTGTCGACAGCATCGCTGTACTTTGTCTCCAGCTCCCCCTTCTCGACTTTGAGGACATTGATGGCGGCGAGGGTATCGGCGGCGGAAACAGCATTTTCCCTCGCCTCTCGTTGCGCGATATAAAGTTCGGACTTTAATCGCTCTAGTTCAGTCGATGTTTCCTGTTTGTATGCCTCGAGGCCTTCCATCCGCTTCTGGGAAGCGCTAGAGGTATCATCAGCTAGTTGCCTAGCCCGTCTTTCCGCCTCCAGCTCCATCCTCAGGTGCTCCATCTGAGCCTGAAGGTCCTTTTGAAAGCCCAGAGCGGACGCCAGTTTCTTGTTCAAGCTCGCTGTGCGGTCGTCGCCATCGCGGTCCGTATCCAATTGGGGGGTGCTAGCGGCGCTGCCGCCCGAGAACGCGGCAAGTTTGGCCTTTGCATAAACGGCCTCCTGGATCGCGGCATCTCGTTGCTTTTCGGCTTCCGCGATTTGCTTCGCAGCAAGGATCGCTTGCTTATCTACAGAGCTTTGCACGTTTGCCAGCTCCGCCCTCATGGCAAGAAGAGCCTCGATTAGCGGCTTGTCTTCGTCATCAAAGGCCTCGGGGGCACGGCTGTCGAGCACAGGACTTAGATTAGAGGACGGAACATAGCCCGCCTTGCGCGCAAGCTCTAATTCCGACGAGTACCATGCAATGCGGTTCCTTGATGTATCGAGTTCCTTGAGTAAAGCCACCGTCTGGGAGTTTCGACCAGACGACCTCCTATTGAGAGGGTTGCTCACTTGTCGGGTAGGAGGGGGAGGGGAAGCGGGCCGTGTTGGTGTTCCCTTGCTTGGAGTCTCGCCTTCGAGTGAGCCCGGTGATCGTTGCTTCGGCTTCGCCTTCGGGGTCTCGGCTATGGTTTGGTCCACTCTCGCCGCGGGCTTTTGCGACTGTTGCTGAGTCGGCGTCCGGCGTCCGTTTGCGGTGGGGTTGTCGATGTTCTTCGGCCCATCTCGTGCTGATGGTGGCTGATTCGCGTTAACCTGCACTGGCGCATCTCGCTCGGTTGATTGACCGCGAGGTCGAGGAATGTTCGACGCTGAAACTGGTGGTTTGGACGTGGTTGGCTGCTGTGGTGGAGGCCCGTTCGGTGGCGATGGCCCTGCCGCCCTTGGACCCCTCGGACCAGGGCTAGCGACACCCGGGCCAGACAAGTCAGTTGATCCTTGCGGGCTGCGATAACCGTTCATCTGGCCGTTAGGCGTCGCATTCGGGCCACCAGTGGTGATTCTCTTGGGGTCTTGACCCGTATTCGCGTCACGGGAAGATTGCTGTCTCCCCACGCCTTGTTCGCCCGCACTTGGCCGCCTTCCTTGCTGAGCTCTCATTGAGTTTGCCTGAGAATCGCTGGGATAGCGGATCTTAGTCGTGTCTAGAACATACACAACGGCAAGATCGCTTGAAGTACCCGCTGGAGAACTTGGCTCTCCTCCAACCACAACCACGGATTTCGAAACAGCCGTCATGCTGTGACCCGAGCGAGGCGAAGGCGAAGGGCCCATGTTCTGAAAGGTGTACCATCTACGCGAGGTGATCCTGAACGCAGCCAAGTCTCCGAGGTCCGTCCCATCTTCGGTTCGCCCGCCAAAGATGTACATTACGTCGTCGACAATAGCCGCGGCGTGGCCTTCCCGTGGTACTGGTATATATCCGATGCAGTCGAGTTGGGCCCACTTGTTAAGTGGAGCATCGTAGCTCCAGACATCGTTGAACCATTGATAACCATTAGTACCACCGAATCTACCAGTAGAAGAAGGTTAGCCGAGGACCGCAACGCTAGGGTAGCGGAGGGGGAGGCAGCAATTACAGATAAAGCTTGTCATTGAATGTGACGACGGAATGATTGGTTCGCGCCTGAGGAACATTGTCCGCGCCGGCATCACCGCCGGGGATGAGCATTTCCCATCGGTTATTGGGGGTCTGTAGCTGGTTGAGATCAAAGGCGCATAAATCGTTCATGAAGTACCCTTCGACTTGGCCACCGAAGATGAAGATTTTAGATCCAAGGATGTTAAGGGAGTGACCGTAGCGCCCAGACGGCCGGGGACCAGCAGGTAGAACGCGTGACCACTGCCTCGTTGCTGAAATTGGAGGTTAGCATCAACATTCTTGGGGGAAAAAAAAGGCGACAAGTTATTCATTGCAGCCTTTAGGAATGAGACGGGCCGAACGTGGGAGTTGCCATACAGGTATTCAACAAGTAGAGAGTTTCATCTAGAACATCGGCTTCATCGATCTTAGTGTCGCCGCCAAAGACAATGAAGGCGTTTCCGACTAGCAAGCTAGCATGACCAACTCTAGGACCGGGGCCCTCAGCGGTAGTCGCAAGAGGGTAGCAGGCCATAGGACCTCCAGCTTCGATCATCCATAGGTCGCCTTTTACTGTCGCACCGTTTATGAGACCGCCCATGACGTAGATATCGCCTTCCTTCGACGCTACTGAATTGACGGCTGCTCCGTATCGCGGGAAAGGGCTCGGGTGGGAGGTGGTATAGGTTAATCGGCGTTGTGACCAGGGATATAGGGAGGCATTCGGGTTGGAGATGGGTGGGCCATTTCGATACTACCCAGCACAGGCTCAAATCAGACAAACGATTCTTTCTATATGGAGCGAGTGTTTGCGATGACTTACGGGGAGGTCCGATTGTTGCTGTGGCTGCTGGTCAACACTTGGGCCGCGCCGAGGATAAGACTCAGGGCTGTTCGCCATGCCTTCGGCATCTAAGGAGTTGAGACTGCCCGTGGGCGTGGAACGCTGGAGAGAGTTCTTCTCATCTTTACTGGTGTTGCCGCGACCACCTCCAGAGCCAGACGAGCCCGGAATGGCCTCACGAGCCTTTTCCCTGTCTTTATTCTTTGACTTGAACAGGAAAGCCATGGCGGTGGATTATCCGCGCACAGCGGTGGGAATCGCGGGGCGATGCGCGGCTCCTCAGTCAATCGGGTGTTTCGGAGGGTCGCGTAACAGGTCGAGAGGAAATATTTAGATTCGGAGCTGGGCGACGGTATCTCCAAAGGGCGTTCTTAGCAGCTCGGTTCGGATTAATGACTAAATGCTACGACTAGCGATGGACTCGTCGAAAGTGACCGACGATGGATGAACAGAGTAGAGGGAGGCGAGCAATTACGGTCGCTTGGGTCTTGCGATGCTCGAACTAGGACGCTGGTACGGGAGTGCAGGGAGAGGTCGAGGCTCGAGGGAATTTGGGATGGCTGGGAGACCATGTGGAGCGCACTAGGGTAGGTTGTCGTCGATGGGATTTCCGTGAACTGCTTGGTCGACCTCTCAATTTTTCTCCCTCCTCGCAGCCTTTCGAATTTGGAGAGGGGGGTCTGTTCGAGAGGGGGCTGGCACACAAAAAGAGTCGTATCGTACCAGGGAATTTCGGCGCGGATCGCAACCTCGAGAGGGTGAAATAATTAGAAGATTGGGGTACTTGGATGAGATGAATGGGAAATTATCACTACAAAGACATCAAGGACGCCGTGGGGGGGAAGAAAGAGAGAATAGAGGCGGAAACCTAATTACTCGCAATGAAGAACGAAGGAAAGAAAAAAAAATAACTAGGTAAGACCAGGGAGATCGCGAGTTTGAGCGTCGATGTTTGGTTGGTCGTCACTGCGCTTGAAGGACAAGGCAGTCGAAGAGATTTGAAGTAAGGGGCTTTCCAGCAATAATTCCCCCCTTTGTCCTGCTCTCTGTTGAAGTCTCCTGGTCCCTCCCGATCGGCTGAAAAGAGCGTGGGTTGGGTACACTACTCGCGTACAGTGTATGCATCCACTTGTACTTCGTACCTGAAGGGCCCACCGTTGGACCGTTGGACGGGTTCCTGTTTCTCTTTGGCAGAGCAGAACTTGGTGGAGTGTAGAGTTGGACTGGAGACGCCATCAATGTCCATCAATAGAACTAACCAGAGAGCTAAGGAGAGACGTCCACATCTCTTATTCTTAATCTCTCCTTAGACAGTTTGGGACCTCAAGGCTCGTACTTCGTAGGTCTGTCCTTTCCTTCCTTTAATGCGTACAAGTATATCAAAGTATATCACTCAAGTACATGTGTTGGTGTGGTTGACCTGTCTTATGAGCTGCTACGAAGGAATTCTAACATTTGATCCTTGAGAAATGGCAACGGCGATTGGGGAGGATGTGATGGGATGTCACTCTCATGTAACAGATACATTATAGATACAGCTTTCCTCGTTGGATGATCTACATTCTACAGGCACATCGCTCTCTCCATGCTGGTTGGGGCCATTAGTGTTTTCTCACTCCAAACAAGAAATGGTTATTTGCAAGTATCCTGTACCCCAAGCACTGACACGGAGCTAGAATCCCCCGACGTTTGCTTCCTGTGACCGAGAGAGTGGACGGCGCTAGGAAACGGAAGAAAGTCCTCATCCTACCGAGCAGATCACTGAATCGCTCTCGCCCTGATCCCAGAGCAGGCGCTGAGTCTTGGCTTTGTCCTTATATGCTATAATAGATTAGCTGTTGTTGCCAGCCCCCCAAGCATAGCTTCAAGTCAATCAGGCATGGTTCCCGTCACAGACTTGGATTGTGGTGTTTCTCAGGAACGGATTGCACCATGGAAGTTAAAAAAGAGAAGGTTGGAACTGGACCCTGTGGTTAAGGAATACTGAATCCATGGATTTGACTGGTCTCAGACACGCCAGGCGTCCTCCCCTCCAGAGTTATGGTTGACTGGCATTGCACGTGACGTCGGCCTTGACTCCTCTGTAGATTATGAATGAAGGACGAAGTAATCTGCAAAGTGCACACTACGAACTTTCGCCCCTGCCCAAATTGTAGCCGAGTCCCACTTTGATAATTTCATATTCATTTGCTTGCCAAGTTCAGTGAACGCTTGGTGTTTCATGTTTCATCCCCTGCAGTGTCGCGGGGAAACTTTTTCGCAGATACTTCGTACTTGATGCGACACACGTCGTCGCGCTTTCCATTCTTCAGCGATGTCATCTTACGACACTGTCACCAAGCGCAGCTTCCCTCTGTAGTGTACAAGAGTGCGCCCAAGATTGATCTCGTCACAGCTCATGTGAGAGATTGAGAAAGAAGAGGGCCTTCCCCAAGCAACAGGCGACCTCGCTCATCACTTGAATACATGTACCTCCGTCCTTGGCATGGACATAGGAGGGAGACCTATGTGCGGGTCCACTCTGGGGCTTGATTGACATCACAACCCCTATTCTCTCGCATCGAGATGGAGGGTCCGTTGTACACTACTTAATAGATCGAGAAAAATCAGAGAATTTCGAGAACACCTCTTCTGCAGGTACTTCCACATTGATCCCAGATGCAACTGCTATCCTCACAACGAATTTTACCCCAGTACTACTGAGGTACAAGGGCCAAATAATAGAGAAGAAGGGACCAATCTGAGACGGAAGGGGGGGGAATATCTACGTCATTGAACTCTGGGGAACATTTAATAACTAATATCTGCCGAGTATCTTTGATGTGATTTAAGGATTCCATATTGGCCCCTTAAATCCGAGCCTCAATATCTTACTCTCGAAGGCAACAAAGTCTCGAGGAATTTCATGACAAGCTTAGCTACAGCCGACCGTCACGCTGGTCTTCCACCCAAGCAGTTGGCGAGGCTCGATGTTGCCATAAAACTGCCTGCATTTTCACAGACGAGCGATTCTCGTCCAGATCTAGAGGGACGATACCATCAATGGAAGGAGAGGCTCCGAAGACACGAAACGCCAGAATGCACCTGTCACCAAAATCCGGTGTTCGGTGTCTCTCGATGCACGTCGCGTTCCACTGATAAAGATAAATAGCGATGCCCCGAAGAATTGGATTTGAACCTGTCCGAATTCTGGCAGATTTGGAAGAGTTGCCTAGACCTTGACTTAATCGAGATCTGGGCTTTTCTGCGTGGGTCCACATGAAAAGCGTTGAAGAGAGCCAGCAGCCGGCAGCTGGTGGATTATCGGTTGTGATCAATTGATGACAATTGAATGCTATTGAGATTCCTAAATTTCCGCGCCTGATGTACAAGGAACGCAGTAGTGCACTACTGCAGTATGCGTCGAAAAAGTATCCGAAACTTAGCCGCACATTTTTTGTCAGCTTCCTCCAGTCTTGTCCCACCGCCTGACCTCCATCTGCCCCCTCCAGCCGAAGACAATCCATATTGGCTACGGACCTTCAAGTCCAGTGCGCGTCATCTTCCCTATCCTCGAACCTCGAACCTCGAACCCCGACTCGACTACAACTCCTGATCCTGAACCACCTAATATCCAAAGACTCCCCCCTGCCAATTGATCAACGATGGCGACTTGCGCTCTGGCGTAATGTAACTGGAGCTTCGGCAACGATTGCTGCCAGTTTCGCAAACCAGAGTGCCTAGCTCAGCCTGCATCGGTCGGTACAGTATTGGTTTTCGCATCCGCATGACGTCCATCCAAACGTTCAGAACCCCCAAGTCGTGTTGCGATTGTCGCTGCGCGCCTTGAACTAGTTACCTCCGTCGATCCTCCCCGCATCCTTTTTGACCTGGCCAACGCCGACGCCCACACCACCTGGAACCCACTCCTATCCTCAGCCTCGCCCATCATGCCCTCTCGGACGCAAACCGATGTCCTTCTCCCAATGGACCGCGGTCCCTTTGGCACTCAGCCTGCGGTGGCTACAATTTCCCAGAATAGAGGCTACAGAGCCTTTGCCCAGCACGACCAGGATTCCGACCGACGCCCATCCACCGCCCCGGGAAACCGGAATGGCCTCCCCCGACCAGCTCATCCTCCTAGTCGCGCCGAGTCGATAATGTCCGTCCAGTCGAGCCCCAAGACCCAGACGGCGAAACCACACCTCTTGAGATCGAAGAGCGAACATGTCCTTCGAAATGACGACCCAGACCTAGACGATACCGACGAGGAGGTCTACAACTGGGGCGCGAGGCATGGATTCGAGGACCATTACCAGTCCGAAGACATCATCTCACAACTAGCGAGCGTATGTAGCGATCTTTAGTTCGCTTCTCTACTCTCTAAGCCCTTTTTTTGCTAACTGCCTTCGTTTCTTGACATGCAGAATTGGTACATGTATTTCACCGATAAACGTCACGAGACCACCGGCAAACCAAAGTCGCCGCCCTACGAGCTACAAGACTGGAGGATGCGGGACAGGCTAAAAACGGTTTCGGCAGCACTGGCCGTCTGTCTCAACATTGGAGTTGAGCCTCCTGACCAGTTAAAAACCAATCCAGGCGCCAAGCTGGAGGCATGGACCGATCCCACTATTCCCCCGGGTCAGAAAGCCCTCGAGAATATCGGAAAATCCCTGCAAGCTCAGTACGAAACCCTCGCCATAAGGACTCGTTATAAGCAGTACCTTGACCCTTCGGTGGAGGAGACGAAGAAGTTTTGCATTTCCTTGAGGAAAAACGCCAAAGATGAGCGTGTTCTCTTCCATTACAACGGACACGGCGTCCCCAAACCCACGGCGTCGGGCGAGATATGGGTCTTCAACAAGACTTATACTCAGTATATCCCAGTTTCCCTCTACGATCTTCAGCATTGGCTCCAGGCCCCTACCATGTTTATCTGGGACTGCTCAGAGGCGGGAAACATTTTGAAGAACTACCATCGCTTCGTGGAGAAGCACGAGCAAGAGGAGGACGAGGCGGCAGCTCGCGATCCTAATCACTACCGTATCAGTTACCGACCCTACATCCACCTAGCCGCATGCGCGGTCAAAGAGAACCTCCCCACGAACCCGCGCCTTCCGGCAGACCTATTCACTGCCTGCTTGACCACTCCTATAGAAATGGCCCTCTGGTTCTTCGTTCTCCAGAACCCTCTGAAGACATCCATCACACCTGAAAGAGCCAAGAAACTTCCCGGGCGCTTACAAGAGCGAAGGACACCGCTCGGGGAGCTGAACTGGATTTTCACGGCTATTACCGATACAATTGCTTGGACGACACTTCCTCGTCCCCTCTTCCGCAAGTTCTTCCGGCAGGACTTGATGGTAGCCGCTCTCTTCCGAAACTTTCTCCTCGCCCAACGCATCATGTCGGTGTACGGATGCCACCCCCAATCATATCCCGAGCTACCAGACACGCGGCAGCATCCGCTTTGGCAGAGCTGGGATTTGGCTGTCGATATGGCCCTCGCCCAGCTACCCATGCTCGAGAAGAAGGAAGCCGAGGGTATAGAATACGAGTACCAAAACTCGACATTCTTTACGGAGCAGCTGACTGCTTTCGACGTCTACCTTACGCGGGGCGACGCCATGGCCCAGCGCCCGCCGGAGCAGCTGCCCGTTGTTCTCCAGGTGCTTCTCAGTCAGCATCATCGAGTCCGAGCGTTGATTCTACTCGGTCGATTCCTAGATCTTGGTCCTTGGGCCGTCGAGCTAGCCTTGAGCATAGGCATATTCCCCTACGTTCTCAAGCTTCTCCAGTCGACCGCCACTGAGCTTAAGCCGATCATGGTGTTCATCTGGACCAGAATTCTAGCTGTCGACATCACCTGCCAGCAGGATCTCATCAAGGACAGCGGATATAACTACTTCGCGCAGATCCTTAGGCCATCCGAGCTCCTTCCCGTAGTCGACGGCGACGAGCACAAGGCCATGTGTGCCTTTATCCTTACCATGGTCTGCAGGTCTCATGTTGCTGGCCAGCGTAATTGCAATGATGCAAACATCATGTCGCATTGCCTAGTCCATTTGCAGAACGATGCTAATTTCCTCCTCCGGCAATGGGCTTGTCTTTGTATCAGTCAGCTGTGGCAAGATTTCCCCGAGGCAAAGTGGAAGGGCATTCGCGAAAATGCTCACGGGAAGCTGTCCCTCCTGACCAAGGACCCTTGTTGCGAAGTCCGCGCAGCGATGCTGCATGCCATGACGACGTTCCTCGGCATTCCCGACATAACAGATGAAGTCGCAAAGACGGAAGAATCTCTCGCCTGGACGATACTCGACATGGCTAATGATGGAAGCCCAATGGTGCGCAAGGAGCTTGTCGTCTTCCTGTCCCATTTCGTCCTCCGTTATGAGAACAAGTTTATCGTCGCAGCCTTCGAGCACCTCTTGGAAGAGAAAGAGTATCTCCAGTATCCGCCGCGTGAGGATGGCTCCGAGCAGAAGCTTGGCCTTCACTATGCCCGTCCCGACAACCGCGAAGTCGACGGAACCATCAAACCCACGGTGCACGGCCTTGCGCACAATACAATCTTTGCCGCCTGCTGGAAGCATGTCTTGGTCATGAGTGTCGATCCCAATCCGGAGGTCCAACAAGCCGCTACCATCATCGTGGACTACGTGCACAACGCCCTTTTAGCATCCACGGTCGGTGCCCAGGCGCGAAGTCTTATGGACGAAATCAAGCGGAAGACTATGCGAGCGGCAGCCAAGGCTCATTCCAAGAGCCACCAACGTTCGAGCCTGATGGGCACCTCTGGCGGCATAGGCACATCTCCGCTACCGTCCCCGGGTCTCCTCCGCAGGACGGCGAGTTTTCTGCTCCCGTTTCCCCTGTTTGGAGGCGAGGACAAGTCAAGCCAGTCCACTCCAGCGCCATCACCGACAGTGCCGAAGGCTCCATCAATTAAGCTGGGGATCGCGCCCGGGAACATAACGGCGCCGCCGGAGCAGAGCGACGAGGCGAGCGTGTCGGCCAACTACCACGCTGCCAAGGAGCCCGTCTCCGGCGGGTTCGAGGAGCGGGATCTTTCCGCTCTACCCACCCTCCCACTCAAGAGCACTTTCCTAGACTGGTCGATCGAGTATTTCCGAGAACCGCAGATGAAGCCGACAGAGTCCGATGAACCTGGCAGTACCGAGTACAACGAACGACTCTGGCGGCGATCGCGGAACGAGACGATTCTCCGAGAGACGCAACCCCAAAAACAGTATGCGGGCAGTCACAAGTGGAATAATTCTCTCGTCATGCTCAACAACGGCGTTCAGCCGGCCAAGATGACGTTCCACCAATACGAAGACCATCTCGCCGTTGCCGACGACGGCAACACCGTCGCCATCTGGGACTGGAAGAAGCAAGGCCGATTGGCGAGGTTTTCCAACGGCAATCCCGAGGGATCCAGGATCAGCGACATGAAGTTCATTAACGAGGACGATCAAGGATTCCTGATGACTGGTTCTTCGGATGGCGTAATTCGCGTATACAGGAATTACGACAACGAAAAGCAGATAGAGCTGGCTTCGGCCTGGAGGGCACTCACCCACATGGTGCCGAGCACGGTGAACTCTGGGATGGTGTTCGACTGGCAGCAAGTCTCCGGGCGAGTGCTGGTGGCGGGAGACGTCCGGGTCATTCGGGTGTGGTACGCCGCCCACGAGACTTGCGTCAAGGATATTCCCGCGCGGTCCGGGTCCTGCGTAACAGCGCTCACCTCGGATCAAATGACGGGCAACTTCTTCGTCGCCGGATTCGGCGACGGTGCCGTCCGGGTGTTTGATCTGCGGAACCGTCCGCAAGAGTCAATGGTGAGGAAGTGGAAGGATGACAAGGATAGGCAGTGGATCAAGGCTGTCCACATGCAGAGGGGTGGTCAGCGAGAACTCCTCAGTGCAAGTCGAAATGGCAAGGTCAAACTCTGGGACATTCGGATGGATAAGCCTCTCCATGTTTACCAGGTTACAAAGGATACTCTGATGACAGCTAGTGTTCATGAACACTTGCCAGTCTTTGCTGTGTAAGTGGCCTTATCTCTCCCCTTCGCTTTTTGGTGTCTTTTTTATCTAACATTTAATAGTGGAACATCTGCATACACCGCCAAGGTGTTCAACTTTGATGGCCAGGAACTATCACGAATCGAGCCGTACTCAAGCTTCCTGCAACAGAATCGCGGAGGCCCGATTACAGCTACCGCATTCCATCCCCACAGGGCCATACTCGGGTGTGCAGGCCGAGGAGACAGCCATATCAACCTCTTCAGTTGTGAGAAGCGAGATTCTACTACCTCGCATGCTGAGAAGGGGTTGCGCTATTAATTTTGAGAAGGGTAACAAACTCATCCTTCTGTTTGTCCTGGCCCTAGATCTTCTTCTGGAGGACTTTATATTACGGGGTTGGAGTGGTGGTTTGTCCTGAGGAGTCTCAGCATTCTTGTTTTCTTTCTTGTCCTTCTTCTGTTCAACATTTTTAGTCCTTTTTGCTTTCTTAGGTTGCATAGCATTGGGGGAGAAGTTGGTCTTGTTCTTACTGGCCCTTTCATGCATCCTAGCTGTTTTTCTCTTCTTCTTTTTTTTTTTTTTTTTTTTTTTTTTTTTTTTTTTCTTTTTAATTTCTTTTCTTAATTTGTTTTTCCCTCTGTTCGTGACACTCTATTTCTGGTCCTGCTGGCGTCTTGGAATTTGCTACAATCATCCATGTATCATGCAGAGCGATACTTCATTATACATGGGAAGGGATACAACATGAGGAGGGCGGACTACAGCGATTTGAGTGTAAACTTGCAGCATATTCATAGGCGGCATACTAGACGGCTCCTAATGATCAAGACTTTGGTAGACAAAATAGTTCCCTTCTCCGTCTGTCTAGACAAGACATGCTAAAGCGAATATCGTGAAACTAGAAATCAAGTTTAATCACTCCCAAGGTCCGATAATACTTCGCCCTCCTCGACTCTCAGGACGAGGTACTGTCCGCACTATCCGCGCTTCTCCAGACAAGCCGTGGATTCTTTCTCCAAACCACTATCCAAGCTGACTCGGCTCTTCTCCTTGATATCGGCAGCGGAACCCTCATCAGCAGCAATCTCTAAGGCTCCATCCTTCTTCTCTCCAGCCGCAACACCATCACGCGCCCCCAGCAACCACGCCTCCCACCTCTCCCTCACCCCCGCAGAAAACGCCTTCCCCGCATTCCCAAGCTGTTCGCGCACCTCGAGCACCGTATTGCCCGTCGCGCGAATCTCCACCTTCTTCCCCGGCCTAGCATCAACGACCCTCGCCAAATTCCGAAGCAGCGCAACGAGCTGCGCCAGCTCCCTCGCGTGTCCCGCCTCCCACTTTTTGATCTCGGCGCGAACGTCCTTGACTTGGACGTCGGCGAAGAGTCCGCGGTCGTGGAAGGCGAGGACGAAGTTGGGGGTTTGGGAGCGCCAGAGGCGGGGGAGCTGCTCGGAGAGGGTGTCTTGGGTTTTGCGGGCGATGGAACGCGTTTTGATGTCGATGAGGGCGGATTGGGGGGTCTCGGAAACGGGGTTGTAGTACAAGGCGATGTCGGAGCTTGAGGAGGCCGGGGTAGTTGGGGAGATGTTGGTACGGGCGACCCGTTCGGTGAGTTCGTCCACATTAGGTTGTCGTTTCTGCTCTGGGGATGGGGATCGAGATCGTGTCGCGAGATCGGAGGGCGATTTGTTCGGAGTATCTAGACAGGCATCTATCTCTGCCCTCTGGATAATATTCAATCCGCCAAACTTGTACCTGGTAAGTCTCTGGTGGGAAGTAGATCCTTTCAGACCAATACCCCAGGTCGTATTCGCCTCGGGGAAAGTGTGACCATGCCCCTTCACGTCCGGGATCAACTCCCTCGGCGACCTCTCACGACGGAGGAGATGCATAGCACCGCCGATAATCTCCACGTGCATGCGGAACGGGCGCGGCTCGGTCTCGTTGCAAAAGGAAACGAGATACCCGAAGGTACTGGAGCAGCACACGACATCAAAGCCCATCTTTGGAGGCTCCGGCTGCATCGTTAGGATCGAAAGCACGGCCGCCTGGAATGGGTGGTTGGGGAAGTTGTAGCCATTGCGGTCCCGCGGGTAAATCCCCGAATCCTGAGGGAGTCGGCGCTGTTCCTTCAGGGGTGTCCACAGAGGTGGTTTCCCTGGTAGCCGCCGAGAAGCAAGTGTTAGTTAGGTTTAAAATGCCTATGATATATTGTCCAAAGCTGTGTGTGCGTGTGTGTGAACGAGATCTCACCTGGGACAATAATGAGAGGCTTCTCGGTTTCCCCCCAATTATACGAAGCAAGATACTTCCAATCACTGATGCGAGCTGTCGAGACGAACTCTTCATACCCTCTGACCAGCTCATCTTTCAGGATCACGGAGATGAGCTTGCCGAGAGGAAGCTCGGGCAAGAAGCTCTCACGCCGCCTCTCAGGGGGGCCCCTTCGTTGCCAGCGAGTATAACGAGAATAGGATGCCATATTGTCGCAGCCAGGAGGTTTGGTGCTTAGGAACGCATCTATCGATCGAAGAGGGCGAACGAATATTTAAATAGTGAGCGGGGGCAGGAAAGGAATGGGATGCCAACGCTTTCTTGAAGGTAACACAAGGCTACTAGGCCTCTTTTGAAGGACCTCATGTATATCGGCGGGCGCCAATCGTTTGCGGAGTCTGGGAGTCTGGGATGCTGGGAAGCTGGACCCTTTAGACATTATTGGACTGAGTGTGGATGCCCGCGTTCTTTTGGACGTGGCTCATGCGGGAGGCCAACCACTTCTGCCAAGTTTGCCAAACGGAGTTGCGAGACCTCCTTCGTAGGCATCCAGGCTCCAGCATCCAGGCTCCAGAAGAAGGTGGTGCCTTTTAGACAGTCGATACAAAGGTAGTAGTATCATTGCCCATTGCGTCGAGATGGGCACAAACCCTTCACCCATCGGGGGGCCACTGTCCCCTACCGGCGTAACATGGCGGATATTCTGTCCAATTTTCTTATAGCACCGATTTGATCCTGTGCCATGCTGCACGACACTGGAACTCATTTAATACGGTTTGCATTTGCATGCAATAACATTGATTGAGGTCTCTCCAAACACAAGTTCCAGATCAGACGAGAAGCAGATGCCTACCAAAAGACCTCGATAGCTTATGCTACCTAATTGTTTGCCAAGCAGTCGGGACTGGGTGTTGTGATGTTGTGACAAGGAGAGTCTAGGCAATAGTCTCGAGAAAAAAAAGCCATATATCTTGAAGAAACAGCCAACGGGTTGCACTAACGGATAGGTGATGGTCAGTTGGACGACTTATTTGCTGCCAAGGTAGAAATTCAGAGCCCCGAGAGCCAGGCGTCGAAGGAAGGTGTAAATATCGGTACCCCACTAGGCTCACAATATCGTTCTCATCTGCCCCAGTTGCACATATAAATATTAGGAAAGGCACACAACCCCCCCCCCCCCCCCCCAAAAAAAAAAGTACTACGAGATATGGGCCATGACTTTATACGCCGAGCTTCCACGTTATAGTCCCGGTGACGACCACCCTAGACACCTTCTTCACGCACATCAAATACACCACAGATCAGTTGAACCACCGTATTTGGCACATCATATCAGTGATTTATAGTACCGTGCTGCATGCATCAAGTTTCTCAAGTTTTCTAGAAACACAACTTTTCATATATCTGTGTTGCCATTCTAGCTAGACTATTCAAGTGATGATAATTCGACTTGAAGTTAAGTACTTCACTGGAGCTCCCTCTGAGGAAGATAAACAGACAATTTTGTGGATGGAAATGGCATCAATGATGTGATGTGATGCGATGCCGCCGCACAACGAAGATAGAAACTCGTCATTAATATCAGAACAAAAGCATTTGATATACGCCAGCGACTTTCGTACATTGTATTGTACTCACGTACCTTTGCATCATCTCACTCTCTTCGTCACATTGACTCGATCGATCAACAAAGTGACTGACAAATTTTCCCCCGAGCTCGGTACGAACTAAGCTAAGAAAAAAATACCTCCAATTATTCCCATCCCCAATTCCCAATCCCCAATCCCAGTCATCTTTCCTCGATCCATATTCTGTCACAGAGACAGAGAGACAGAGTAAAACTACTCCTCCAAGCCACATCTCCCTCCAGCCGTCCGTCGCGACACCAACCAAACCCACCATGGCCCTCACAACCATCAACCTCCCCTCCCTCGAAAAGCTCTCCTCCGGCAAAGTCCGCGACATCTTCGCCCTCACCCCGACAACCCTCCTCTTCGTCGCCTCCGACCGCATCTCCGCCTACGACGTCATCCTCGCCAACGGCATCCCCAACCGCGGCGCTATCCTCACCCTCGCCTCCGCCCACTGGTTCCGCCTCCTCCCCACCCTCGTCACCCTCCCCGGCGGCTCCCCGCTCCGCACCCACTTCCTCTCCCTCGATGTCCCCGCTGCCGTCCCAGCCGATCAGGCCGCAGGTCTGCGCCACAGGAGCATGCAGGTCCGCAAGCTGAGGATCCTCCCCGTCGAGGCCATCGTTCGCGGATACCTCGCTGGCAGCGGCTGGAAGGAATACCAAAAGTCCGGTACCGTGCACGGCATCGCCCTCCCCGCGGGACTCAAGCAGTGCGAGAAACTCCCCACCGGCGCTTTGTACACGCCCTCTACCAAAGCACCCCAGGGCGAGCACGACGAGAACATCCACCCCAGCAAGGTCAAGGACATCATCGGTGAAAAATACGCCGATAAGGTCGAGTCCCTCGCCCTGGCCATCTACAACGCCGCTGCCGCCTACGCTCTCGAGCGCGGCATCATCATCGCTGACACAAAGTTCGAGTTCGCCGTCGATGACGAGACCGACGAGGTCGTCCTCGCCGATGAGGTCCTCACCCCCGATAGCTCGCGCTTCTGGGATGCCAAGACGTACGAGCCCGGCAGGGACCAGGATAGCTTCGATAAGCAGATTGTGAGGAACTGGCTCGTTTCACAAGGGTTGCAGGGTAAGGAGGGCGTGGTCCTGCCCGATGAGATTTGCAAAGCTACCGAGGAGAGGTATAAGGATGTGTTTTTGAGGTTGACGGGGAAGAAGTTTGAAGACGCTATCGCGGAGAACTGAACGCTTTTGAGAAACAAACGAGGTGTGAGAGTGGACAGAGCATGCTAGAGCCACTCTTGATGGTTGACATTGTTCCGTTTATATTTATGATATAGAATTACATATAAACATCTTCTTGTTTTCTTGTGTGACCCGAATACCAGGAGCTATGCCGTTCTTTCTCGCGGCTTGAGCTGCGACTCTCAACTTTCCTCGACCATTACAGTTTTATTTCCCAGCTGCAGAATCACAGCTTCTTGCGATACATTTGTGGGAAGTATATATTTGGGGCACACTTAAGAAGACAAACACTCACAACAACAAAGACATCAATTCGGATCATAATTGAGTTCGTAAGTCTGTATTAGCAGAAACTGACTGATGAGACCGAAACAGTGGATCTAATGAAACCTCTCGCACATTTCCCTTCAACGCCGGTCTATTCACCGTTGCTGCGCCGCCTATGAAATTCTGATGCATTGTCCTCGGTACGACGGGGGAGACGAGCATCAAGTCAAAAAGGTGAACGGGCAACAAGGCCGGAGTCCAGAGTATCCATGGGGCGGCCGGGGTTGGTAGTTCACCCGTGAGAAGAATCTCGTAGGCTCACCGACAACACCCTCCTTTTCCCGCAGAGACCCTAGGCTCCTTGAAAAAAATTGCCTGTTCCCTAAAGAGAGAAACTGCCAAATTCCCTTTCCATAAAAATGCAAATGCGTCAACAAAGATGGGGAAAAAAGAAACAAGAAAAAACAAGGCTTCCGACCTTCCGACTCTGAAACGAAATAAGAAAACAAGAACCGTAAACTTCCAAACGCGTCTCCTTATGGAAAACACAAAGTATTATTCCCAAGTGCCATGCCAGTCGATGCTTCGTAAAATCATGGATAGGAGGAGAGGGTGGCGTATTTCGGGAGGAGCGAGAAAGACTTTAGCCCCGATAGATAAATACTGCGCAAACAGGCCCTTGAAGAGGGGGCGGCGTAATAATAATAATGTCGACATGGTGTCTCGCATGTACACGGGTTGAAAGGACGAGGATAATAATAGAAAGAACAGCGCAAAAATTTGAGTCGATTGGAATGCTTCCGATGACTAGGCTCGGCTGACTTGACTTGCGCTCGTGCGGCTCTCTTCCTCCTCAAGCACATCGCTCAGCCTCGTGGGGTGGTGGTGACGAGGCATGGACTCCCAGCCCGAGCCGTATCCCGAGCCGGTGTAATCCGCCTGGTTCGCGTATGCAGCAGCCCACTGGCTGTCACCAGAGGTAGCAACCGCATAAGTGCCGGCCTCACTGGTAGTGGGTTCATAGTCCTCTGAAGGCACCACGAGTTAGTTCATGCCTAACTACTATTTACACGTGACGAAACAGCAAAGGTTTATCCTGACCGAGAAAACTCACCTTCGCTGTAGCCAGCCTCCGAGCCCTGCTGGCCGTAGGCACCGCTTCCAGGCTGAGCCGCCTCGGCCGCCGCAGTTCGGTAGTAGCTCTCCGGTGCGGCCGTGGTGGTGGTATGAGCGGAGGGAGCCTGGGAATAATCACCATAACCTGCTCCTCCTCCCGAGCCCGACGGGCCAGGCTGTTCTCGAGTGGTCTCGCGACGACTGAGGCTGCCTCCTTGAAGCATGGGGACTACCTGAACACCGCCTACGATGGTAGGTTGGCCGGCCTGGAGCGAGAAAGTTCGCTCACGCTCCTCTTGCTCTCGCCGCCCAAGCTCCTCCCAAGCGCGGCGGGCCTCTTCTTTGGAGATGGAGAGCTCTTTCTTCATCTCGCTTAGCTGCTTCTGGATGATGGAATTCGCGCTATCCCGCTCATGCGTCCTGCTTCTAGCCTCGTTGAGCTGATTGCGAAGTTCCTCGACCTGACCAGCAAGCACAGCGTTCTCCTCGTGCGCTCTCTCGAGATCGGCCCTCGTCTCGAAGAACCACCTCTGAAACTTGCGCTCGGAGCTAGCTCGCAGACGCTGAAGCTCAACCACGGCGTGGAACAGGTTTGCGCCGGCGGCGGAAAGGTCTGTTACCTGGCGAGAGAGCTGCTGAGAAACGGGGTCTGACTCGATGGCGCTGGCGTTGAGCTCGAGGCGTCGAATCCAGTGACTTGTGAGGCCCTCCCACTGCGCGGAGAGCGTCTCCCATCGTTCGAAGGCGTGGGGGAATGAAGTTCGAGGCTGTTGCTGAGATTGCGATTGTTGTTGTTGCTGCGACGGTTGTGGTTTAATATTCGAAGCTGACGCGGCTCCGCCAAGAGATTGCGCTCCGGGGTGTTGCTGCGTATGCTGTTGTGGGCGCTGCTGCTGCTGTGACGAGTGTGCGCCAGCGCTTGTGCTAGGGAATTGTGGTTGTTGGGGTTGTTGGGCATGGCCCGTTGTGGCGGAAGTTCGGCCGGGACGGCTCTGTTGGGGCTGGGGTGCGCCCTGGTGAATACGAGAACTTCCTCGCTCAGGTGTTCTCGGCTGATCCTGTCGCCTTCTCGAAGGGTCGATCTGAGCGGCGTTGTCGGCGGCGCTCGGCTGGGGTCTCGAACCGCCAGCAGCGGTGCCGGCAGTGTTTGCTGCACGGCGTTCTGCGTTCCGTCTCTGGACTTCTTCCAAGGCTCGGGCTTCCTCCTCAGCTCGAGCCTGTTGCAAGCGTAGCTGTTCCTGTTCCATACGAGTTCGTTCCATCTGAATTTGCTCCTGCTCGGCGCGGCGCGCCGCTTCCCTAGCATTACGGTCCCGAAGGATCATGCGCGGGCTGCGAATGCCAGACGGGGAGCCGGCAGCCGAGGCATGAGCCGGGCGGGGCTGAGCAGAAGAGACGTTGCCGTTAGATGTGGGCGGCTCATGGCCTCCTCGCAGGTCGGCCATGTCTGCCAGCTCTTCAGCAAGGTCCGGGGTGAAGGAATAGGGACCTCGGAGCGCTTCCTCGAGGGTAAATAGGATTGCCCTGTGGGTGCGCCTCGAGATTCGAAGGAGGGGGTGTGGGACGTAGTGGTCGTCCGAAAATTTGGAAGGTTGGGGGAATTGTTGTCTAGACGGCGATTGGTCTGAGGACTCGTCGTCGTCGTCGTCTTCACTAAGTTCCTGAGAAAGTTTTCGAGCTAGTCGGCGATTCTTGCTCGCCTTTTTCCGACCACGGGCAGGAGCGACGGGGTCTTTGGAGGGCTCGGGAAATATCTCTGGGGAAGGAGCGAGCCGAGGCTGTGGCTTGGCTGGGCCGGACTCTTGCTCAGGCTCAAGCTCAGGCTTCGGCGCACGATCGAGCTCTGGGTGAGGACTCGGAGTGGCTTCGAAGCGTGGAGTTCGGCGGATAGTGTGGACAGACGAGGAGGTGGCAGGTCTCTCAGGATGATCGTAAGCTTGAGGCAGATGCTTCCGCTGCTGGCGATTCTCCGTGGAGGGAGTATGTGGGTTAATTGTGGCGGTCTTGCAGTCGCCGAAGGTAATAGCTAGCCACTGTAATGGCTTAACCGTGTCAAGATGGTTGGTTCTCTACCAAGGCAAGACAGGTTCGAGGTGAGTTCGTGCTGGGTGCGCGGTGGGATATGTCTCGCGAGAGCGCAGGGCGATGGATTCTGTAGGAAACACTTTTGTGAGACGAACTTCCTCTGCAGGTTTGGAAATAGCAGGAATATGCAACAGGAGTAAAATTGATAGCAGAAAGTTCCCTAGCATGCAATGGTACTTACATTGGTGAGCTTTATGAGGGTGGTTGGTGGTGATTGTAGTGATTTCAGTGATTGGGTGATGGGAGGGCGGACTTTGTGAGGGATGTTCTGAAGAGGTCTAGATCAAGACCAGGGTGGTGCACACTGTAGGCAAGGAAGCACCACTGTTCTCAGTCCTCCGAGACAATTTTGGGGGCTGAGAAATTTAGAGAAGAGAGAAAGGGAATCAAATTGTCTTAAGGTGGTAGAAGAAGGGCAATGATCAATATAATCAATATTGTCAATACCTTTGTATGGTGGTCGGAGCTGGGAAATGATCAAATGGTGGTTCGGTTCCTAGAAATCAATTCAATTCGGGTTGTTGCGAAAATCTGCGTGGCTGGGGTTGAAGGTGGTTGGGCTCGGATGTGGAAGTCCAATCTTGACTGGTGCTGGCAGTGTTGGTGCTGCTGCCGTGCAAAATGACCAGGAGCAAGCAAGCATTGATGGGCATGAGCATGAGCCTGGAGCTTTTCCCACCACACAAATGGGACACAGCTGAGCTTTGTCCAAGCCACATCAACCTCTTGGAATTTTTAAGAGGCCAGCCAGGGAGATGAGAGATTTGATGAGATTTAAAATGGCCTTGAAAAGTGGCCGCCCTTCCTCAATTGATCGAATGAGTTTTCTTGGAAGCTGCAACCATGATTTCCAGGGGGAAGGATGGGCCCGAGAAGGGCCACCGAGAACTGGGAGTTTTGAGGAAAGTGCGAGTGGGACAGGTCAAGTCAATTGCGATGACGGACTTCCAGTCCAAGGCGAGGCGCAACTAGGAGGGCAAGTCCGCCCCGAGGTTTGCGACTCGGAGTAAGTAGTGAGGTTCCAAGCCGATGCGTCGTCGCTCAGAAAATTGTCGGACGTGGTGTGGTGTATGAATCAGTAACGGAGAGAATGGGATTCCGGATGCACCACACTTTTCCTTCTCTTCACTTTTCGCGCATGCGCCTTCTCACTGGTTGGGAATTGGAAAATAATTTTCCAACCCAGCTGCGCAACCCGGTGCGCAAAACTGGTGCCCAACACAGCAGAAGTCGGCCAACTCGCCCTGGCACACGAGCGCCAGGCTATCTGCAAAATCGCACCGGGAGGGCCAGCCCGGCTCAGGTGCCGACGACGAGGACGCGAAACTCGTCCTCCAGAAGTCAGCAGTAACCAGCAGAGCGAAAACAATCGGGGGGTCGGGATCGCGATGGAACAACCAGAACCATTTGGGCGAAAGGGTGGGAGTCCTGTGGGAGGGAGTTATTATACACGAGGAAATTGGAGATATGGCGTCTTGGTCTGCAGTCACGCGTGTCGTGTCTATTATTTTTTAAATTGTTTCTTCCTTTTTTCCCTCCTCCGAGCCCGTGCCATCAACGACCTGGCAAGGGAAGGGGGAGAGAGTTTGGTGGGAAATCAGAAGGATGGGGAGATGACCGCACCGCGAGATTGAAGTATCAGGACCAGGGTACGCGGTGTCCGGGAAGATCATACTCCACATTCTAAACTCCTCCCACGTCCCACGGATAAGATCAATGATGCATACAAAAGTGGCATTACTGCAAAGGGAAGCGTGCCGTCCTAGTTTCTACACTAAAACACCTCAAATCTGTCCCACTGTCACAGCGCCGAGCGCCGATTACTCTCCAGTCCTCAGCTCAGGATAATGTCCGAAAAACGCGGTGCCATTATTACATTAATTCAATGTCACGTATCAGTTGCTTCCTGCGCCGTCGACCGTCGCATGGAAATCAGCTACACATGCCAAAAAGAGGAATAGACCGACCCGGGGCGCAGGGTGCCTTGCACGGATCCTTGGACGACTCCAGGAAAGTAGTTCCGATGGTCCTCACGATGCAGATGCTGCCACATCTCGGGTTCAGCACCTGGGACCTAGCATCCATCAATTAGTTTGCAGACACCTGCTGCCCCTTGCACAACCGATGTATGATTGACCAAGGACCGAACTCGGCACTTTGTGCAAACACTCTAAAATCAAGAGCCCGGTTTCTTCACTGGTTCCGTGGTCCCGAGGTTGATCAGTTATCCATGTCTCAGCTCCTGTCAAGGAATCGGAACCAGGCCTTATCCTATCAGCACAAGGACAGGTGATGTGTCAATATGCAGAGTTTACCTGTACTTCATACGGATGTATGTAGTGCTAGTTTAGAATCACTAAATGGCGTGAAACCCGCACCTGTGTGTTTCGGACGTCAAGCAAGCCTCAACCATCAAATATGAATAAAGTTGTACGAAGCTGCATCATTACATCAACCGCCCCAGGATCGGTGACGGGTACGACTAGTCGTGCCAGTCCTCTGGATAGGGCAGACGATTGAGGGAACCAAACAAGTCCAACCAGCAGGGGTTCACGAAGTACACTCCTTGCCAGGGAGCAGGAATACTCCGTCGCGGTTATGGGTGCCTGCTCGATGCCAGATGAGATCCTGTGGGAACCCCCAAGTGCGCTAGAGCATTCTGGTCAACAGGCCGAGAGAGACTCATTTCCAGAGCTCTGTGATCGCGTGGGTTTGCGCCGCGAATGCAATATGATGACACGATCATCAGACGGGCGCGGAGAGGCCATCGTTTTGGCCTCCCTATCCTCGCCCACGCGTAATTTCAAGTAAAGTACTTACAGCGGAGGCATCTCCGGCGCATCATTGGCGGTGGCGTCGCAAGTGGGGAGCTGGGAAAATGGAGGAGGCTGGGAAGCAAAAGTACAGAAAATTCAGTCACGATCGAGGCGCCCTGGTCGCGTTTTCCAAAGATGGCAAGCGTTGGTCTTGGCCGGCCAATAATATCTTTCCGTTTTTAGAGAGCGATCAGGGGTAAGTCCCAATGGCTTGGGAACGCGTCGCCCTTGCCTTCCAGGAACAGAAGGAGCAGTAATGCATTTTGTCAGCAACACAGTTTGACTTAAACGAAGTATAATTGGATTGTACTTTGACCTCGGAACCCTCGCAATCTATGGATAAGGAGGAAAGACCAACGTCAGCTGCGACGAGCAATCCTAAATTTGACAATTCAAGCACCGGAGCCATAGGTCAATTTCACCAGGCGACCTCGGGAGAGCTCTAAGAGCTCCCTGAGCTGGAAGAATTAGCATTCGTCGCGCATCGTTGACGGTGCGGGTCGCAACGGCTCGTTCCTGGCTTTGGTCGATTTTCCCCGGCCCAATCATCAGTCCAAGCCCACCATGTTTCGAAATAAGCTTCACCTCTCAGTCCCAGCCAAATGGATTCTCAGTGGGGAAATGGCAGCCTATCCATAGATCAATTCAAGAGTGTTACCATTTTGTCATTGATCAATGATGTTTTGAGAGGCCACGTTTGACTGGACAGCAAGCAATACAAAGCAACACACCCCAAAGAATTTGTCACCTGCGAAGCTCTTGGCGAATATAAATCTTGGAGATAGATTGTTGATATCTACTTCAGAGATGCGAGTCACCCACGTGAGTACTCTTCTGGTTACCACGGAGTACATAGAAAGTTGAGCTTGTAGAATTGATGTCATGCCGGCCAAGCCTCACTCGCATTGCAGAACTGCCCTGTCAACGATCCACTCATGAGAATTCCATACTCGTCCCGGTTCTTAGGATTAGATCAATATCTTGTGGCTTCCTCTGTCCTGGCACATCTAAACGGCCTGTCTTACTCGACTGCTCTGCGGAATGGGATATACTAGACTACACCAATTGTCTTCCCGGTTTGTCGAGCTATGATATAGCAGTTTTCTCATGGGGGCGGACAGGACGGAGTGAAGACAGGCCTCATGTTTTGGGACAAGCAAGATGCCTTCCCACAACGTACAACACGTTCGAACAGCGTACACCTTATTTCACGCCGCGAAGAAGCCCTTACATTAATTAGATCCACGAGCTTGGGCAATCACAGCACTCGCAAGTCTATGCCGTCTCGTTCCATCTCTCCGGGCGGACTTAATGTCGTGGGGAACCACAGGATCAACTCAGAATCGGCGAGTTACAGCACATTACGACAACCTTCTAGCGTTATTTCAAACTTGGAGTCGTGGCCTCAAGGTTATCAACGCTACCGGCGTCCCTCAAAACTGTCAGAGCGTCCCGACTCGGGGCATCACTGTCAAACAGTCGGCTCCGGATAAATATCTTTTGGGGAGGGGGTATCCCCTCCTTCATTGATCTGCTCCACCAGGCCAACAGGTCGGTAAGACAGGGTACCGACCCTCCCAAGCTATGGGTGTCTAGGAAAATGAATTCACCGACGGTACGAGGAGAAGGAAATCGAGTATGAATGGTGATGCGCGGCCCATTCCTGGTATTTGTAGATCTCCCGCCATGGACTTCGATCGAGCAAATCGGCACACATGCGCGAGAAAGTAGATCCCAGGATTAATCACCTCCTCATTAATGTTCAAGGTAAAGCAAATCAATCACTCTGTACTTTTCCATAAAGAAACACGATACTCGTCCCCACCCAACATGAGCAGTCCTCTCCCGGTTCGTTGGTTGCGTACCCACGCCCACACGAGATCTCTCAGGTTGTGTTCCTGCAGAGAAACGGACTTCTTCTAAATACGACAGGATATGTCCCGGGGCTCGCTAAGTCACTAGATTGCTGTCTGTGCCAAACTCGCAAGCCGTTCGTGTTGGCAGCTCTCAAAGAGGGAAATATGCAGAACCTACAGCGAGCCACTTTACACGTAGAGGCGAATTTAAGCGCGGGAGGGCAGGCAGGTGTTCGATGTGTTTGATCTTTCCCCTCCTTTCCCGCTCCTCGAGAGGACGGTACTTAACTATCATGGCCTGCGAGATGGATCTGCCGAGTTAAAATAGATAGATGGGATGCCGCACCTTTCTCGGCCGATTTGTTCTGGCTTTCTTCTTCCATTCTTGATTATGGTTTCTTTTTTTCTCTTTTCGCGTGGAGATAGTTAGTCTACCGACACGAATATGGCTTCGACCAAGTTGACGATACAAATATCCAATTAAAGAGGGGTTTGATACCTCACCTCGGAGTCTACTTGTCGATAACATCGAGTGCCGACCGAGCCCGTGGCAGCTACTCCGCCACGACCCGCCGGTCCACCCTCTTCACCTAGATTCCAGCTCCGACTTGATATTTGTAGACGGTCGGCTAGAGCTCAGGCTTCCCCATGCCCAGAATATCGTTGAACACCCTATAGCACTACCCCTGCTCGGAAATTCTACGACTCGGGAGTCTATTCGAATGCCGCGAGGATGAACCTGCGGGACGGGGCGTCTGGTCTCTCGAGTAGGGACTGGGCAATAGGAACTGGTACGCCGCTACTTATTCACCGCAACCGGCTCTATGATCTGGGGGTTGCCGTTGTTCTAGTATTTACCTGCTTAACGACTGCTTGCGTTGCTCTTCGGTTGTTTGGGAGATGGAGATGGCGAAGGCTAGGAATAGGTAGGCACCAAACCCTTTCGAACGCTTCTCACTAGTACTAACAGTGATGGTGAAAGACGACTTGATCATTACTGTGGCAGTGGTAAGCTGAGTCCTGAAGATATTATTGCCGGTACTTGTCTGTACTAACTCAGGCCAACTCAGGCCTTCTCCATATCCGCCGCAGGGCCTTTTTTCATGTGTAAGTGAGAAAAGCTCGATAAATTTGATGCTCTTCATCCATATTCCTTTCAATAACTAACCCCCTCTTTCAGTCTTCAAGATCGGATATATCAGCATCCAACACGAGAATGGGCCAACATATAACGAAAGCCGAGGGCGCCTTTTCGCCTACATCGTCGATATCCTCTACCCACCTTCCGCATCCCTCGCTAAATCATCCATCCTCTTCTTCCTCCTTGGACAGCAATCCTCCTCCATGCCCATCTTCCGAATCCCGTGCCACGCTGTGAATGTCATCATCCTGCTTGCCATGGTGACCATACTCTTTACGACCATGTTCCAGTGTCTTCCTATCCGGAGAGCCTGGCAAGACTTGGAAGACGGAGGAGAGAAGTGCGTCGATCGCTCCCTTTTAAGAGTCGCCAGGACCTTCTGGGCTATAGTAACAGATGTCGTGGTATTATGTCTCTCGGGTTGGAGTTTCGTAGCAGCGAGGATGGTGAGGAGCACACGGAAAGCTATCCTGATAGCATTCATCCTGGGGATGATGTGAGGCCCCCATCTTAGCTTCCGGATATGGAGCGCTTGTGAGAGTTGAAATATCTGGCTAACGAAATAAGCAGAGCTCTAGGAATCTCAATAACTCATCTTTATTGCCTCCTTCAGAATGGCTTCTCAGGTTCACCGGGCCAAGCTCCCCCCCTCGTCTGGATAACAACTCCGATCGAGGCAAGCCTCATCATCATCGCTGCATGCGTACCAACCCTCGGTCCTCTCTTCCGCCGTCGGTTCCCTCCTCCCTCCCCACAACCCGAAGAGCCGGCATCTCATTCGGACTCAAACCAAGATCTATCCCACGGCAGCATCGTTATCAGTCACATTCCCAAGGACCACTCTTCCGACTCCAGTCTGGTACTGAAGCCACTCGGCGGGTTCGGGTACACTGATACGGAGATCCGACCAGGGAGCCGGAGGGTGGTTTGCACGAGGGGGATTATGCGGACCATGGATGTAGACGTTGCGTTTGGGGAGAGGAGAGCAGAGGATGGGATTAGGGCGGCCACGTGGGGTTGGAGTTAGTCTTTTGCATTGTGGATATTGTTTGATGGATCATTTTCCAGCATGTATGATTATGATACAAGGTGGTAATGGTAATATAACAAGACGCGGGGAACGCATGAATCAGGCTTTGTTTACCTTCGTACTCGCTTGGGGTTCCCCATATGCCATGGTGAAATGAAGTTAGTTAGCTCCCGTCGTCTTCTGCATGGGCTTCAGTTCAGGTTCTAAGTAATAAGACTACGAAGTAGATCTCTTCACGTTTGATGAGCTGCTCTTTTGCTTTTTGACACTTTACTATCTGATGGATGAGATGGATGTCGACTATAGGACCTGACAGGCATCCCCAGATAGCAAATTACTCCCAACTTATTACATCTAATCACATACACCGCCCTAACACACTGAGATGATGGAATGGACGAATGTGTGCAAGTACAGACCATTAGACACCAATCAATACCTAACCTCGGAATCCTCCGGAAGCGCGGAAGCATCTGAAGGAGCAGATGCAGGAACATCTGGGGCAGGGATCGAAAAGAGCTTCATCTTTATCCGGCTCGGCCGAGTATCCCACCTTGAATATCGAACACAAAATCGAGTAGATGAGACCATTGGCAGGGGGAATACCGTGGTTTAAACTCGGAAGCTGCACTAGCAAAGTCTTGGAGATGGCAAGATGTTGAAATTGCCTGCCCCGGGTGTGCAAGAAGAAACAGAGTCATCACGATTCATCTCATCTCCGCATTGCACTAGTCTGGGAGCTTGGCCCTTGTTTGTTAAGGACCAATGATGGGAAAGAGAGAAGCTTTTGTTATGATTTCAAGAAGGGGATGGGGAATTCAAGAAGAGAAAGTCCAGTTCCTAATCTTGATTGAACCTGACATCAGTTACCTTTCTCCAAGCGCGCCACATCCTCAGTGAAAGACACTAGGAATATCCATCATCTCACCACTGATGGTTTTATGCTTCAGCAAGTAACACGGGATCAATCTTTGCCTCTATCACTTCATGGAACCCGAATGCTAATTTTTGGTCTGCGGAAAATCTTACCATGAAGCGCCCGTCGAGGTTAAGCGCATCCTCTCCGTTTCTTCGGGGCGCTGAGAGGCAAACGTCTCGAAAAACGAAACGAGGAAAAAAAAAAAACTGGGTCGTCATTAAACACACCGGATGCGTGACATCAGCCTCGGATCGTGAGCGCCAAGATCCCATCCTTCAGTTGACATGCGGACGAAAGATGTTAGTGAAAAGGAAGTTCATCCAATCTCATCGCCTATCTCCCTCCCCCAACTTGGGAACGCCACAGAGCGACGTCGTGTGACCCTGGAAGGTTGATATAAGCTCCAAAAGCCACCGTACGATTCTTTCCCCCAGAGCTTCCAACACCAAGCCTCAGAGGGCCTAGTGGCTCCTCACAAATCTTCTCTCTCACACCACGAACCCCGACTCTATCCCCCAAGGAGATAAGCAGAGAGAACAGACATTTTCAACTGGAACGGCTCTATAATTAGTGAAACGCCACAGCAATTCTGTTGCCGTGTCACGGGTGTCATTGGGATGGGAGAAGAAAAGGATTCCTCTCGCCTCACCTGCTGCTGCTGGGCGCTTTTGCCTCGTGATGAGAGATCCACTGCGGCTGTGGGGACCATCAAATCTCAGCTCGATTGCCTCGCATCCCAATCGAGTCGAGTCAGGGTGCTTGTCCTCTTCCTGCCCATTGCTGAAGGCCGGCAAGCGGCTCTTCACAAACAAGACACGGTGATTGCCGCGTTCTTCATCGCCTCATACTTCGGCTGTGGGGAGGTAAAGTTAATAATAACAAACGTAGCTAGAGCCTAGTAGTCACGCTTGCCCTCGAACCATTGTGGTTTCCATAGAAATCAGACAAGTCGGTACTAGCCTGAGGCTCTGGGGTCATCTCTTTCGGGCCTGAGGAATCCTTTTCCCCTTGTTTCTCAATTTTTTTTCTACTCCAGCACATGCCAAAGCGGGTGTCACTTCTGGACTCGCTCCTGGTCCCAAGGAAGGGTTCAAGAAAGGGCTCAAGGAAGGGTCCAATGGTGACACATCAAGCAATAAACTACTTGGATGCAGATGTAGACTGGAGCGTATGTACGAAGTTGTAGGAAGTAGGCAGGACTTGTTCCCCGTCGAATCGCAGCGACTGCCGGCCTGGACCATTGTCTCGGATACCGAAATCTTGCTTTTGCAAAACCACTGTTTGTCTGCATCCATCTCGATTCGTTCACCTTCCCATCTCCAGAACAGCTCAATTCGTGTGTGTGTGTAAACCTGCTTGGCCTCTTTCTCACTTTCTCAGGGTTTCCTTTCCTTTCTTTTTCTTGTCTTAATGCAGTCGGTCCTTTCTTGGGGTGTGCGTATTTCTGGGTGGGGAGTCACTTCTTGGAGACATTCAACTTTTTCTCCCTCTCTCCTCTCTCTCTCTCTCTCTCTTTTTTCTTCCGGGACCCAATCTTTCCAATCCTTCGCACCAAAATAGTCTGAACTATTTTTTTTTTTTTGCTCCATGACCTCGGTAGTAGGCGAAGGGAACGGGCGGACTCCGTGCGCAGAACGCCGACTTGTCCATCCACTCCACCGTTGGAGGCTCTGGTTCCGGCTAGTTCGACCATTGCCGTCGCTAAAGCAAGGGGCCTCCATTCCGACAGGCTGGCCAGCCAAGAGAGAGGGAATTTGATGAATTGGTGCCTATGAATGGTCATAATGCCAATGCTACGCTGCCTTGTACACCACGAAGTACATTCACTACATCGTACTGCGCGGTACGCAATACGCAATGCGCAATACGCTACAAGCAATGCTGATTTGCTTTTTCCACCGAACTGAATAAGAAGAGCATCGATAGTTTGATGGCATAAAGTGATGCTGCACAACAGATGTGACAGGTGGCTCTCTTGTTCCTTTTGGGTATGGATCCTCTGATTGCGTGCGGTTGAAGCTCCCACAGTCAATGTTTCTCCTGAGGTGGGTAATCTTGGAGCCTCCCGCGTCAATATTGATTTGTACATACTTCTTAGACCACGCAAACAATTGCACACAAACAGAACAAGAAGCGCTCTCACACTCTCACACCATTGTCTTGCAGCCACCTCTTGTTTGTTGACAAGGGTTGTTTACATAGAGATGCCCCCTTCTCCTTGTGCTCTGTCCATCCAAGATACGCACAACGAAAGCAAGGCAGAGCAGGGCAATGACGATCCTTCAATATTGTGTCCGCTCCATTCCAACATCGTACAGCATAAAATTTGACTGTGGTCGATGCAGTCATAGGAGCCGAGAGGTATGCATAGTGCATAGTAGCCGGATTTGGCTTGTCCTGGAATTTGGAGTCGGGGGTTTGATACAGCTGGTGACCTTTTCCCTGATGTGCGGCACAGGAAGCCGCCGCATTCCACGTCATTCTCTCACGACTTGGTTACTTCGTACTAGCTACGGAGCAGGGGACAAAAGATAAAAAAAAGAAAAAGAAAATAAGGGGAGAAAAAAAAACCCCCCATCGGGTGTCGCAGATTTGCATCGAACCAGTTTACAAAGGTAGGCCTGTCCAAAAAAAGAGAAAGAAAAAAAAAAGTGAGGGGTGGCGGGCGAAAAAGGAAAGAGATGGGCGGCACTTCTCAAGCCCGGCTTCTGCCACTGCCAATGTCATGCCACGGAAGGCCTTCCGAAGCCCGGTGCTAGCAAACTAGACAATGGCGCTACTTGGGATGACCCATGCAAGGCACACGGGATCTGCTTCCTACTTCCTACGAACCTTTGGGTCGACGTCGACCAGGGGCCAGGGGATGGTCCCGAGGGGCTCCAGCACCAGCACGACGTACCAAAGGGAAGGGCCGGGGCTGGTCGTTCGGTTTTTTTCCTTTTGCGAGGAGGCTAGGGAAGAGAGGCATTGATCAATCCGTGGATGTTCTTTTTTTTCTGTATCCTCGGTCCTCTCGTCGTCGTCGTTCCCCCGCGTCGATCCTCTCGAGCTTTGGCTGGTAGCGATGGGGAAGAGACTGGGCCGTTGTGGAGAGGAGAGGATGCATCATCAAGCATATACGACAGAGCGCATAGTACACAACTTTGTACATCTCGCGTCTCGTACCGTACACTGCGCTACCTCATAGGGCTCCACCATCTTTGCGTCTGTCGCCTGTCTCACAGTCTGAGTCTTCTTCGTGCTTGTATGCTTGTACCATCTCGGAGTACTTCGTAGTGTACTTGTTGGTTGAAAAAGAAAAGAAGAAGAAAAAAAAAAAAAACAGAGGGAAGAGGCTAGTCCGCTTGCGTCCCAGACCCCATGTCTAAAAAGATGGCGCAAGTTCAGATCCTGCAAGAAACACGTACCAGTGACAATCATCCTGCAGCTTCAGTCTGCGAACGAAGAGGTAATTTGGTACTCGGACGACATGTACTTCGTACCTCGGAGCTAACCTCCATCGATTCTCGTCAAAGTACTTCCAGTCATACCAGATGTGAGCCACCTTCCCACTGCCATCCTCGCTCGGCTCCATATGCAAGTCGCGTCTGGAACACTTCAATTTTTTTTTTCTTATTCCTGGTACCACTTAGTAGAACGCCCCATCCCAAGGCCCCATGCCGGGATGCTTCTTCGTTTGAAGGATGCGCGTATCCACAGGGGAGTGGAGGGCCAAGTACTTCGTAGGATAGTCAAAAAGTCGATACTTTGTGTAAGACAGGCAAATATATCTTCTGGGCTCACTCCCCTCTTCACCAGCCCCGACTAACATCCACATTTCCAAAAGAACCCCATATATCATCTCCAGTTGTTTATGGATATATATACTTTCTTCTTTTTCTTCATTTCCCCCACAAACAACAATCTCGCCTAATCCTTGTATCCCCCGAGAGAACGAAACAAAAAAACAAGGAGCAATAAAGAAGAAGACTCTCACTAACAACAACGGTCCTTGAGCCCTTCTTTGTTTGCAAACCATGGAGCCGTTGGTCTTCGACACGAGTGGCAACATGCCAACCGATATGAGTGATACCATGAC